ATTTTATTAATTTTATTAAATAATATTTTATACCTTATAATATTATAAACTTATTAAAAAAATAAACTATTTAATATAGATTATTAATTTACCTTATTAAATAAAAGCTATAGTTATATATAGTAGAAGTTCTTATAAAAATAGGAAAACTTTCTCTCCTAAAGCTATAGAGGCCCCGTCGAGGTAGGGAACCTCGGTCTGGATTATCTCATGGGCAGTTGGGGTCTCCGGCCCGGGAAAGGCAGCGCGCAGCGCCGCGCGGAGCTTGGTCTGGACGTCTGGGTTGGATTCCATGAACCTCAGGAACCAGGTCAGGGCGTTGGCAGTGGAGTCATGGCCGCCGACCAGCATCACGAACAACTCATCCAGCATGCTGATGTCCTTGGTGGGATCTGAGGGTGTCTTCCCCGCCCTCCTGGCCTCGAGCATCTGGCGGCGGAGGACCAGGTCCAGCATACACTGGTCCAGGGCGTCGGACTCGAGCTGCCCCACCTCCAGAAGCTTGAACCGGCCGACGGCCCTGTTCATCACGCGCCCAACCCCCGAGAGGACAGTCCGTCTGAACTTTCGGTAGCGCGGCGTGTAGGTCTCGAACCTTTGGGCCCATGCTGGAACAGGCTTGGTGGAGTTCTTGGAGATGCAGTCTCCGATATATCGAACTTCCTCTTTGAGCCATGAACCGCTGGGGGTGGGCTCGTCGTCCGACCCCCGGTCACCAGCGAGCTGTTTCTGCAGCTGCCTCGCGCTGTACCTGGTCAGGCCCGGCTCCTCACCCACGACGGCCACCCACATCGCGTCCAGTGCTGCATCCTTCAGGTCATCATGCACCGCGAAAGCCTGGTCCTTGTAGGCCGAGGATGCCTTGAGCCGCCACAGGTCCACGAGCTCGAGGGCGGCCTTGTGGATATTGAGGGCAACCACCCTGTGCAGGAATTCAGGCTTCATGACATCCTGCCAGAGCCGTTTCTGTGCGCGTAGCTGGGGCGTGTTGTACTGAGACAGAGCCCCCCTTGGGAACATGGGCGCGATGAGGTTGATTGCCATGGGCGCCTTGTCGAACTCCTTGTTCCGCCGCACCATGATGTCCTCGATCTCACGGGGGTCGTCGAGGACCACCAGGGGCTTTCGGATGCCGGGGAACAGGAGCTGGGCGATGGGCACGCCGAGCTTCTGGGTGGTGACAGCGAAAAGCGAGCTGGAGAATTCATTCGTGGCTTCGATGAGCGGCATCAAATTCGGGATGTCCCCGGTGATGCGTCCGGCTGACTCCTTGTTGTATGGGATGCCTGGATATGGCTTTGGCAGTAGCCTTCGTCGGAGCCAGAGGAAGGCCAGGACTATGCCAAGCGAGCCGATGACAAGATATCTCAGAGTCATGTGGTCTGGCATTTTGGAAATGAGATATTGTTTACCTGGGGCGCTGAAGATGATTGAGAAAGGGCATGACTGCAGGAAATTGTGCGTTGATGGAAAACAATGTCGAAGGATTGGGGTGTTGGTTCCTTGCTGGAGGCGGGTAGTACAGGTCCCAATTTAGCTGGATGATACCCAAAGTGGATAGGCCGACCAGTCAGAGCCACAGGGGCATCCATGCAAGAAGGTCAATTGATGGCTTCTGAGGCGCTGGCAATGGGTTAGCCTAGACATTCGTGAACACAATGCAACGACGAAAAACGTAGCACTTAGAGGTTGCATTCTGCACTGCTACACTAAGTAATCAAGAGGTAATTAAGTAAACAAATAAGTACGGTCTCCAGCACCAATCTAGGAGAATTGCTCGACTAGCTTTGCATCATTCTGGGAGGCATAATTTCTGTCTATTGCCTCGTCCGCCCAAAGGGGGGGAAAAACATGCCGAAGTGATGCATCAAGTAGGTGACATGTGGAGGCACGGCTCGCAGCGGGTTGCCCACCGTCGCTGAGACCAAATCGGCGACATGAACCCTGTGGGCTCGTGACAATCCCAAGTGGCTTCAACGAGATCCTGTTGAAGACAAGACTTACGCCATGTACTTCCCGTATGCCATTTCAACCCCGCAATCTGCGACGTCTCCCCCGACCCGGAGCCCTTCTGGCCGGCTGTGGCTTATTGTACGAACTCCAAGATATATCAGCCATCCAAATCCGCCTGCATTCTTCGAGGTCCTGCGCGTGCAGCCGCACGGCAAAGGAGAACGCCGGCAGCTTGTCCAGCCAGAGCTTGGCGGCCGGGTGCTCCTCGTCAAAGACCCTGTCCCAGCGCGGCGGGAGGTCTTCGCGGCGCTCGTGCGGCACGAAGTTGGGATTCTCCTCGGCCGGGTGGTCCCAGCACCCGTTCTCCCCCAGCCAGGCCAGTTTCAGCCGGCGCAGCACCTCCTTCTTGTCCTGTTCGACGAGCTGGGCTCGGTCCTGGGCGCTCACGACCGGCGAGTCCTCGTCCCATGCCCTCATGGGATCCACGGTGCCGTGTGAGCTGTACCGCCTGATGCCCCCGAGCCTGGGCGGGATGACCCCTTCGTCCCACTTGCGGGGGTGGATATCCTGGTCGTTGAGCTTCCTATCGTAGTAGTCGATGAGCTCGAGGTCATCGACGTCCACGAGGACTGTTCGTTCCTCGCCGAAGAGGCCGAAGAGGCCGCATGAGACGATGTATTCCATCGGCTTGATGAGCCTCGTCTCGCTGAGGATGATGATGCAGTGCTTTCTGCCAAGAAAACAGTAGTCCATGGTGGAAGCGGTGTGGGCAAAAGTTTCTATCGTCCATGCGTCGAGGGCTACGATTGTGTCTGGGCTCTTCGCAAGCCGGCACGGGCTCCTGTCAAGCGTAGACCGGTCGTCGTCGACATCGCGAGGCGCAAAGTAAAGGATGTCAAACTTCGGGTCAAAGAGAATCGGCCTCGGGTCCTGGTAAGAGTACTTGTTCTCACCGATATAGTCAATCCAGTTCCAGGCCCTCTGGCCCAGTCGTGGGCGCACGGCATGCTTCCGGATCTTGCGAAACACTTCTGGAATGGCCCTGGAAATGACGGGCATCCTAGTGTACTTGCTCACAATGTATCGCAAGGCCGGCTCTAGCTTTTTGTGGTCGAGACCCGATGGTAGGTTGGGCCAAATGACTTCAGGGATAATTCTGCTGTCGACGACGCGGACGGGAAGACAGTACGCGTAGATGTCCCAGCGTAACTCGTAAGGGAGGTCGAGGAAACGAGGAAATGTCGTAGCAGGTACTGATGCCATCGTGGCTGGTGATGTTTTCGAGGTGCAACTCGATTGGCGACAATGTGAGATGGAGAATAAGCACCGATGCGATGGATTTGAAGGTTGCAGACGGCAAGAATCGAGGTATGGGTGTAGTTTCGGTCTTGGAAGTCAGGGAAATGAAGCTTGAGAAGCTCGATGGGGCGTAGAGTGGCGCTCAGGCTGTACTAACGGAGGAACTTACCAAAGGCTGCAGTAGAAGTAGGGTTGAAGGCTGCTCGGCAAGACGTGAGGTAGACAGAGCCCCCCGTACTGGGTCGTAACACTGGGTGCCTGCAAAGTGAATACGTGGCTACGGAAAGACTGCCCAGGTGGGTTGGTTACCTAGGAGGCAGGTACGTTGATAAAAGTGACTTGGTCGAAGTGCGAGTCGTGTGAAAGTACGCCATTTCCGACGGTTCCCTCTCCGTCTGTAGCCTAATACTAACAGCATCTATTAGCCTACATTATACAAGTTATATATATTTCTCACTGCCTAGCTTTATCTGTGCGGCATCAGGCTAAGGCTACATACCCATGTATTACATTCTCTCTATACTATTATTAGTATTATACTTTTTAAACACTATGTCTTCAGCGTTTACTACTGTATAAAGGCGCTATATATGTTTTATATGTATCGGGATTAGACACGAGGTCGACTTCACCTCTTAAGGACATTCCTCCCCTTCGTTCAGGCAGATACTCAGGATATCAAGAAGAAAGATTAGTACTCAGTCAGCAACGTGCCGACCTCTAATACCAATTCTATGCTGTCCTGTGGGGCCGCCCAAAACGCAAAGGACCACACAAAATTGAGGGGAGAGATCCGTTTCAACTTGAAGAAGGCGTTTTGAACCCTTGGGCGTTTGAGTCTGTAATGAACAACCGGAAAGGGAGCAAAGCTTCCCATTCGAAGTTTGTAGGACAGTATCAAATCCCTTCCACTTTTTATTTCCGCCTCGAGTTACACTTGCGGTTCGTCAAGAAGCAGGCGGCTTCATCTGTTCCTGATCATGGGTGATTGCATCGTCGAAAATGCTGGCCAGATAGACAGCCTTGAATCCATCCTCAAAATCCACAAGGGAGTCTGTAGTTCTAGGGTGGTACATTCGGCCTGGCTTAGGGAAAGGACACAGTCGCTGTGGATGTCAGACTACCTTACCTGCACCAGGTGATATTCAAGTGAAACAATCCCTCTGAGCCAGTATGATGTTTTTGTCAGACTTGTGTGGCAGCCCTGCAGATGATAAGTGATTGCGACGACAAGAGATAGGAATGGCTTCAGAAAGATGGGCGAGAGTGTGGGACCGTCAAGCGTCGCCCACTCGGAAGGACCGGGGATCGCGATGGTTCTCCATGGCCAAGATGTTCTGATGCCTGGGATGATTCGCTGGGGCGAATTGCGGGTGGGAAGTTGTGGAAATCGGTGGAAATCATTGACATTAGAGCCCCTCGCAAAAACGGTGGACAGACTCAAACACGAAATTGATCAACACGGCATGCGACCGACATCTGCAATGGCCTATAGGCAAGCTGGCAGGCTGGATGGAGCCCCTGCTCCTAGCGTCGGGACGGTCGGGCTGCAGTCGAGGTTGTCCTGGTTGTGCAGGTGCTCGCTCGGTTGCTGCCGGCCGATCTGCCCCCTTAAACGGTAAGTGGCGGGAGGGCCTGCAGGGACGTCATAGCTCCTTCGGGACTGACGGTGTCATCCCAACCAGCTGATGGAGGAGCCGCGTGGGCGCATCCACAGGCCCTCATTGGGGGCCGGGCGCAGCTGCGAGTGAGACACCCATCCTGACAACTTTCTAATTATGAACCCTGACAAACGGCCAACAAGCAGCCACACCCTCTGACCCTTTAATCCAACTCGCTGTCACATGCACGCATCATCTGCCCGCGACACCACGTCAAGCTCATTTATGCTGCCTTCCCAGTTTGTTCCCGTCTCTTGTCGTCCTCGGCCAAACTACCGCCGACCTCTTTCTTGAAGACGTTGCGAGCAAGTCCCCCTCCACTCACGACTCAGCCGCCCTCTCGGGCTCCGCGAATCGCGACCTCAACCCACACCGATCGTCTACGGCCGTGCTTCGTGCCCTCTCATCCCAAGTTGGCGCCGCAGGGTTCTGCAGTGCACAGCGCCTGGAGGAGGGCGGCAGCGAGCCACGCCAGGCGCCACTCTGTCAGGACCTGGTCTTCCTCACAAGCCTCGTCCGCATGGCATAAGATTATGGCCTCTGGATCCGGTGCCGACAAGAAGGCAGAGAAGTCATCATGGGCTTCGGCGGTGGAATCTATCAACCCGTGGTCCGGCAGCCGGAGCTCGACGCCCACTCCCAAGGAGCCTCTCGCGGCCCCTCCGCCCAAGCCCGCCCCTGCTCCCACCGCGACCCAGGGAGGCGACCACAGCATCAACCCCATATACGGCATCAGTGCCAGGAAATACCCTTCCGACTGTCCGCCGCTCAAGGTCCAGTGGTTCCATGCTGTTGATGTAGGTTCCCGTGCCCACACTTGGAGAGGACTTGCTGACAGTCGACCACTGCAGGTGCCAAAGCGCAAGCCACAGCTCATCAAGGGCAAACGAAAACCCGACGAGAAACCACCCCAGCCTCCCAAGAAATGGGTCCCATTCTCCAACAATGACACAAGATCGATCGAGATCGCATATCAGGGCGTCCTCGAGAGCACAGAAATAGAACGGGACCGAAGCAACTCCGCTCCGACTAGGAACTTCTCAGGCCCGCGAAGGGGTTTAACTTCGTCCGACTCCGGCGAGAGCGACAAAGAAGGTGGAACCAAGGTCCCGGTGAATGAGGATTTCCTCTTCGATGTCGACATAGAGAAGCGCGAGCTCGCCCCAGTCTACTGGCTCGGTCCTGTCTACGATGTGCGTCGTGGCAGCTGGTTCTACCAAGAGGGCTCGACCCTCCGTCCCTGTGAGGAGAATCTCGCCGCGCAACTCGAGGAGGGCTTCCTTAAGTGCAAACCCTGGCTCTATCCTGGTGAGTTGGAAGAGCGACCCAGCAAACGACGGAGAATTAACTCCTGGTTAGCCCCAAGAATCCGAAGCGACAACAAATCCAAAAAGGGAGGAGACGTGACACCAAAGGGATCTGTTGATAACCTCAGGGCCCAGGCCGCTGCACAGGCCGACTCGTCTCTGAAGCCGCAGGGTCCACCACAAACACACAGGTTGTTCGGTGCCTGGATGAACTCGGTGGCAACATATCAGGACTCGACGACAGCATGGCTCAACTCCGACGGCGTCTTGTCATGGGTGACCTCGACCATGTACGAACGATTTGCTGGAGGGGGCTACATGAGTGGCGTCAAGCTTGTTCGTGGCTACACAGAGCCGGGAAAGACCAAGCCGAAAACGGACTCGTCCAAAGATGAGAAGGCGCCCACCACACCGACCGACGACAAGAACACGGAGGAACAGCTTGACAAGGCACGGAAACGGAGGTCCGCGCCCCCGACGACGAGGTCCGACTCTATTGACGTAGCACGTTCAAGCGGTGAGGAAGAAAGCACACTCAAAACAGCGATCGAGGCCCGAGGCGATACTCTCAAGCGACAGATATCAACATTGCTAGAAACCGAAAACCGCGACGTCGAGCTAGAGGAAGAAGCTGTGAGGAAGAGAGAGGAGAAGGAGATACAGGATGACTACAACGCACCAGCCGGCGAAACACAGGGGCGTGAAATTGAGCACCTTGTCTTGATCACCCACGGCATTGGCCAGTTGCTCGGCTTGCGGATGGAAAGTATTAATTTCGTCCACGATGTCAACACGCTGAGGAAGACGCTCAAGTCAGTCTACACCACTTCTGAGGATCTGAGAGCGCTCAACTCGGAAATCGGCGGAGGCCCTGGGAATTCTCGTGTACAGGTATTGCCCGTATGCTGGCGTCACCTGTTGGACTTCCCCAGGAAACGCGAGGAGAAGAGGAGCGAGCAGGATATCGGCCTTGCGACGACCGAAGAAGACGAATGTAAGTATTTGCTGCTCAGAAGAATGGCTTCCGCTGACTCATATTTCAGATCCTTCCCTCGACGATATAACGGTGGAAGGAGTGGCATTTGCGAGATCACTCATCTCTGATCTGGCATTGGACGTGCTCCTATACCAGAGCGCTTACAGGGAGCAGATCTCCGAGATTGTCTTCAAAGAGGCGAACAGGATTTACAATCTTTTCGTCGAGAGGAACCCTGGCTTCAAGGGCAAGGTTCACATCATGGGCCACTCACTCGGGTCTGCCATCATGTTCGATATACTGTGCCGCCAGCAAGAGATGAGAAAACAAGCCGAGCAGCCCAAGAACCCGCTGAGGATCTGGCCATCCGAAACGCCGAAGCCTGCGAAGAAGGACCCGCGAGACTTGACCTTCGACTTTGAGGTTGATGACTTCTACTGCCTTGGTTCTCCAATCGGGCTGTTCCAGATGCTGAAGGGGCGGTAGGTGTACATCTCACGGCGCAATCGATTGACTTGTTACTAATTTCGACTAGGACTATCAGCGCACGCCACCTGACCGATGGACTACCAGCAAACAGCCCCTTTGATCCGGACGAGGCTGACGATCCCTTCCGCACGGCGCCTCTAGCGGCCGATCACCAACGCATCTCCCCAGTCACGGGCCTGCCGTATTCTGTGTCGTCGCCTAAGTTGTCCCAGATGTTCAACATCTTCTACCCATCCGACCCGATATCCTATCGTGTAGAGCCCCTCATCTCACCCGCCATGTCTTCCCTGAAGCCTCAGAACTTGCCGTACACCAAGAAGGGTATCTTTGGAGCTGTGGCCCCACAAGGCATCTCGGGCATCGGGGCCAAGGTCGGGCAAAGTGTCAGCGGGCTGTGGGCCAGCGTCAGTGCGGGCTTAGCCAACAACCTGCTCAACCGCAGCCTGGGCTTGACCCAGGAAGATGTGGCGCAAATCACCGCCTCACAGCAGCAGCAACAGCAACAGCATCACACGCCAAGCCCAGCCGCCGGGAGGAACATCTCCACCTCGTCCGGCGTCATATCCCGGCAGGACTCGACGACAAGCCTCAGCCAGAAGGCGGCGGAGCGCAAGCGCCAGCTGGCGGAGGAGCAAGGCGGGCGCAAGAGCATCAGCGGCAACGACATGACGCTCCTGGACGACGACCTGGAGACGCTGTACAGCAAGTTCCAGAAGGGGCGGGCGGAGATGATCAAGGAGGAGGGCAGCGGCGGCGGCGGCAGCGGGCTCGACAACGAGGCGGAGAGGGAGGAGTGGCTGGCGCAGGAGAACAAGGCGGCGCGGGTGCGCAAGGAGGAGCTCAAGGTGCGGGCGCTCAACAGGAACGGGCGGGTCGACTACAGCGTCCAGGAGGGCGCGCTGGACTTCAACCCGATCAACACCATCGCCAGCCACATGGCGTACTGGGCGGACGAGGACGTGGCGCATTTCATCATGAGCCAGCTGCTCTCGAGGAAGGGGGAGGGGAGGGATGCTGGGCGGAGGTGATTGATGCTTTTTCTTCTTCTTCTTCTTCTTCTTCTTCCCTTTTGGTACTCTTTTTTGCACAGAGACGTCGGCATTCATTCACTTTAGACAGCAGGGTGTGCTGCTAGATGGGATTGGGCTACATGTAAAGACTGGCGGGCGGCAACTTTGGCATTGGTGTTTTCTCTTGGTTGGTTTTACAGGCTATGGTGGACCTTGGCTAGGTAGTATGGCGTTGTGTCTGCTTAGTGGCATTAGATCCGCCAGGTTTATGACAATTCTAGATGGACTATGACGAGGAAGCTTTTTGCTTTGTAAGTGAGCACTGACTTGGCATGGATGTTGACCTGAAAATGAACATGGCCCCAACATAGCCGTGCTTTCGTGTGGAGCATGACTGGGGGTTGTGGGTGCATCCATTTCCCTCCTGGCCTGGTCTATACGAACAATTGCATGCCCGTATTATATGGAACAAGAGCACGTTGGAATATTTGACTTTGTTGCTTATTTTTATATGCTATTGGATACACTGGCTGCTGTGGTGATTGGGATCACACACGATGATCCGTTGGACGCGTACATGACACCCCCGGCCGAAGTGATTGATGCCTCCCACACCCACTTACCACATCCACCTACCCACCAACCCCGCCAGAGCAAGGAGACCCCGCGGCACGCCCTCAGGGCCTCAGCACGCCCGCACCAACCAGCCGCCCCCACACCTCGGGCAGGGCCCTCGCATAGTCCTCGGGGGCGCGCCCGTCGTCGTCCCGCAGCGCGCGGAGGTCCTCCCCGCGGCGCTCGGGCATGCGGCCGATGCCCATCCCGCGCGCGGCGTCGAGGGCCTCCTGGGGGAAGGCGTCGAGCGGCAGGCGCGGGGCGCCGAGGAACAGCAGCAGCCAGACGGCGTCCTCCTGGCCGCGCTCGAGGGCGAGGTGCAGGGCGGAGCGGCCGCGGGCCAGGGGGTCGCGGTAGCTCAGGATGGCCGCGACGTCGCCGCCCTGCGCCCCCTCGTCGGCGGCGGCGTCGCTCAGCAGCTCGACGGCGCCGAGGACGTCGCCCTCGCCGCAGAGGGTGTGGAAGGCGCGGGGGCGGCGCTCCTCGGGGTGCGACTCGAGGTAGGCCTCCTCCGTGAGGGTGGGCAGGATATCGAAGTCCTCCTCGACGCCGCCCTCTGACGCGTAGCGCGTGCGGATCGTGGTCTGGTGCTGCGGGGTGTGGAAGACGGGGTTGGTGACGCTGGGGCCGGCCTCGTTGGTGGGCAGGTACTTGTCGCACGAGGGGCAGGTCAGGGCCAGGGCTATGTGGCCCGCCTGGTCCAGCAGGCACTGCCAGTGGTAGTGGCAGCCGCAGGGCAGCTCGAGGTCGTCCGGGGCTGGGGCCTCGCCGGCGTCGTCCTCGTCGGGCTGGGTGACGAGGGGGTCCTCGCAGACTTTGCAGAGTGGGGTTGAGCTGCTGCTTGCCATTTTTTCTCTAATTTTTATTTTTTATATATGGATGTGGTGTAGAGGGGGGAGAGAAAAAAAAAGGTTGGCAGCTGGATGAAGAGGGTTTCTGATCAGGCTGTCTGTTATCAGGATGGAGGTGGCAGACTGAATGGAAGGAGGAGGATGAGGCTAAGACACAGATAGACAGAAATGTCTGTCGTCCAGGTTGATGGGCTCCAGCCAGCCGAGTCGGGTCGATCGGGGCCAGAAAGACATATACAAGGACAGTTGCTCTCCGCCGTCCAGGGGGATCCGATCAACACGGAAGGGCTGAGAATGTGGGACACAATCCGGACGGCAGTAGTAAAAGGAAAACAGCAAAAGATGAGAAAGAAGCGTCGGGCTGGGCCGAATGCTACAAACGGATCGGCCACTGAGCCTGCAGATCGGGAGGGCCAGACGTCAGAGCCAACTCAAAAGAGCAAGTCATCGACTTGGATGGTTCATCGAGACGTCGGCGACACTTGAATTTACCTATGATGATGATTGTGTTGTTGTTTTGGGCCCGACCTTTTGGACAGGAGCAAAGGCAAAAACTGAAAGAACAGTCTCACTCGAGGAATTTGAATCAAGAAGGAAAATGGAAAATTTATCTCAAGGGCACGCAAGGGCACGGCGTCACTAGCTCGTGAGGATGAGGTTAGCCTCAAAACAGAAGGGCCTGAATATATGCGGATAAGGAGATACGTCGAGTCAGCGCGAATGACGATGGCCCAAATTGCATGTTGGACAGGCACCCCGCTATCTCGAATTCGGCCATGGGCATGAGGGACTGACTGCTACGGACTACGTACCATGTGCTGCGATGGGGGCGGCATTGAGTTGGGCTTTGGAGTCGCGAACCTAATGACTGCCTAACAATGCGTCGTCAGGCCTTTCTTGGCATCTCGCTTGACCTGCGTGCGGTACGCGTAAACCCGCCGTGGCTTGTACCTGGCAGCTACCTGGCAGCCTGGGTACGGGGTAAGTAGCCCGCGGGCTTGGGCAGAGACGTCATAATGCAAGGTTCCCACAGGTTCCATGCCCGCCCCGCCTGCCCGCCAGTCACCCAGCCCGACAGCTCCCTGGGCGGGCAAGGCGGGCTAATAATGGTTGATTAAGCGAATGATTGATCCCTCCTCCAGCTTACCTCTTGCCCCCCCTCCAACATGCGACTCGACCCGACCTGACGACCGACCGACCGACCTCCTTAGGCTGCGTATTTCCTTGGTCTTGCTGCCCTTCCCTTTCCAACACCATATCGCATCTAGCATCTCCAATTAGCAACAACATAGAGTGCATAACCACGCAACCATGAACGTCCTCAAGCTGCAGAGGTATGACGAGCCCCAGCACCCGGCTCCCCGGACTGCCCGCCCCGCTGACCATCTCTCTTGCCCCCAAACACAGGAAGTTCCCCCAGTTCCAGCAGAACGACATATTCGGCCTGGCAGACGCCTTCCGCAAGCTCGATGTCGACGACAAGGGCTACGTAGACGAGGCCACCGCCATCAAGGCCACCCAGGCCAGCGAGCGCCAACCTTACGATGTCGTGCGACAAGCACTCAAGGAGGTCGACCTCGACTCCTCCAGGCGCGTCGAGCTGGAGGACTATGTCGGGGTACGTACGGGACAAGGACACAGGAACAGACACCCCCAGGGCATCCCCTCAGGCTGACGGCATTGATTTAATAGCTCATCGCGAAACTCCGAGAATCCTCCCCGGCCCAGGTCGCCATGCGCACAGGAGGTGCCGCCCCCGCCTCCCCCAGCAGTGTCGTCGCACAGCGCACCGGCGGTGGCCACGCCCAGAAGTCCAGCATCAGCGGCAAGATCCACGTCCAAGGTTCGAATGCCAACATCACTCACACCATCAACGAGGACGAGCGCACAGAGTTCACCCGCCACATCAACGCCGTCCTGGCCGGAGATGCCGACATTGGCGACCGCCTGCCCTTCCCCACCGACACCTTCGAGATGTTCGACGAGTGCCGCGACGGCCTGGTGCTGGCCAAGCTCATCAACGACAGCGTGCCGGATACCATCGACGAGCGTGTCATGAACGTCCCCGGAAGGAAGATCAAGAAGCTGAACGCCTTCCACATGACCGAGAACAACAACATCGTCATTGAGTCCGCCAAGGGTATCGGCTGCTCCGTCGTCAACATTGGCAGTGGGGATATCATCGAGGTCCGCGAGCATCTCATCCTGGGCCTGATCTGGCAGATCATCCGGAGGGGTCTCCTGGGCAAGATCGACATCAAGCTGCACCCTGAGCTGTACCGGCTCCTGGAGGAGGACGAGACCCTGGAGCAGTTCCTGCGCCTGCCACCAGAGCAGATCCTCCTGCGCTGGGTCAACTACCACCTCAAGGCCGCCAACTGGCCCCGCCGCGTCGCAAACTTCTCTACCGACGTCAAGGACGGCGAGAACTACGCTGTCCTCCTGGCCCAGATTGGCTCGGAATACGGGTGCACAAGGGCCCCTCTGCAGACACGAGACCTGCTCCAGCGTGCCGAGGAGGTCCTCCAAGATGCGGACAAGCTGGGCTGTCGCAAGTTCCTGACCCCCAAGTCCCTCGTCGCCGGAAACCCCAAGCTCAACCTTGCTTTTGTTGCGAACCTGTTCAACACCCACCCTTGCCTCGACCCTATCACGGAAGAGGAGAAGCAGGAGGTCGAGGACTTCGATGCCGAGGGCGAGCGCGAGGCCAGGGTCTTCACCCTGTGGCTCAACAGCCTGGACGTCCAGCCCGCTGTCCAGTCCTTCTTCGACGACCTGCGCGATGGCTCAATACTGTTGCAGGCCTACGACAAGGTCATCAAGGGCTCGGTCAACTGGCGGCACGTCAACAAGCCCCCCGCGAACGGCGGCGAGCTGATGCGCTTCAAGGCCGTCGAGAACACAAACTACGCGGTCGAGCTGGGGAAGCAGAACGGCTTCTCGCTGGTCGGCATCCAGGGCGCCGACATCACGGACGGGCAGAAGATGCTGACCCTGGGCCTGGTGTGGCAGCTGATGCGCAAGAACATCACCATCACGCTGGGCGCGCTGGCGCAGCGGCTCGGCAAGCGCGAGATGACCGACGTCGAGATGGTCAAGTGGGCCAACGACATGTCGCGCAAGGGCGGCCGCAACTCGTCCATCCGCTCCTTCAAGGACGGCAACATCGGCACGGGCGTCTTCCTGATCGACGTGCTCAACGGCATGAAGAGCAACTACGTCGACTACGACCTCGTCACGCCCGGCCGCACCGACGACGACGCCTACCTCAACGCCAAGCTCAGCATCTCCATCGCCAGGAAGATGGGCGCCACCATCTGGCTCGTGCCCGAGGATATCTGCCAGGTCCGGTCGCGCCTGGTCACGACTTTTATCGGTATGTCTCTTTCAGCCCCCACACCCCCCCCCCTTGTTTACTTGCGATAAAAACATGCTAACGTCACTGTCACAGGCTCCCTGATGGCCACCCACGAGAAGATGCAGTAGTTCGTCACTGGGGAAGTTGAAGAGGCTTGACAAGTTGCATTTTCCTTTTTTTTTTTTTCAAAAGGGAGAGGGGAGGAGACCAAAAAGTTAAGGGGGACAGAGAGGGGTTTCTTGTTGGTAGCGTTCTCCGGGCTCTTCTTTAACGTGTTGTTTTTGGCCCTCCGCTTCGCGACGCGATAGAATTCTTTGTTTTTTTGTGTTTCTGTAGTACTTCGTGACAATACCTCTTGCAGAAAGGCAATCGATCCTGACTGGATGATGGAGACTTTTTTTTTTTAGTTGCACATGTGCTTTGAAATGCCCATGAGTGTGGCATTTTTGTATGCCTGTGTTGAACCTGTATGTGTTTTGCGTTTTTGTGTAACATTTGGAATCTGCCTCACCGAGGACCACCGTGACCTTTTCGAACAAGAGTGTTGAGGACGCCAATCCGTACACACCACCCATCCATACATCCGCCTCCGTGAGCACCACTGATCTAGCCATGGTGTTACTAGGTAAATACTCGTGACGCGTGGCCGACGAAGGCTGTGTGTGCCCATTACGTTGTGTGGCCTTGGGCCATCCGTGAGAAAGAGAACACATCTTTTTGAGGTTTGCCCATGACCGACTGCTAGATCATGAAACGCATAGATTGATTCAGGTGATAAAGCTCTGGACATAAGAGTTTGGGCTGAATTCTTGGACTTGTAGTTATTTCACAAGATACTATAAGAAATTTTAAGTTAATTCATCAACATTTGGAAGGCATAAGGAACAATGACACTTATTTCAGTCATATTCTTTGAGTATGAGCATGAGGATTTGCTGCTGTCCATTGCAAAGCCGACGATACTTGCTATCTACTGGTTCAAATACCTTACCTAACGTGCGGTCAGCCAGGTCAGCCCAAAGGCCCAGGGCTGACAAAATGATCCTTTTATACTCCGAGCTGGATGAGATAACTTCACCTGGAGTCCTGCACCGATGTCCTGGGCTGAATAGGGAAAGGTGGGAGGACCCAGTGCTTACCCCTGGGCATGTCGGTTTGGCCATTGGTGGAGGGTCCACTTTAACGTTGCCTAGCTTGTTCCTGTCAAGTGGCAGCCTAAGCTAATAACACTGAATAGGGCAGGAGAGTCACATTTATCCGATGTGTATGTTTAATTAAGCAATGCAGAGTAACATCCTAGGATTTGGGCTAATCGACACAAAATTCTAAAGCCTATTTATCCTTGGAGATGCTCGCCCTTTTTCTTCTGTTTCTATAGATCATGTAAGTTGGCTTGGTGTTTTCCAGCGCAAGCATCTATCATCATGGCTGTGGCTTTCCGCCGGAAAATGAGCTCGCTGAGCTCTAGACCTGCACTCTTCACTGCCCTCTTGGCGGCATTCAACGTGGCATCCGGTAGGTCACCACCATCCAGTGCGGTCCCGCGACCAAGCAATAACTAATTCAATGAGTCCAACGTTAGCCCAATACGAATGGGATGACGAGCCGGCATGTGACAATCCCAGGGTGAGCATCGTCAACCAGACCGACATCGACTTCTACAAGACCTGCCCGGTCATCGACAGCTCGTTCTTCTTTATCGACCACGAGTTCAAGGGCCCCTTTGAGCTGCCCGGCGTCGTGTCCCTGCCCTCCTTCAGCTCCGGGTACTATGGGCCGAAGCTCAAGGGTTCTGACTGGGTCGACGACGGGGTCACCAGCGTCTCGATGCCGGATCTCCGGAACATCACGGCCAACTCGGTATTGTTTGGATACATTAACAATCTGACCAGCATCTCTTTTCCGTGAGTGGATTCCGTTTGCGGGCAGTATTCACAGCGTGGGGATATTGTCAGCTTCTGCGCTATCTGTTTTTTCGTGTCTCACGGTTCGATCCTTTGCTAACCCAGAGACTGGTTGTAGGAAACTGGAAGCGGTCGCCAAGGATTTCGTCGTCATAGGTAGCTACGGCGTCCGCAATATAACATTGCCGGCGCTGACCACCGCCGGCGCGATGCTTCTGGACGGTGATTTTGACGAGTACGTGTTCAATGTTACCCCCTACTAGTTCACGGCCGTGTCCTTTGCCCGAGCTCCCAATGCTGATGCCTCGCAGAATCAACCTCCCATCGCTCAAGACCGCGTCGTACCTCAGAGTGCTGTCCACCGGTAACATCAGCTGCCCGGCCCTGGGAGCAGCGTTCGCTTCCGTGACATTCACCGCCACGGAGGACGACCTCTACCAGGGTTTTACCTGCTGGACTGGGTACGAGGACAACAGCTGGAACTCATCGGACCCGTCGAACAACCCCAAGCCCGGGGATTCTTCATCCACCGGGACCGGCTCCGGCTCCGGCTCCGGATCGGGCTCATCGACCAGTGCTGGGTATGTGTGTGCAACCTTGAGTTCGTTGTCTCTATGCTAATAAGGTATACAGTAGCAGCACGGTAGGCGCGGCGCAAATTGGATATTCGGTGATGGTCTTGTTTTTCTCAGCCGTAACGTCATATTTGTAGACTTTATAATACACTTAGAATGCTGCGTCTTGAGCATTTACCACTGTACGAAGGTGCTATGGATGTCCCCGGACGTATGCGGAATAGAATGCGAAACCAGATAAGTGGTGCATATTCATAAATCCGGCGTCAATTCCTACAACTTTTACCAAGAAGGTATGGTACCACAGGGTCATAAATTTGCACTGAATTGTAGGGCACTACAGGACGAGGTCTCCCTGGTGAGCAGGCTGCTCGATGGCGCCGCTATGAAATGCTGTGCGTAGGACACAGCTTACTAGCCGCATTCCCTTGCATCATGCACATGCAGCCACTGCATGTGCTAGACATCTTTTTGACTGCATTGCTGGGGACACGAGCTACTGGTTTGAGCAACCTGAATTGGTGGTCAGCAACAAAGGACTCAGCCTGCATAATGCTCCTGTTCGAATACGAGGAATTCTTGAGCATGCTCCGTTATAAAGTATCGAGTCAATCCCAGCTATTGTGTTTCCTCCAAGACACCCTCGCCCCCGAATGAAATGACTTCTTGGAGCCGGATGTGAGCTTTGTACTTCTCTCCTGAAGTCTGCAACTGTCTTACATGCCCTAATTACACCGCGGTGGGGGTAACAGTACCGATGGACCTCACGTCAAAGCAGGTCGCCTTGAGTGGCCGTTTGAAGCCCGAGGCTCGCTTGGGTCTAGCAATTTCCGAATTTGCACAAACGCTCGACAGTGAGCGCAGGAACGAGTTTCGATCCATGCAGAGTAAGCAGGATGCCCAAATATCAGGGCGAGATATTATCAAGATGACCGAAGAAATCAACCAGGAGGGAGCGCGTCGCCACAAATCCTGGAGACCACATGGAACCAAAGTGGGCGGCTTCCTCGCTCGAATCCAGGCTTTCGCCGCCATAGGAGACGTGTTGGTTGGAGGGTCTCAGAACCTTATCGCAACCGGGGTATGGAGCGCTGTAAGGCTGTCATTGACAGTGAGTTGACCACCCTGGCTTGGAGCATTTCCACGGCTTGGTAAGGTAGGTGCCGCTTGCTGACATGATGAAGATTGCTACGAACTATTTGGGCTACTTTGAGAAGCTGTCAACTCTTTTGATGCGGCTAAATACCTCGTGGACACTTCATGAAGACTTTTCTCGACTTTTCCCCACATCTGAGGTACTGCAGGCATATTTCTGTGAATACCTGGTCGTCCTCATGAGGCTTTGCAACAAGGTCGTCATGTTCTGTCGGAGAAAGACCGGGGCACAGCTTCTCTCGTCTATAGGCTCGTCCTTCGATTCAGAGTTCGGGCCTGTCCAAAAAGAGCTAGACCAATGGGGTTATCTGATCCAACAGCAAACCCAAGTCCTCGCTACAAGACTAGTCGTCGACTCGCAACAAGACAAATTCTACAACCTGAAGCAACAACTATTGTGGCGAATTTCACCTCACCAGAATGAATTCGAGACCAGATGGAGACGCGAACGGAAGAAAGGAACCTGCGGATGGATATTCGACACTTCGAGCTTCGAGGGTTGGAGGTCTTCCCAGACGTCAGCCACACTTTGCATCAGCGGTAAATTGGGCAGCGGAAAAACTGTGTTCATGGCAAATCTAGTTGCCCGGATGAATCTTGAACAACCGTGCGCCTACGTCTTCTGTGCTTCTCAGGAAGCGATCAGTACCAAAGCCGAGCACATATTGGGTAGTATTGCCTTCAACCTGATTGGCAATCTGCCCACAGAAGAAACATCACACAGGATACTCGCACAAAACGATATCAAGCAGGCATTTGATCCGGAAACAATCATTGACCTCCTTCTACGTCTCCTTCCTAAAGATAGGAGGTATATCATCATCGCGGACGGCTTAGAGAACTGCCCTGATGTTGATTTGCATGACGTTCTTCTTGGTCTCCGTCGCCTGAGCCAAAATCGCCTGGTTCTGTTCTGTTACTCCAGTCGATCCAACTCGCGCTTTCAACAGGTTGCTGATGAACAGCTCGCCCCGGGATACTTTGTTTCTCATGATAATTCCAACCATGACGAAGAGCTTGACGCTTATATTGTGGCAGAAGTCACGAGGAGGAACACGACACGACATCTGAGTCCTGACTTGGAGGAGTTGGTGAAAAGGCAGCTAATATCTGGAGCACAGGGAATGTGAGTGAGAAATGATATTTCTGTATTGACCGCACTCATTGATGACTCGCAGGTACCTATGGGTCTCGCTTCAACTTGAAACAATCTTCCCAGCAGACTCAAAGGCTGTCGTAACGGATCATGAGGTACTGAACCTCATTTCAAATCTTCCGAAAGATTTGCCAGGGGCATTTGAGCAGGCTCTAGAAAGAATATACGACCCCAAATATGAGGGCAAGATCATGAAGCTTGTCCTATCTGCTGCGAGGCCCCTCGAGCTTGATGAGATCAGAATTGCACTATGCGTTGTTGCCGGAGAGCCGGTTTGGCACCCGGAAAGAATAGCCAAGCATGGGACGCAACTCATCTCGCTCTGCGGCGGTAACCTGCTCGATCTCGATGAGGAGGACAGAAAGGTGCGATTCATCCACCACAGCGTCATCCAACACCTACTCTCACCGGGCACCGCTGAAAATACGACCTCATATCATTTCACGGTCGAGGATGCTGAGAATTTCATGGGAGCTACATGTGTCACATATCTTCACCTGCCGGTTTTGGATTCAAGAATGACGGTGACAAGAAATCTCCAAAGTCAGCAAGTATTAGACAACGTGATGGGGTCTACCCGTCATTCTCTGCCAGGCCTCAATCACTTGGTCCAACACATCAGATCGCGGGAGCAGAAGCGGGCCCGGCCTTCACAGGTCGATATCGGACACATACTTTCGCAAATACAGGCTACTCGTGTCCAACAAGATCTCGACCCTCGTTGTTTCGCAGGTTATGCCACAAGGCATTGGGTGTTCCATACGAGGTTCTTCGAGGCACGATTTCATAGCTGGAGGCTGTTCTGGCAACTTTTGTGTGGTGGCGTGGAATGGGTCAAGCCGTCTTGGCCCATCCCTGGGGAACAGCCATTTGAGGCCCTGTTGTGGGCCATAGAGCGTGGGCATGGCGCCTTGTTCTGCATGCTCCTCAACCTAGGCGATCTGCGAAGAGGTCAGATTACCCAGATTGTATGTGCCCTCGAATCACAGAAGAGCATACATGGACAATGGCTAGGTGACATTTTGGCCCGGTATCTCCTAGGAATAAATGCCATTGACGCGTCCTCCGCCGGGAAAAGGATCACATTTCTCCTCGAAGCAGGCGCCGATCCGACAGTGCGACATTCGACCATGGGGCTTTCACCTTGCGATATTTTCACACGTCAAATCTGTGCGGATGCTCGGTTTGCTGCAGCAGAACAGAAAGTCATCCATGCGTTCTTTTCTCACCAAGCTGTAAAGAGACTTCTTGACTATCGGAGCGTTCAAGACGTATTCACATGGCTTCTGGATAATGGGAAACTTGTGACTATCGCTGAGATTCTAGCGTGTCGACCTGACTTGAAATCGGTTCTTCATCAGATACAAACGAAAAAACTTCTCGCTATCGAAACGGCACAGGATCATCTCAATCGAGATGGAAAGGCCGTCGATATGCAGCGTATAAATACGCCGACTTCCACAGGAACGACGTTGTTGTTGGATGCAATCGAGACAAGGAATGATGCATGGGTCTACCACCTCTTACGCCTTGGCGCCGACCCAAATATTGGACCTTTCAAAATGAGGCAACATATACAAAGCATACACTTCAGGGCAACATGCTACCCATTGGAGGCTGCTTTGTGGCTAGGCAGGACACGAGTATGTTTGGAGCTCCTACATCACGGAGCAGACATTGGCCGGCTTGGTGTATCGCCCATGCGCATTGCTGAGGAGACGAACAACTGGATCATGATCGCACGTCTTCAAGAGACACCAGGCTGGACTAGGCAGCTAGAGAAAGTCTGGAGCGATCGACCCCGTGAGCCTGATGGCACAGCACTAGTGACAGCGTGCCGGATTCTCTCTCAACGAAGCCCCGGCGTCGTCGAGTCCCCGAACTCTCCGGAATCGTCGGAAAACGCCGCCATAACAGGCGATTGGGCGGTTGAACTTGACCAGGTTATCTATAGGCTGGCACGCGATGCCAGTCCAGAGTACGTGAATACTCAAGATTCACAAGGCAGAACAGCGTTGCACTACTTATCTGAAGTTAAAACCGGAGACACCCGAGCCCTGAATTCCATCGTCACGTTTCTCCTGCGCAGAGGAGCAGAGACAAATCTACCTGGGTAGCGGACTGTCATAGCGAAAGCCCCTGCGGTTTGTATCTTCAATTTAGCACTACTATGTACGCAGCACACGCGGTTCTGGTTCCATGAGAGCATAGGGCTGATGCAGATGTAGCTTGTGTCTAGTGTAACCTTGCTTCTCTCAGAAAAGGCATAGTATAGTGTAAGGAGTTGAATAGGATCCCTAACGCTATTGTTTCAATACAGTGTGACAATATGGGAAGGGAACTTGTGGTTTTACACCATCAGATTCAGTTGTTATATCCTTAGCAACACGTTGAGGAAAGGCAATCTTCGCTAATCATCAAATATTATACTAGAGTGTTGGAAATCCATATTATCCCATGACCATGTGGCTCCGCTAAACCCTGGCTCCATCCTCGGAGCCAAAAATGAAAAGTTTATTTCGACCCAAGCCTGCTTCAGGCGAATTACACGCGGCTTGATTTCAGACTCCTATGAAGATCAGCGGTTCATGAGGGCCAGTTCTGGGGAAGCTTCGTTCTCAGCTAAATCATCGTCGTAGCCGTGATACTTATACAAACCAGTCCGACAAGTTACAACCTGGGTGGATCAAGACTGACACAGTCTGGCCCTTGACATAACTTCACTTTGGTTTAGCAACACTCTGAAGGTCGCACAGATCCAGCAGATGGCAAGTCTCGAAACCCTGCAACAGAGCCGCCACATGCGCACACATCGCGCATAAGTAAGTACTTAAGTACCCACACTCGCAGTCTTGTCTGCGTTACTTACCCGTGGGCCTCCGCTAATCAGATTTTTTAAAAAACTCATTCAACGAACCAGGCATCCACGCGTGGCTGAGTCTGAAGCCGAAAGGTCGGGATGATTGCACAAACACATTGTATATGCCCCCAGAGATATTTCCAAATTTTTAGATCATTCCCATCTCATGTCCAGGTATACCACGAAGGTCTAGTTTACGTGCCGGCTTTACTTTATATATCTCTGGGGTCACCGTATGAAGGCGCCATGTATGTCCTCGGACGTATACGGACTAGAAGCGAAACCACATACATCTCTGGAGAATTGGCACATGAGAAAGATCAAAAGTTGATTAAATGAAATTATTGAAGATGAAATTATCTACTATAAGACCAGGCTCACCTGACCGCCACCGGAGTAGTCAACTCAAACGACACGCTAGCACCGCCAGGCCTGACCCAAAGGGTCAACGGGTCACTCCCGAGCTGTTCAGACCTGGCGCCCTTCGTATCCCTCACCGGGCCAGGGAAGGTGACCGGGATCTCAACCTGGCAGTTTGCGTCCGCGGCCGAGACCGTCGCCCCGACCAGGCTGTTCCCATCCGCCGAGTAATCCATCCTCAGCGAGGGCTGGCACTGATCCCTCTGCCGCCTCGCGACAAACGCCCGGCCCAAATCATCGTGCTTCAGCGTGCGGATGGGCCAGCTGACGAGCCTCGTCATCTCGTCGACCAGCTCCTCGACCCAGATCTGCAGCAGCGAGAGGTTGTTGTACTCGCGGGCGGCGGTGCGCACGACGCCCGTGTCGACGGCGTGCATGTTGGCCTGGTGGAACATGTACGGGTCGTGGCGCAGCGCGAGCAGGTTCCGCGCGGCCGCCATGCGCTCAATGGCCATGATACCGTCGAAACCCGAAGTCTGGCCCAGGGCGGTCTGCCACAGTGCTGTGTTGGAGGCGGCGTCGTCGCAGTTGAAGTAGATGTTTGTCGCGAAGCGGGGGATGATCTCGAGCCCGGCCTCGCCGTTGCGCTCGGCTGTTGTTGTAAGTGTCCAGAAGGGGCGCTCTGTGTTCAGGAGGGCGGGTCTGGTGTTGTCGCCGACGACGTATGTGATGCCGTTACCTAAAAAGGCGCGGATGGCGTCGCCGTTGTGCAGGCCTGTGATTTGAGGGGGTACGAGAGAGGCAGGAGAGAACTTGGGGTGTCCGGTGAAGCCCGTGTTTTGGAACCAGATTTGATTAAAGCGGATTTCCTTGTCGACATCGGAGAAAGTGGCGTTTGAGAGAGCCAAGTGTGTGAACGTGTGGCTGACGTGATAGAACTCGTCACGGTGGGAAGTGAAGTAAGTGGCCAGAGGGTCAAGATCCTCGCACTGCTCAGACCAGGTATAATTAGTCTGCTCGGGTGGCCAGGCATCCTCTCCGGTGCCAAGAGGCTTCTTGAATTCCTGGTCAACCAGAATGGGCTTTTCCTTGGTAAGGACGTTACTTTCCGGGACACAAATGTCCGTTCCAAAGGAGCCCTGCACGGCCTCTTCAATGTTGCCGTTACCATTGTACGCCATTTCGATCAGATAGTCGGATCCCGCAGGCATGCGCGAATTAATGTCCCTGGTCCATGCTGCATGGGCTTCAACATCAGCCACGCGTAGTCGGAACTCTCGCGTGGTGCCAACTGTCACATGTTAGTCCTTGGCCTTGGCCCTAGGTCCGAGACACAAAGGTGAGCGTCGTAATATACTTACATATTCCAGTACTCAAGAGAACGTCGTCAATGTGTGTTCCCAAGTACGCTCGTCTTTGCCCGAGGTAGAGGCCACGGGTCATCCAGGTGATCCACGAATGCTGGATGAAATTAGAGGCCTGGCTCCACCCTGCCGCAAAGCTGGTGAAGAAGACCATCTGTTCTCGTGTGCCATTGGCGTGGGGGAAGGCATTGATGACAGCAGCCGTGGCATCGCTCGTAAATGCTGGCCCTGAGTGCAATTTGGCAATTTGGCGGGTTGTCGCCGGATCAGTAATGTCGGCACCGTAGAAGAAGAGACCGTCCATGGCGACCGTCCCACCTTGCTTGATCCCTGAGCTCTCGTATCCTGCCAGATCGGTGAATGACCAGAGTTGTCCTGTGGCAGAAGAGCCGCCCGGGGCCCTGACATTGACGCCGAACTGAGGTGTGGGGAAGACATCGAGGCGTGCCATTCGAACGCCATATTTGACCTGGTAATCATATAGCGCAGTCCACTGAGCATCGGTCAAGGCACTGAGCCAACCTGTCCGTCCGGGCTCGTTGTATTCGTATGCGAGCTCCTTGAGTGTGACGATACCGGCATAGTTACCGTAGCCGTCTCGCTCTAGTGTCGGGAGCTCCGTGCCGGCCTGAGGAAACGTGAGGACCTCGTATGAGATGCCAAGTCCTTCTAGGCCTAACGTGCAAATATTTGCAAAGCTTGCAACCCATTGGTCTCCGGTGGGTACGATGCAGAGGATGGTCTGCCTGACGCCAAGAGCGGCAGAGTTGTCCAATGGAACAGTTGTGTTTGTTGTGGGCGGATCGCTGGGAGCCGGTGTGACGGAGACGATCGGTGCTGAGGTGGTTGTAGAGGCGCCCACGCTCGCGTCTGTTGTGCTCGGTTGGCTGGGGCTAACCGTCGATGGGTTTGTGGCAGAGGATAGGCTTGCGCTGTCTGTTGCAGAGTTAATATCTGAAGAGACACTAGGGCTGCCCGTCACTGTGTTTGCGGAGACTTCTGGACTTGTCGAAAAGCCTGAGCCGGAGATTGTGATGGATGTGGTAATGGTTTCTGTGACAGTCACAGCAGGGCATGTATTGTCTGTACCTTGTGCATTTGTGACAGCGGCACCAAAAGAAAGAATTAAAGCCGCTACACGCAGCGAGAGATTGAACCTGGACATCATATTTCTCGCCATAACGAATGATTGACGTGGAATGTGAAGGCCGATTCAACAGTAACGACTGGCGATGATTAGACCTCGTCCCACTTTTTGCTGGATACGGTTGGGAATACCTTGATTTATACACTTCAGGGCTCACTGCCTCTTGATGTTGCCGGCGTCGCCCATAAATCAAACAACTGTTGACTAGTCGGTCGGCAAGCTGGAAGACCAAGAACAACTACTGGCTCTCGGACATCATTGCGGCTGAATTCCTAGATTTCAGGAGAAGAATGGTTTATTTGAAGGCCAGCAGCGCCACTGCCAAAGAATTATAAAATGGTCTGCAAAGTGGTGTGCGGCTGACCCATGCCAAGTTGTTCGATCACATACCTCTCCAGCCTCAAATACGAACGAGTCCGAGTCTGACATAAACAAACTTTACGCATCATCCAGCCAAAAACATGTTGAACTCCAGTTGCCAAGTAATAGGCTGCGCACATCACGAGATGGACAAGACCCCTTAAGCCTCCATGATCCTCGTAAGTCCGTCTTGGTAGAGGCGTGGTCACCAGTCTGCGGGTAAGGCCAAGATAAATAGCATGCTGGGCATCTGGGCTTGCCCGTAAAGCTGACCGCCCCACCGAAGAAGAAATATGGCCAAGCCTGCCTAGCCTTCCTCCATGTGCCCTTAATTACCTCAGGGCTCGCACTCCGCAGCATTGCAAAGAAACGTGGCGACGACCGCGTTTCCTGGGCACACCACTCACCTGTCACCCAGGTAGCAGTGCGTCTTCGGTACTTGACTGCCGTGCTAGAATGCGACTTGAGTGCAGCTGGTTTATTATAAGATGTTTCCCACAAGAGACGGCGTCGTGGCGCAGCTGGGCAGTTGTAACAGGCCAGCCAAGGCCCCCTGATGCTCCCGGACCGCCCTTGGCCAGCGCCTAGGCACTTCCGACGGGCGGGAACGACGTGGTCTGCCAAGGCCGCTGCCGGTACACAGTAACTTCGGGGTGATGCCAATGTGTGTACTACCCGAAGGCTGGGACCGCCGTGTTCCCACTCATTGTGCTGCAAATAGATGTAGCAAGCACGCGTACCAACGTATCTTTCCGATGGGCTCTTCACGAGCCACTTGCTTTTGATTCATGGCCTGAGCGTGCACTCACATCATTTTAATTCGCTCTTTTGGTCTATGCTCGTCTATTTGGCCTAGACGATGACGGCCGATATCTGCACTCGTCGTATTCAGAGGCTGCCACCTGCAGACCATCCCCATCCCCATCCCCATCTGTCTTCAATTAGGCGCGAGCAGCAAGGGAGATGGCCCTCAAGTTTCTTTCCCAGAGATGGATTCTACGTGCTTCAACATTCTGAGTTCTACGAGCACTGGTCATCCTGGGCAAAACTTCGGCCACTGTTGTCCAAGATACGACACTATTTCAGCTGGGCCCCAAGTGTACCACGGCTGAGTCTGTCCAAGGATGTCATGTCTCTGACCAAATTGAATTGAAGGAATTCTAATAAGTGAGGGTATTATTCTAAGTGAGGCTGTTTTCTAAGCGAGGGCATTATTCTACGTGACGTCATTATTCTAGTCTAGGTGAAGGCATTAAAACACGAATCAACAGCTATTGGCGCTCATCTGAACAGACCACGGATGACCCTTGCACCTCGCATGTCGCTAGTGTTGATGTGTTTGTGATCATCTCAAACATGGTGAAGTTCATCCCTTGGATCCCAACGTCCCCCACCGTCGCATTCTCGAAGGTGGCATTTCCGAAACCGGCAAAGGGGACCAGTGAATTTGTGGCCGCGTCAACTGTGAACCTCTCTACCACCCACTCTGCCGTCTCGAGGCATAATGTGGCGTCCGAGACGTTTGTATATGTCTGGCTGGAGGACTTTCCAGTCGTCTCGTTCTCAACAAGTACAACGCCGCTGGTGGGACTTGAAGCTGACACAGACATTGAAACCACATCTCCGAAGGATATTTGGATATCGTGCAGGGCGGCCGGGACTAACGAGCACCATGAAAGTCAGCATCACCCACTCAAGAAGCCGCATGTGCCCACGGCCTTGGACGGCCGCAACTCGTGGAATTTGTTGCCCACTCACCAGGGAAGAACTGATGCCAAGACCTAGCAAGTGTATCCAGCGTTCCATTCGGCGTTCTTTGGGCACAGATGTCGATTCCAGTCTGCAGAATGGACTGGCACTGCGCACTCGCACCGTCAATGCCGGTCCAGAACGTTGCGCAGTGTACCTCGTCGGGCGTTGTGCTGTCGGCAGGGATCTCGGGCGTCGGGATCTTGATAGTTGCCTTCGAAGAACCTCGGTTGCTGGGTACCATAGCACCGGCCCAGTTCATACTCTTCTTGACCTGCGCCCCAGTCGATGTCTGTCTCGGGGATATCGCCGCGTGGGCTACCACAACCCGTTCTGGGCCATACATATGTCGCCCCAGTGAGGTTTCCCTGAGTGTGGACAAGTCGATAGCCAGTGCTGCGCCGGCGGCAACAAGGAGGGTTGTCGTCGCTGTATTTGGCTTCATGATGACTTGAGCACTCGCGAAATGGATACCAGCGCTCAGCAACGTCAAGAGAATTCGCAATACGGCGCTTAAACTGTTTTTATAGAAAACATCAACCAGGATTTCAAAGTTCAACAGAAGAAGGCTTAATAAAAGATTATTGATATATCAGAATGCAAATGGAAATGATCCCCTATAACAGTAGGGATATAAATGACTCGTTTGGTTTATTGGCTTTTTTTTGCCATGGCTACCCTAGGTTACCGGTATTTTTAGCATGAACCGCCGGAAGCCTTGGAAAGGGGTGACTTGGCGGCCCCGGCCCCGGGGCCCGGCTGTGCCCAGGTGCGCGTGCGACTCGGTTAGACTTCAATTGTTGCTGGCCTTGCGCGAATGCCCCTTAGTTGTTGAGTGCTGGCGCAGCAGACCACTCGGCAAAAAGAAACCACCCAAAAACCCACCAAAAAACCAAAAAAACCAATTCAAATTGGTTATTTCCCAGCAGTCTATAAGCCCATACCGTCACACTCCTCCCCGAAGGCATTGTAGAGCTTTGGACCGTTAAGAGCGGAAAGTTTCGAGATGACAGCATTTCGAGTCGTAGCCGACTAAACCACTCATCGTTAAATCAGTACGCTAGCGAATAGACGGCCCAGAAAGCTCTCAAACAAGACGGGCGGCTTGGTTCAGTTAAGTCGCTTCTCGCAAACAATTTCTGCCCCACACCCAAGACTGCACAGCACGACCTGCCAACCCCCTAATGCGACCTCTTCAAACATACGTGTCCCGTAGGGGAAGCCCGTGGCCGATTTCAACAGTTGCCAGGCCTTGTTCCGACTCCTCAGAAACATACCGTAATAGGTAAGCCAACCGTAACAAAATTCCCAACCATGAGCAGGTAAAAAATGAAGAAGAAAAAGAAAAAAGGAAACAGGCTTCTAATTAGTCAGGACTTAGCCACCACCTAGGTACCTAGGCCTTCAAACCTTTCTTCGCTTTAACCACTATTACGAAAGGAAAACGGAGACAAGGCACTTGTCTTCAATACGTCAATTGCAGTCGAGTCGGCACTACTAACATTGAAGGGGGAAGGGTTGAGGGGATTACGAGAGGATGGCTAAGGTCCAAAAGTGGGAGGGCAAATCGGCCACACTGGATGACTGAGCAGGGAGCCAGTTAAGGCCTCGCCTCGCTCGGCCCAAGACCTTTGGTAGGAACCTCCCAAGAAACCTTATTCAGGGTCCGTTCGTTGGGCCGGGTCCATCCGGGATATCATGTACAGGCCCACCAGGACTTTATGCTTTTCATAGGCTCCCTGATGTTCGTTGAAGATAATTCGAAAGCGACTTTGGTGAGGTTATCGCCAACCTTTGTCTGCCATGCCTGGACCTCAGCCCTGTCAACCGGCCGCGCAGCGGTCCTAGAGCAGTGATTATTCTCGTCAAATACAGGTAGGTGGCTAGAGTGTAATCTGCTTTATTTGGGCGCATTTATCCGCACGGCTTTCGTGAAGTGTTACAAACACGTTCCTCGGGAACCTTGGAACTCCAGCAGGGTCAAGCGGACGAGAAGCCCGAGTAATCCATCGGACATTCGTACCTACAAAAACGGAGGATAATACACCCAAGCCCTTTGGGACAACCTCCCATAAGACAAATTACTACGTGACGAGCTCAGATTAGATAACCTCTTACGCAACCAATGTCATATATAATAACTTCTTATAAGATCACCTTTTCTCTATTGATCTATCGGTGACTGCTCTCTCGGAACATACCTAGGTAGTAGTGGTAGTAGTTGCCGATCAAAACCGGTATGTCTGTCTGTCTGTCACTGAAGCAAATGAAGCGGCCGGACCAACGACCTGGAAGACTCCTTGAGGCCCATACAACGCAGAGGATCGGAAGATAGTGTTGCGTCGGGGTGACTCAAAATTCCCTGTGACTTGGACAGTGGAAGCACAAGAGCCCACCGAAGTCCACTTAAATACAAGGCAAATTGGAGTGGAACGTCGTTTCGTTCCTTTGCCTCACAACTTTCAATTCAGAACTTCCAGCCACATCCACTCAAATCCTTCAAGCAACTTTCGACTCTATCCAGGCCTCAACCACTTCCTTGAAAACCAAATATGCCTCAAGCGACCTTAACCTTTACCATGGCCGTGATTGCCGTCATAACCCTGCTCTTGGCCGTTACCTCTGCAAAAGTACGTCTCACAACTACTCTGACTTGGTACACAACCAGCACAACAGGGCACGATACCCATGGCTGATTCAACTTCGTCACCAGGCTGCCCTCAATGGCATTTCCACCTTTCGCGATGGCGATACTCTGTTCGCCCCTGACCGGGACGGCAAGATCGTAGCACACCAAATCATCAACATGACGACGGAGGTTCAGCTCCCGGGAATGGCGGACAAGATCACAGTGCCGGGGACCATCGAGCAGGTCGTCGCGTTCATCAACGCCACTTACCCGGGACACGATTGGGTCGCTGACGAGGAATCCAACGCCACCACATCTGTGTTCTCCCCCGAGGGCAACACGGTCTACTGCAATATCGGCAAGCAAGGCTCCTATTACACCGCTTTCATGATCCAAACGTATCTGCGGCATTTCGGGAGCCACAAAAACAGCGTTCTACCAGGCCCAGGCCATTGTTTTCGAGTCTCTTGCCGCAAAGACTACGACCGGACAGCGGCATTCTATTTCTGTAATGATGTAAGTAACTCCTTTGTGTGACTCACAGTGCTTGCCCCATGGCTGTTTACAAACTACAGTGCTAACTTGTATGCCTGCTTGGAAGGACACACGGCAAGTCACTTTTACCTTCGATGACGTTGCCGACATGGCACAGATAGTGATGGACAAGTGTGTTGAGTTCGGTACACCACTTAGCTGGGTGAGAGGCCAGGCATTCCATGCAAGCCTTCCATGGAATGTCATCGTGACGGCTGAGGATCGCTGTTAGTGGCATCGGCTCGTCGTGTAGACAGCCTCAAGCCATGGACTTGTGGTGGGCGCGTGGCCCCAGCCTGGTGCCGACCAGACAAGACTAGGAGGCATCCTTCCCGACGGCGCTGCTGACTAGAACGGCGGCAAAGCAACTTTTAATTCTGAGAGAAAGGGATTGAGTAGTCAAATATGGACAAGGTCTGGAGTTCTTATTTTTTGGTCTTTCAATTCAATCTGGTTCTGATTGAAGACATTACCCCGCATTCGCGTGTTTCTAAGTATCTGGGTTGACAATTTGCTGCAACTCGAACTGGTGTCAGTAACGCGACTTGTACGAGCCTGTGGACAAGGGCAATGAGGAGGAGGTTGCGCAGCAGGACACCGACGAGCCGCCCACCAACCAGCCTGTGAAGAAGGGTAAGGAGAAGGAGGTTGCGCAGCAGGACACCGACGAGGTGATGGCTGACGAGGATCCCATCGACCAGCCCGCCACCGAGGAGCCAGAGGAGGCCGAGGAGGATCCGAAGCCAAAGCGACGCATGGTTAAGCTCAAGGCTGAGAGGGCAGCGAAGCGGGCCAGGAAGGCGGAGAGGAAGGTTAGGAAGGAAAAGGAGAAGCTTGATGCGTTCACGCTGCACGGAAAAAAGGATCTCGCTGACATAGAGGTGGCCGAGGCGCTCCAGAAGGCTCGCAGGGATGGTGAACTGTGATTCGCACCAATGTCGTCCACCAACTACCTAGGTAATGTCGGTGCTTGGTTACTTAGGTAGACACAGGGCTGATGACAAATTTGTCTGATTATTACAAAGACGGACACTCTACATAGAGAATGCTCAGGCAGGGGAACCTGTATTTACTAGGTAATCAAAGACTTGTACAAACTACTCTCAAGTGCTCAGTTCATCCCACCCAGAAAGCCTCTGATGACATTCCGAGTGAGTTGCGCAATGTCGTTGTCGTAGTCGTCCCATGCAAGCGAGCAGTACCAGTTGATACTTCCCACGCTGAAAACCGCCCCGCCACTGGCGCCAATGTAGTAGACCAAGTCACTGCGAACCAGGTCTGTCTGAGTCCCCATGGTTTTGATAGCCGGAAACATGAGATCCTCAACAGCGATGCCAAACTCATCACTGTGGCCAGTACTCGTGGCGAGCACCAACACGCCCTCGGGGCTGCCTTGGTCAACATCGAAACGGTCAATCTCGTCTCCAGATGCGCCACCCCCGAGCCCATGCTCACCAATCAGATCCTCGCTCACCCCTGTAAACATCCAGGCCAGCTTTGAGTCTCTGGACGCTTCTGTACGGCGGTACGGGACGCCTGTGCCGGTACCCTGTGCGCTGAATCCGATCCCGAACAACATATTGCAACTCATGCCCCGTGACCTCCACAGACCGCCCCATCGTCCGTCGAGGCTGTTGACGTGCTCTCCTCCAGGGAGCGTGTACGTGCGGGTTCCAACATCGGCTCGGCGCACTTCCAATCGATGCGGACGGGCGACATCAACGGCACTGACCCAGTAGAATCCGTTGCCGCCGAGATACATCAGGTTCCCCCCACCTCGAGCAAACCCGCTGTAAGCGTCGAAAGATTGCAAAGTATGGTACTCTGGGTGAGAGCCTGTGATGACGGTGTTGAAGCCTTGGAGGCAGCTGGCTCCCCGTGAGTGCAGGTCATGGTCGGTGAGGATCTCGTACGGAATGCCCTCCCGCTCCAGGAATCCGATCATCATGAGATCAGCCGAAAATTCACGCGGGCGAGAAAACGCCCACATCACATATCCTGGGCAGATGTTCAGCAGGGGGCGTTTGGAAGACGAGAAGCAGTTGCCTGAACCGTCCTTGTGGGTGTCGTACAGAGACATGCCGAGATCACGACGGCGGCGAATCTTGTAAAACTCGCTGGTTTTCTCACATTGCTCGACGTCGAAGTCGTCCGCGAACACATGGCTGCTCGTGTCGAGCAAGCGCTCATTGGCGTAGGCCAGGTACGTGAACGTCGAAAGGACGAGGCAGACCTTCTCGGAAATGTCCGACGTCCACTGTGTCGGCCGCACAAAGAAAGTAATCGAGTCCCTGTCCCGCCCATTCGTGGTTTCTACCTCGACTGCGTAGGCGCCAGAGCGTGCACTCGGCGGAATCTTGATCGTGAAATCCGTGTCCCACGCCGCATCGTCGAGGTCATCTTCATGGAAGTGTATGGCGCCGTATCCATGCTCTGCCCGCGTCCAGTCGCACTGAGATCCATCCCAGTCATGTCCGGTGACAGCTCGGCTTGGTGCGTTAATCAGAACACCGTCATGTCCACTGCCCGAGACGTCGATGATACGGTCACTTGAGATGTCAAGTGAAAAGTCATATTTGGCAAGAATTGACGGCTGCGGACCCTTTGCTGTCAAAGTGAGACCATCAATGCGGCCGTTGAAGAAGTCGGTCACCTGGGGATGGGGACCATTGTATTTGTTGCTGTTGCGGTCGCTCGGGCATGCCGCAATTATCAGGGGTCCTGGCTCGGACACCAGCGCTTCACCGATGAGCCAGTTGACTTTCTCAAAGGCCCCGGGGGGTGGAATCGGTTCGACATGGAATGATTTGTGTACCAGCGTCATTCGGACTGACCTCCCGCTAATGGTGAGCGTGACCTTTGACCAGGTATTCTTCTGGGGTTTGAGGTCGGTGCGCAACACTTCATGCCCGGTTTCGAGACCGGTGCCAATAACAATGTCAAGTGAATTCTGCATGTTCAGGACGACTGAGAATCCACTGCGGGTGGACCAATCCAGAGTAGACAGCAGTGTTTGTGGATGCGGGCAGTTTAGCAACCACGGTTGCACGTAGAAGACGACTTCGAGGCCCTGGGCGGCTCGGGATGAACCCCATTTCGAAACATACCCATAAGACCCGGGCCTAGCCAGCTGGAATCTGCCCCTGCGTTGCTCTCTGGGGATTTCCGTGACTTCCTCTGATGCTGTGGGTGGCGCATGTTCTAGCTCGACTCCCTGCATCAGGCGAATTGTTCGATATTTGTACTCGGACTCCGTACACGAAACCTGTACATTCGAGTTAGACTGGGCGCATTCTGGCAAGGGTTATATCTACTGAACGAAGTCTCTCCGACTGACTTTACCTTTATTCTTACGGAGTCACCAGGGGCAACAATCCATGGTTCGGCGTACCCTAGAATTTCCGCGGGATAATCGTCCTTGTCGAGGTTGCTCATCGTCATCACCACACTAGTGGAGCAGTGGGATGGACAAGGCCAACAGCGAAGGTTTTGAAATTGTGATATGAAGGGGTAAACTCTTTCCAGACAGGTGGGTCGGATGTGATCTATGCGTCTCACTGGCAGTGAGGGGGACTCGAGGGGAGAGGGGCGAAGTCGGTCGACTGGACTCGTTTCTCAGGTGTTCAAAGGTTTGAAGACGGTAACACACCTTTTCTGTGGTATTGATTGATGCCAGGATGGTGAAGAGGGTGCTGAGAGGCGACAAGGGTCGTATTCTTGCGGGGAAAGACGTCGGGGAGGATGACGAGCAACCCGGCAGCTCCTGTATGCGACGAGGCGTTAACCGTTGCCCCTTCCTGCCGTTCACAGCCTATGCGTCGCACTGCAGCAAATAGGCGATTATCTGACTAACAGGATGGACAGTGCTACTCTGGATTACGCAGATGCACCTTGATCTGCGGGGTAAGTCGCGACTCCCAGATTTGATGCATTGCAAGTCCCGTTCAGCAAAGTCACGAACTGCAATTTAGATGTGATGAAGCTAAAGCTTCAAGTGTGCTACCGTTTACTTCATCAACCGACCTGTGCGGTATTTCAAAACAGGTTTCAAGCCCACGAATGTATTCCTGTGTGTTTATTTCATAAAGTTTAGCGAAGTCGGCATGATTCTCGTAAATCCTTTCGTGTTCATCTTAGGCTAGCTAACGCAGATACCTAGGTAGCATCGATAGGCCAAGATCGCGGCTCCTATACTCATATAGACCGCATATCCACATCTTAGCAGCAGCAAAAATGGCCAAGACTTGAAATGCAATACAGGTAGAACAGAAAGTTCGAGAACATAACGGGGCTCGTTGTTGGACGGAAAGACAACGACCGGGATGATGCCATGCTGTTGGTGCCGCAATTGGCTGCAGTACGATTGACTTTGCACACCTGTTGGCAATGGCATAGACGTGTTGATACGCGGCTCGTGGGGCGTCAGCATCCGGGGACAGGACGAGTCATAATGGGCTCAGCGTTGGTGAACAGACAATCCCAAGGGGCGAATGTGGTCAACTGAGCCGGCATAAGCAGCGATAGTGCCTCGCTTCGTCCAGCTCGTAACTTGCTTCGCACTCAGCTGGAACCAAATATTCACATGTCTTTCAATCGCATAGGATTGACATAAAATGTGGCATGTTCACCACCAAAGAGTCGGGAGGGCTGAACAATAGAGATGTTGATCGCGGCAAAGGTGATACCCGAACAACTAAAGATGGTGGTTGCCTCATTCACTGGCTTCAATCCCCTGGAGAGTACCGTAAATGCGGACTAGTTACATTCAAATGCGGTTGTAACCCGGTCCGATCAATGCCAAGTCCCCATGCATGCCGGTTATCAAGATAGGCACGACGGTCTAGGTGATCTTGATAGGAATCACTATTCTATCGTCAGGGGTGTGAGTGTTGTGCACTGCGGGGCAATCGTCATTGCTCGCTTGAGATCTGACAGGAGTCGAATATAAGAGAGGAGAAACGATAAATAGACAGAACAGAGACGCAACTGCTTGGAATTTGTTTCCATCAAAACATTCTCTTAGTTTCTTCCAATCTTCGCATTTGGCTATCCAAAATCGAGCCAGCCTCGAAGAGACAGTATGGCCCAGAATGCCGATCCTAGCGAGCCCATGTCCGCACAACGCTTACCTCCGGGTACTGTCCATCTGGTCGACCTGGAGGGGACAATGGCAATCAAACACGCAGATGGCAAAGACGTGAAAGACATCGTTCTCATCCCGAGACCAAGTGATGATCCAGACGATCCCCTCAACTGGTCGTTTCGCCGGAAGCTCCTAGCTACTTCATGCGTCGTGGTATACACCATACTGTTGGCAATCCCCTCGAGCGCTGTATACTCTGTCGTAACTCCTATACGAAAAGCAACCGGGCTGACATTAGCCGACTTGAACAACGGTACGGGCATTATGGTACGTCTAATTCACAGCATGCATAGTGCATATCAAACCTGCAACCCCTCAACGAGCTAACGAAGCCCACTCCATGTGATAGTTCTTATTCTATGGATGGGGCTGCATTCTATGGCAACCTTTAGCTCTGCAGTACGGGAAAAGACCTGCATATTTATTTTCTCTTGTTGCAAACATTATCATCATGGCCACGGCGCCGCTATGTACAACGGCTACCACTTATCAGATAAGCCGGATTCTTCTCGGGTTGTTTGGCTCACCCGTGGAGTCGCTCTGCGAAATCTCAATCACGGATATTGTGAGAGACCCTACAATACCCATGCAGAACTTTTCAACACTGACCTCGGATAACAGTGGTTCACTCATGAACGGCCAAAGTATATGGCTTGGTACGGGTGGTCTCTCGCCCTCACTGGGAAGCTGGCTCCCATGATCTCAGGGTTCATCAATAGTGGCATGGGGTGGGAATGGACTTTGGTAGGCCTATTCTCCGGTTTTTGATGTGCTTGGTCGTTCAGAGCTGACTTCAAATGTTGTATCATCAAGTGGTGGTGTGCAATCTTTAACGGCATTGCCCTTGTATATTGCTTTCTATTTATGGAAGAGACCAACTACGATCGCAAACACGCGGAGGATGTTGAATTGGATGCCAAGGAACCGGCTCCAGTATCTCCCGAAAAGCAAACCAACAACAGTGGCCTTTGGCATACCGTGACAGGTGACAAAACTGCCGACACAAAGTCCAGTCCCCAAATACTACCAGGCAGTGATATGGAAGAGGGAAAAGTCACGAAACCCAGAAAGACATACTGGCAGAAACTGAGCCTAAAGGACGCGCCTCGGCCAAACCGAGTCTTAGACATCGCGATCGCTCCTTTCAAAGGCTTCACATACCCGGCCGTTGTTTATGCAGGGCTCATGTATGGAGCCAACAGCCTCGTATGGTCCGGCGTTCAGAATGCCACTGCCGGGACAGTGTACACGACCATGTACGGGTGGAACACGACGCAGGTCTCCGGGGCATATGCTGCGGGCGTGATAGGTACCATTACCGGGTAAGCAAGCCATTCCCTCGCACGGCAATCTATGCCTGCCAAATTCCGCATCGTACATGACACTCATATCAGTCTCTTTTGCAGCGGATACTACTCAGGCAAAGTGGGCCGCATCCTCACCGTGCGGCTTGCGCGGCGCAACAACGGCATCTCGGAGCCCGAGCACACCCTGTACCTCTTCGTGGCCTCCATGATCCTCGTGCCCTTCTCCCTGGTCCTCTACGGGGTCGGGGTCGTCCGCCACATCCACTGGTTCGGGCTCGTGTTCAGCCAGTTCCTCCTGGCCATCAGCAACGCGCTCTGTGTCTCCGCCGCCCTCAACTACGCCATCTCGTCGTACCGTGAGCTGTCGGGGGGCATGGTCGTGACGTGCGTGCTCATCCGCAACACGCTCAGCTTCGCCATCAACTATGCTATCACGCCGTGGCTTAAGGCTACGGGGTACCAGAACACGTATATCACCGTTGCGGCGATCGGGTTTGTGTGGAACGCGAGCTTGTTCGGCATGGTCAGGTGGGGGAGGAAGATGAGAGAGATCACGGCGGAACGGTACTGGAAAGATGTCAAGAGCGCCAGAGAGAAGGGTTTGAGTCACTAGAAAAATGGGCAGTTGGATTCTAGGTCCCTATCTCCAAGGCGGAGCATTCCAAACTGACTTCTTCCCACTTGACGCCGGCTGTCAGAAGCGCGCTTATTGTGTCAACTATGCCGGTGCGTCATGCGACAATGGCAGTATGGTTGACGAGCCCATCGGCACTTTGCATCAGAGCTTGAGAACAAAGAGACTAGTAATGAATATGAGAAGGTTGTAAGCTAATATTTTCGTCTGTCATTGGACCACCTGGATGAGATAATCCCACGATTTGGGTGTAAGCCACGCGGGCGTCTTTTTTTGGCCCAAAACTGAACCACACATTCCGATGTTTCCTCCTGCCGTTGATATAGAGTTTGGCCAGACCCGCATGTCGTGGGCCTCAACCCTGTGCTTCCAGATCTAGCCTCCATCACTGGGAAATTCTGCTTGTCTAAAGCTTGTGATGCTTGTAGAGGGTCAGTCTCTTCTAGCAAATCAAACGTACGTGACCTTTTGTTAGAACACACACGGGACAGACCTGCCACGATATATGAAACCGTCCGGCAGCACTTGGCATCCCATTGCTCAACTGGTGGCGGGAAACGAAACCGAGAAACACCAGTGGCCTGGCTGAACCACCTACCCGATGCCAGACATCCAATATTCGAGAAACACAAGATAAGTGGCTGCTCCTGGCGGACAGAGGCTTAAGTCAGTGAGAGCGTGGCTGAAATGTCTCGATCGTTCTAGTTCTAGCGTTATTGTCTTCACAACCTCCACTACGTGCCACCTCATCAGCAGTAGAGCCAGCAATGGTCAACTGATAATTAATCAGTATAGCCCCTGCGCCTCATTCTTCTCTTCAAGCCCTAGCCGCAAGCCTAACATCTGCAGTCAAATATGTGATGCTGTGTATGAAAGTCTTCCTAATCGGTAAAGTATCTGAGATATCGGAGATTTTTCCAAACGCCTGGCGTTTTGCTGACTAGTTTCCCGGTGGCTGGTCTGAAACATTTTCATGAGAAGCTCCAAAAATACGTGAAACGTGGGGAGGCACTGAGCTCTAGGCATCTAGACTTTGGGGTAATGCACTGGCTTCTCGACTGCACAGATTCCCGTGAAACCGCAGGAATGGTGGCTTACTTCGTGCCTCATCGGCAATGTCATCTGTCTTGCTTGGCATCAGCGGTTAAAGGCATGGCGTCGCCCGATTGAGACCAAGTATAAGAAGAATGTGATTGCCAAGCTCAGATTCCCATCTTCGAATCTCTCAAATCCGACCGCTGCTCCAAGAATTCCATCACAGCCTTGGACGGTCCAGACCCCGACCTCACCAGCACTCGCCAATCAGGCACAGACGCAATTTTGAGCCTCATTTCCAACATGCACTCCACAATCCTGCTTGCCACTCTGGCCGTGGTTGTCCCGACGATCCTGGCAGAGGAGCTCCGTTTCGACGACGTACCGACCGCGTGTAAAATTATCTGCCAGCCAATCGTCGACCTCACCAACACGTGCGACGTCGACCCCCAGGAGATGGACATGGACAAGGCCAAGCGGGGGGGTCTGCTCCTCCGCCGGGCAGAGGAGTCGGACGAGGCCATCGAGGCTAACTGCATCTGCACGAACAAGAGCTTCGACGTCGCGGGCGTGATGGGGCTTTGCGCGAGCTGCATCGCTCAGAACGGGGCCACCACAGATGGTAAGGAACCCTGACTCAGCCTGGTCGGATGGATTGATCGGGTGGTGAGATGCCCGACTGCTGACGCCTGAAAACTTAGATGCCAGCAAGATCATGTCACAGTGCTCCTTCACGTCGACTTCCTACACGCCTGCAGCGACAACAGCAGTGGCAGGCATTCAAGTCCAGGCTACAAAGCCCGCAAGCACCGGCGCGACATCTACGGGGGGCACATCGTCATCCACGGGCCTGGCTCAGAGCGGGGCTGGCAAGCTGGCTGCTTCTGTTGTGTCTGCCGCTGGCGTGGGGTTGGCAGCGGTGTTGCTCCTCTGAGGGACTGAAGTTGTCTCAGAGATGAGCCTTGGCCGTCGACAGTAGTTTTTGAGACTTGCCTGAAGGAAGTGATTGCTATGGAATGTTTAAAAGATTTATAACACTCTCTTGATTCCTGAAATGAGCTCGGGTGGCTTGTTCAGCGTCGCAGAAATGGACATAGGGCGGCGTGTCTGGAGCAGGTGAATGGACGATGCAACTAGGAAGGATGCATTTCATAGTACAAATTCTCTCAAAAGATCCTTTTCCTCGTCCATGTGTGCCAATCTTGGAAGAAGTGAATGAGGGCGAGATTAGGGCGAGATGAGGTAGAGACAGGGCACCTGTATGAAAAGAGCCGACTTCTAAATCAGGTCACTTACACCGCAAGGGTTAGGGCTGGATGCATGCAACGTCCTTCGGTACCTACCGACGTTGACCCCTGTCACTTTTCATCTTCGACCCCAGAAAATGCTGCAGCTGCACATGCAAGAAGAGCAAGTGAGACTTACTGCACTTGGTCGAGGGTGTAACTTGTTCTTCTGCTGTGCAACTCGCCGTCCTCAGTGTAGCAGAGAAGGTTTTCTTTCGAATTGTTCTTCCCTCTTGGCAGGCGGTGAAACGTCAGTGTGGTGGTGATCCACTCATGGTGACCTCCCAGCCACCCTCGTAACAGTTGAGGACCCGGTTTGCCCACTAATAACGCACGTCAGAAGCTTGGTGCCACCACTGCCACCTCATCATCGCAGCCAACCTGCAGACTTCCACCTGGGCATCTTACTTTCCCATTCGTCACCTTCCTTTTATTCGGGTTCGTCTGCAGCGTCCAGCACCTGTCTCTGTCATGGACAGTTTTGTGGGCTAACAAGCTCAAGGTTCACTCTCAAAAGCTCTGCCGCACGTCATCGGCGCGGTTGTTGTCGCTCCTCTGAGGCCTCTGCATCACCAGCCCGCGGTGGCTTGGGCTCACTCACGAGGGTGCTTTTCAACATGCGACCTCTCACCCTCCTCACCAGGCTGCCCGCCTCGCTACCCCTGCTGCTGATGCTGCTGCTGCTCGTGGCAGCGCAGGTCGGTCTCAGCCAGGGCCAGTCCGACGCCCAGCGACTGCCGACTGCCATTCGGAAGATGAGCCCCGACGCCGGCGAGAAGCTGCTGCACGAGTACTACGCTTTCGGTCCGGATGACGAGGTTGCACGGGTCGGATCGAACGCCCAGCCGGCCACCCTGGCCAACCCTGTCTTGGACATCCAGGAAGAGGAGCTCCTGGCCGCGAACTCATCGGCTGCCATCTCATTCCGCGCCCCGTTTGCGCCCCATTTTGATTCGTACTTGGCATCGAGGGCAGATGAGAGCCCTGCGACCGGGTGGCACCTGTTTCAGCGGGCCAGGGATGTCATCGCGAGGCTGGAGAAGAGGCAGTTTGCGTGTCCAACTGGAACGTCAGCTTGCTCGGCCATCGGCTTCCCTAACAGTTGTTGCCAGGCAGGGACAGAGTGCGTGGAGATTGCCGACACCGGCTTGGGGCCAGTGGGATGCTGCCCAGATGGCATAGAATGCACTGGGTCAATTGCCTGCTCAGGATCTCAGCTAGGCTGTCCTTCGGACATTGGTGGTGGGTGCTGTATTGATGGCTTCGTCTGTGCCAGCATTGGATGTGAGTGAGCTCTTGGGGTGCATTTTATGTCCGAGCATCTTCCTGACTGTTTACCCCAGGTGTTCAGAGTGCGACTGCCACGGTGACCGTGGTAACGTGGACGAGCACCCTCACTTCGACAGCCAACAACGGTTCTCCAACAACCGTCATTGTCACCATCACTGTCGCGCCATCTGCAAGTACGACAACTAGCACAACTACCTCGACTTCAACCTCCACGACAGAGTCATCGACCACCGCCACCTCGACGTCAACCGAGACCACTGCCGGCCCAGGCGCCCCCGTCCGCCCAACCTCGATGAGCACCCTGACCACGCCGCCCGGCTACTGCCCCACGGGCTTCTACGCCTGCTCAGCCGTCTACGGCGGCGGCTGCTGCCAGACCGGCCGGGACTGCCACGTGACGTCCTGCCCATCGACCGCGTCGACCACCATCATCTCTGGCGACCAGACGATCGTCGTGCCCGTGACAGCGGTGCCCACCACCACCTCGGACGCGACCTGTGCCGGCGGGTGGTCCCTGTGTCCCGCGTCGGCGGGGCCCACTGCTGGCTGCTGCCCGTCCGGTTACGACTGCGGCACGGCGAGCTGTTTCCTCGCAACAGGTAGCGCGACGGCCAGTCTCGCCAAGGAGTTCCCTGCCAACAGCGGCGCGGGAGGGACAAAGGATGCGAGGTCGATGAGCTTGATGATGATACCCGCCGCTCTAGGCTTTACTTTCGGTCTGAGATTGGTCTTGCGATTGTGAGAGCACGCGCTGTTCTGTTTGGGATTTGAACTTTCCTAATGTCTGCTCATTTGCCGAAACGCTTTGAGGCCTGCTTTGAAAGTTTGAGAGATTCGCATGGATGAGCGAGAAAATTCTGGGAGTTAGAGAGTTCTGCAAGGTGCAAACCATAGTCATGGGAATAATCATGGCTTTACAGGGAAACGAGAACAAGAATAGAATCACTTGCGTCCATAGACGGACTCAATGATATCACCTCTTCAGCATGCTGATACGCTTCTGGGCATTGTGTGTCTCAACCTTTCCGGGACTAAACGCTTCTAACCATACAGAAAGGGCCTCGGGCATTCATCTGTTGACCAGACAAGTCTTGACAAGCGAGGCATCAGTCCAGCCATCGCCATTCCGGGTAGGCGCCTCCACCAGCTCATAAGTCTGGTTGAACCAGCCCGCAGGCCACCCCACGATCCCAATAAACACGTCCGAGTTCTGATCCAGGAAAGCCACCTGTTCACCGAATTACTTCTGGCATCTGGCCATGTTGCCCACCCCAGTCTCAGTGCTATTCGCCAGCCGCCTGTCCGTCCTCAGCCACGCCGGCCAGCAGGCCAGACGCACCGTCGATGTTGTTCGTCACGCACTCGGTACGCGTGTCCGAGGTATCGCTGTCAAGGTACGGTACTTGTGCGTGAGCTGCCGCCACACGCTGGCGAACTGGTCGTCCGTTGCCCCCCAGGGACCCGATGATCCTGCCGTTCCAGCGCGCGTGGTTGTGGATGTTGACGACGCACGAGCTGGTCGTATCGCCCTGCGTTGGCAGGGTCCAGGTTGCCGCCGAGGTTTTTGCTGACTAGGTAGGTACTGCCAGCCGACTGGCAGACGGAACATGTTGTGTTTGTCGTCCTTGGCGAAGTTCTGCATTTGGCCGGCGTTGTTTTGGTGGGCGGGGAGGAGTTCCCTGGTCAATACTACTCCCGCGTAGAGGGTTTTGAGAGCGCTCAACGGATGGTGGGGTGTCAAATTTACCCAGCCGCTCTATCGAGTGCTGAGAGTGCAGGGAATACCTTGGGTCCTGTCCCTGGCACATCCAAAATCGAATATGGCCATGTTGGTCCCAACTGCGACGGTGATTTAGTCGCTATCCACCAGAGAACGTACCGGGAAGCCCTCAAGACGATGAACAGCGTCAGGCAGATGACCGTCGGCTACTTGCGGCCATATCGATCGGACACTATTTCAAAGATTAGAGCGCCAACGGAACGGAGCATGAGGGTAACCGTGAGACATCAGTGTTTGACGTTCAAGTCATTTGCGATCGTAGTGACAATTAGAGACACTATGAAGAAATCTCAGGCATCCCACCACCAGCCGAGGAAACGCGCGGCGAATATCAGTTATTAGTGGTTGTCGAGCTCAGCGAGGATGTGGATTGGGTTGCGGAGCTTGGTATGGGGAGGCTTAAGGCTCGTTGGCCGGCTGAGGAGGTAGCGTCCAATCTGCTTGGGTGAGTAGAACCACTCCTCAAAATCAAGTACAATGTGCATGAGACTGCATCATATCATATGGTGGTTGTATCGTGAGAAAGCCTCCCTTTCTACTCAAGCCCTACTAGCTATACTTGAAACCAAATACCGAAGCAAAATTACTAACGGCTATTAAGGTTATTGAATAATTTCCATCGGAGCCCGCGTCATAGTTCGTAGGGGGTTGTAGTCTTGACCTTCGCGGGGTGCATGAGAAGTGGAATTGCCAGCTCTAGGGAACGAACCGTGCTCCATGCTTACGCCTGCGCACGCTGCTCGAACCTCGAGACCTGTTCGAGGCTCTACTACCCGGGGTCCCGTCTTGATTGCCATCTCGGTCCGGCAGCAATCTACTTCAGTGACCAGCGCTTTCAGACATTACGCAGCTGGGGATAAACCAAGTAACCATCAGACCTGCTTCGTCAAGGTGCAATGCATTTAGAACCGGAGCAAACAGCCTCCGCTTCCTTCCCGTCACCGGTCTTGCGTCGTACTTCATCCAGACAGATAAGTACTTGGAAGTGACAGTATCAACAAAGAATCTCACGAGAACTCGGTGGCTAGACACGCGTAGTCGGCCCGTACTCTTCTACCAACTTAGCCGCCAGATGCGATGCTGAGGCAGCCAACTTGCATGGCCAATCCTTGTGCGGAGCCTCCTCGTTTTACTAAGCGCTGACTTTAACTATTTTGAGAGCCTGGGTTACACGCCCTACTGCATTCTTTGGGCCGGACTAGGCCTTACTGACACCTTACTCAGCCTCCCATTGGTAGGAGAATTACACCTATAGAGAGAATTTGCTACGTCTGGACCAACTCAGCAGCTACAGCCAATAGACATCTGGAGCACACACACACCATTTAACCAAGGGAAGCAATGAGGCTGAGAGAACCAAACATTCTGTGAGCTAAGGCAGAAATGCAAATGTGCCGTGACGTGAGCCTGCATTTATATGCTACACACCTATATTCACAACATTGAGGGAGAAGGGAGGGGAAAATCATTGCTTCATTTGCTCCTTCCATTCTCTCCTAACACCGCCAAAGTTGGACATTCAACAAAATCTTTTGACGATGCAGTCTCCACGTACAATGTCTGATGAAGGGTCTAATGAGGGTTCTGATGAGTGGTCTGATGAGGGCTCTGTTCAAGATGAGGAAGCCATCAGAACCCAGCTAAGTTTATCGGATATACGCATGTTTGGCCAGTTGGCGGCCATATGCATAGGCGCATCATTCAATTTAGTGTGCCAATGCGTAGGCAGAACATGCAAGCATTCGCTGGAGGAAGGCTCCTTCCTGAGGCGTCCTAGGGAAAAGGCTCGAGTACTTTATCCCCCTTCGTCACGAACCCGATGTGCGTAACAGTACTGATGCATGAGAACAGGCAATCTTCACTGGTAACTTCACCTACAGGTCCACGCCACTGCCGTCGCATACGTCAAGTATTCGCCTCCTAAGAATCAAGCCTGGCAGTGGAAGAGAAGTCCTCGAATGTTCCCTCCGCATTGTGGATCTGATGCTTGATGCCCCGGTATATGCAGCTCTATCGTATTCCTGGACGAAGGATACACCATGGGACATCTTGGACACCTGTTTGTCCGCGATGCGCGCGAAAATCAACGCCAGCGTCCGAAAACGACTGAGAATTGGGAAGCGAAAAGAGCACCAGGATGATGCTGGCGCAAACTTTCCGGAGCAGCAGAAGTATCAAGAAGCGACCGAGATTATTATTTGTGACGGCAAAGTTATAAAGGTTACACCGTCACTCTATGATGCCCTTTTGCAACTGCGAAAACGGCCCCCGCAGGAATATTGGATTGACGCTTTGTGCATAAACCAAACAAATGACGAGGAGAAGAGTTCACAGGTGCAAATGATGGGCCAGATCTACCGCAGCGCCGAAGTGGTCCTCGTATGGCTTGGGATGGTTCCGTCTGGCCTCAGTCGTGGATACAGAAATTTTGACAGCACCTTTACACGACTCGTCTGTCATATTTCTGGTGGGGGTGGTTACCTCCCACCAAAAGTCGATGAGAACTCCCCAGTCAACACGAGCATAGAAGAGCGGACCAAACGAACTTTATCGGGTATTCGAGGCCTTGGAAGGTTTTATTTGGACTTCCTAGCCTTGTGGCACCTGTTATCTCGTCGTTACTTTCGGAGAATGTGGGTGATCCAGGAGATCGCGCTGTCGAAGAAAGTCATATTTTTGATTGGGAAGCATAATTTTGGGCCAGAAACCTTCCTCAAAGTCGTCAACTATGTTCGTTCTCCCGAATTCAGTCGCACTGGAGAAGTCTTGCAGAACATTCGGGACTTGGCAGTTCTGGCACCTCGTTGGACGGCCCAGTTTGCAAGCACACCACTGCCTCATCCCTCACAAACAGCAGAGACTGACCGCACCGGGACATGGTCTTTGCATGACTGGTTAGAAACCTGTATAGGTCGAAAGGCTGGAAATTATAAGGATCTTGCCTTCGCGGGTCTGTCACTGGTTCGGCCTGACCTGCTACAAATCCGCCAAAACCTCCAGCTTTCGGAAGCAATCTGGCCGCCTCTTCCCCCTCAACCACCTGTGAATCCGGGTACACCCCCTCTATCACTCCGCCCTGGAGCGCAAACTGCAGCAAATGTTCATCATTCATCTGTTGGAGGCTCTGGCGATATTCAGCTTTGGCCTCGACTGAAAGCTGACTATTCTACCTCAACACACGAGGTTCTAGTCAATCTTGCTGCTTGTGTGCTATCGGGGCCGGATCCTACCTCGCTTCTGTCAATCAGCTCGCGGTACCGGGCAAGAAGCATTTCAGCGTCTTCCAGTGGATACAACCCGACCTTGGCGCCGTCATGGATCCCAGCGTTGGCACCGTGGTTATGGTCACAACATAGGATCAAAAGCCTTGATGCCTATGGCATCGACCACTCTGCTGCTACACAAGTACAGAATGACTTTAGGATCTCGCCAGATGGTTCAACACTGGTCCTTAGTGCAACTCGGCTCGGAACGGTCCAAAAGAGGCTTGTTCCACCAGGAATCGATCCTCACTCACCCCATTCACTTCTAAAAGACTATATCAATGGCGACAGCACCCTTGAACTTATCAGGGAGATATGCATATTACCGACAAATTATCGTGATACAAATCGATCAAGCCTTGCCGCACTTGCTAGCGCAAGTACTTGGGGCCTTCACGGAAGTGATCCACAGGAGCTCCAAGATGCGAAACAGGGCTTCTGTCTGGCCCTTGATAAAGATGTAAACATTGCCATGAAGACTCGCTACGAAGATACCGAGACACTGTCTGCTCACACATCTCCAGAGCATTCCCAGCTAAACTCCACAGGAGTCATGTTGGCACAAAACCACAATGAACGTCAAGGAGACGCTGAGCAACAGTTGGAAAGCATAAAGCAGGATCTGTCTGAGGTATATGAAGCCTTGAAGCAAGCATACCCCTATGTGCCATGGCCGGCGAGTGACACGCAGTCTACCTATTCCGACAATGAGATGCAAGTACTGCGCATATTTTCCTCATCGTGCCAGTTAGAGTTGATCCATCAGCAAAGGCTTTTCACAACCGACACTGGATTTATTGGACAGACAATGACAGGGGTAGAGAATGGCGATGAGGTTATGCTGGTTCATGGTGCATCCGTACCTTATATCTTCAGGCGTGCAGAAGATGCACTGAGGGTAGAGATTGAGGCATTCAAACATGATTTGGAAGGGTACGATCCGAATAATTCGCAAGCAAAGAAGCGTGACAAAATAGTAAATGACTTGGAGGGTCAGCTTGGGAAGAGAAATGGTTGGGTTGTCGTGGGAGAGGCATACGTGGAAGGAGTCATGAATGGCGAGGCCGTGGGTGAATGTTTTAAGCGATTCGAAAGGTTCAGCCTCGTGTAATTATCATATCTTTTTGTAATGAAGGATAGAATTTCAAATCAAGCTTACACTTGTCACGAAAGGGAGTGCAGTGTCAAGGCAGCTGTTCTTAATACATTAATTGAAGTTGAGTTGTCGCCACTTTCTGGTGTAATAAGGGAAAGCTCTTCCAGGAATTTTGGATGAAAGTTCAGATACTAGAAGGTATGGACATTTCAGCACAACATATTTCGAATACCCCGTGGTACCAACCGAGATATCCATTGTCAGTGCGGAGAAAGCTGCTTTAATACTTTTTCCTCCTGCAGAGTTCGTTCTAATACAACATGTGATAGTCTTGCATGAATTGCATCAGGTGATATGTGCTGTAGCCTAGATCACCGACAGCGGGAACATCGCCTCACGCACAATGGTTCAGACTGCCGGAGCCCTCCCTCGGAAGCATTACGTTCGGGATGCTTGCTGCCAGTCCGAGCGCTGCCAGCGATAGCTTCAACACTTTGAGAAATGATGACTGCATTTTCAAGAGCACCTCATATAGGAAGAAGTTGCACCAGTATAAAAGTCAGGCTTCGGAACCATAACTCAAAAGCTAACGGAACTCGAGATTTTCTTGAGTATACACCCTTCTTCATTACATATTTTCACGTTGATGGCATTGGTTGGGTCTTGTGGCGAGCCAAATGAGAGCAGCCACACTCTCTATCCAAACAGGCCCGGCAATGTGACAGTCATTTAGGGCGGGCTGCAAGCACGAGGAACTAAATAGACAACGGAAAGATCTCAGGGTGGTCAGCACTTAACGTTTGCCCCAAGGGTCAGCCTTGGAATTGTGCCTGTCGTTGCCAGTATATAATAAGGGCCTAGTGCAAGGATGTGGTGGTGAGCAGCATAAACGTGACGAAGCTAAGCCGGGGTACGCTGCGCCAGGTTGACAGCTGCAACCAGATCTGTGCCCTTGCAGATCACGGATGCACGAGGGTGGGTTTTCCCATCCCGGTAAGACTGGGGTGTTGACGGCTCTGCGGGAGATGCAAGCCACCGAGCTTATTTTCTCGCCAACATGCCTCCGTTGATCGACGGTTGATAATGCTCGCTACCAATGTCTCCAGTTGTGCGTATCATGATCCGCAGCGGACATTCGGGAGCTGCAAGGATATTTCCGAGGTTCGACAGTCAGAGCACCTTACTTCGGTTGGCCTCTCGGAGGGACTCGACTAATTGCTTGCGAGATCGATCGCTTTAAGCTTACGAAGGGGCATAGGACTGACTGTAACGCTGCGGCTAACATCAATCGCTTGGGGTATCGGTCAATAGTCGATCACTAATATTGGGGCCTTGACCCCAGTGACTAGTTGACAAGTACTGATACTCAAGCTTTACGTCAGTTTCGTCTGAATATTCAGTCTTTCTGCCTTCAAAAGTAGCACGGGACTAATAACCTCCCAGTTATCGATCCTTGCAAGTAAGGTCCCGTGGATAGGGAGAAATGGACGGCTTCAAAGTGTTGCAACAAGCCAGAATCAAAGCTCAGTTGGTTCTACGTCGGGTCCGAGTACAATGAAAACTACTGTGTGCAAGTAATGGTGACGTGTTGTAGAAGGAGCCCTGGGTACCTACATGTTACTATCGCATTCTAAGGGCTTGCTTCCCGTCAAGTCTTCGAGCATTTCCAGATATCGTTGAGCAGAATTTGGCTGTTCGTGTCATGAGTTCAATGCGCCTCCCTTCAAAGTGGCGGGATAGCTACCTAGGCACTTAGGAATGAAGCAGCTCGCATGATCAGCAAGCGCCAACTTCTCAAGGTTGGCATGCCATGTGGCCGTTCAAGCCTCATCCTAGTAGAGACCCCATTCGCTTGTAATGCGCCTCTCAGGCTCCGGCTTGTGGCTTTGTCTGGCAGAATCCATGCCTGATTTCCGATGGTATTGTGGTTCAAGGGTGCCAAAATGACTTTCTTGTCGTTCCCAAACATGACGCCTTGAGGGCTGACCACGAGCTCAACCCATCAGCTGCAGTGCACTTGTGAGGACCCCTTGAATCAGCTGACTACTGATGAAGAATTAAATACAATCGAAAAGCATGCCGACTTTTCCTCTTCAAGTTGTTGTATTGGAACGGGCCATGCTTCCGTGTGCGGGATCATGGATGTTCAGCTGCATAGAACAGCTGGAGCCCACGTTTTGTATGATGGTAGTCGCAGCCATTTTGTATTAACAACAAAGTTCAACAAGAGTCTCTGAAGGCACGAACACCATCAGCTTCTACTGGATATTCAAGTAAACATTAGCAGTGTCTTCATAGGTTTGACTCTTTCTCCAGTGCCGATGTTCTAGCTGGGAGACTGTCGCCGCGTTAATAAGCGTGCTGTCCTCTAGACTCCATTTTCCTGGCCAGCTTTCTCCACTGGACTCGGAGAACAGATGACCTCCCATCGGTAAGCTCCGACTCAACCATTGAGCTAGTTGATCTCAAATGGGGGAGGCGCTCCGTTTAGGGGAAGGTGGAACCGATTTACCTACATGCCTGTGAATGGGGAAACGCCGAGAGACTGATACAATATACCAGGTGATCTGCGTTCCCAATTTCCCTGATCCAGATCACAAAACTTGGAAGGCTTCCCCTCTTTCTTCAGATTGCAACGGCATCGTTGTCCTTGACAGATCAAATTTGCGAGGATTGCGGTTGACTTGCAAACACAAGTAGTGTCACATTCCACTCCACATTATCCTCGCGAGGGAAGCCGCAAAGCCTTTCAAAATCTTGAGCCACTATCCAGCAATTATTCACGACCTCTTTGCGCTCCGCATTACCCTATCCCATTAAAAGACCGGAAAATGTCGTTCGACGCCACAGAATAGACGAGCGTGCCGTCATCGAGCGAATGTACCTAGGTAAGTCAAAAAACCACAATTTACGAGAAAACGATCCAAGGTCTATCTAGCCAGAACATGATCATTTAATAAGACCAACTTGGCCTGATGGATGCAATTCGGTAGGACGGCGGATAGAAAAGCAATGGCCGTGTTCGGCTGCACGGCTCGACGGTCCAGACGGGAGGGGACCTTAAATCAATTGATCGTTGTTGGCTTTTGCCTTCATACCTGGGGATCCCAAGGCAGCGGCCGCGGGTGATTATAGGATCTGCATACAATCATGGTCAATATGGACAAACTGCTCGCGGAAGGATTACTGAGGGCAGGCCTGGGCATCAGGTCCCTCAGGATATTAATTGGAAGGCCAATTAGTGTAGAGCTGACAGAGTACACATGACATGACGACCCCGTCAGTCACGGGGTCGGAACCCCTTCGATTACACTTAGGATGAACAGGGTTCTTGGCGTGTTTGGATGAGTATAAATATCAATATTTAGAGTCATTGTGGGCGATCAGGCCTGCATAGGCTGAAGGCGGGCTATGACAGGTCGTCTTTTGGCCTGAATAACGTTTGCGCGAGTATTGGTTCCTGTCGTGGGTAAATGAAGGAAGGGCTAGGGAGTTGATAAGGACAGACTCAAAACAGGGAGCGCGGCGTGCCAAGCGATCTTCATTTATCCAAAGACGACGGACGGAGTTTGCGCCCCGTCACGGAGTGCGCCGCCGCGGGACAAACAAAACGGAGGTGACAGCCGTAACAAGGATCCCCGGGTGCCGATCGCTGCAGTTTATTCTAACGTCATCCCAACACCCCCGTCCCGGCCTGGCTTTCTCAATCTCAAACGGGATGCCCCTGGCGGTGCCGGGCAGGACGGTCGTCAGCGGCGGAAAAACTCTATTCAAGCAGGGGACCAAACAAAGTTTCGCATTCTGCACACGACTGGTCGCTTTCAAACTTTGATTTCCCCTGGAACCAACTGCCTTGGCCTCATGCACCCAAACTCTCGCGCCGAGGACGAGAAACAAAAGGGTTAGCGAACTCGGGAAACAAGCTTATCACGGCTTCGATAACCGCATGTGGACAACAGTCATCACGGGCAAGACATGGCTTGATGACATGAGACACAGATGAGCGAGGACTTGATCCGGCTGCTCCGACGGCTGGGGAGAGTCACTCTGGCCCTCCGCGCGCTCCGTATATTGGAGGGGTATTCGCCATGACTCTCGCCCCAAGGAGAGTTCACGCTGTACAGTAGACGCCCCTTTTGAGCGCCTCTCCCGGCGGCGTTCAGGGCCACGCATTCCGACTGCCGGGTGCAAGGAACCTAGTTATGGCTCCCGCGATGCGGCTTTCTGCCCAGGTGCAATATAATCTTGCCAGACGCAGGGCTGGCCTGCCCCACCCCGCCGTATAGCATCAGGGGCTGGCCTATCGGTGATTAGCCATCTCAAATTCAACCATACCATCCCGTGGTACGACCCAAGATCCCAGGCAAGGGGGATGACAGATGTGCTTGGCATTCCAGCACGGGGTGTATGAGGCTGATATGGGTTGATGTATTTAGTCTCCCATGTCTGCCTCTTGTGAGACTGTGAGGGGAAACATTGAATACTGGCCACACCATCTGGCGAAACCGACAAGAGAATCGGTGACGACGACTCCATGATGCAAATTTCAAAACGTATCGGCGTCGCGTTGACCGCGGTCGCCTTCTGTAAGCAATGGTCTCACCCATATGTCTGCTCGACCACCCTCCTGACACCAAACAGATGGACAGCGATGCTGGGCACAAGATCCCGTGATGTACACGGACCCGTCGACAAACATTACGTTCCCGACATGGAAGGACGACGGCGGCTACACATTTGGTTTCGTCGTGCCAGACACGGCACTGACGACCGATAGTTATGAATACATCGGATACCTCGTAAGGCTCCACGCCCACGCATATGCCCATCAATACTGACCAGTCCTTAGAGCTGCACAACACCATCCGGACAGGGCGCGGCATACTGCGGTATCTCTCACGGCCAATCTGGTCAGATGACACAGGCACTGCTCCTGATGGCATGGCCACACGAAGACCAAGTCCTCACCTCCTTCCGCTACGCCACAGGCTACACTGAGCCAGTGAAGTACAACGGAAACGCGACCCTCACGACCCTCGCATCAACAGTCAGCGACACCGCCTTCGAGATCGTCTACCGGTGTCAGAACTGCTTCGTCTGGAGCCAGGACGGCGCAGAGGGCTCGGTCTCGACGAGCTCCGGATCCACGGTGTTTGGCCGCGCAGCCTCCAACGAGGCCCCCGGCAACCCGGGCTGCCCGAACGACATCACCATCCCCTACCACCGCCGCCTGTTTGGCCAGTATGGAGCTTCGTTCGCGAACGCGACTGCGGCCGCTTACTCTGACTACGCAGCGCTCCCCCCAAAGCCCACAACCACGGCCACGACCTGTTCGGGTGCCACACCAACTGGAAATGCCACAACGACATCTGGCATCCCTACGGCAACTCCCACCGTGGCGTGCAAGACCATTCCCTCGAACAAGACCTATGACTACGTCGTCATCGGTGGCGGTGCCGGTGGTATCCCCATGGCCGACAAGCTGAGTGAGGCGGGCAAATCCGTCCTCCTCATCGAGAAGGGGCCCGTTTCCACCGGACAATGGGGTGGCAATCTCGGACCCGCGTGGCTGAACGGCACAGGCCTGACCCGATTCGACGTGCCCGGTCTTTGCAACCAGATCTGGGTGGACTCAGCCGGCATCGCGTGTTCCGACACGGACCAGATGGCCGGCTGCGTGCTGGGCGGAGGCACAGCCGTGAACGCAGGGCTGTGGTGGAAGGTGAGTGAAGATCCATGCAGCTCAGCTTACTTGAAAGAGGGCTCCCCCGACTGACACACACAACCAGCCCAACCCTGCCGACTGGGACGAGAACTTCCCCGAAGGGTGGCACGCCTCGGACGTCACAGAAGCAACAGAGCGCGCCTTCGAGCGCATCCCGGGCACGTGGCAGCCCTCGACGGACGGCGAGCTCTACCTGGACCAGGGCTACGAGGTTCTGACCTCGGGCCTCGAGAGGAGCGGGTGGGAGTTCGTCGTCGCCAACGACGAGCCGGAGCGCAAGAACCGCACCTTCGGGCACGGGCAGTTCATGTTCTCCGGCGGCCAGCGCAGCGGGCCCCTCGCCACGTACCTGGCCTCCGCCGCGGCGCGCGACGTCTTCTCGCTGTGGACCGACACCGCCGTGGACCGCATCGTGCGCGACGGCGCCCACGCCACGGGCGTCGAGGTCTCGTGCTCCGCTGGCTCTGGGTACTCTGGCACCGTGAGGCTGACGCCCGGCACCGGGAGGGTGGTCGTCTCCGCCGGCACGTTCGGCACGCCAAAGGTGCTCTTCAGGAGTGGCATTGGGCCGAGTGATCAGCTCTCCGTCGTCAAGGCTTCGGCCGACGGCGCCAGGATGATCGGGAACGAGTCGTGGATCAACCTGCCGGTTGGGTCCAACCTCGTGGAGCAGATGAACGTGAGTGACAAACCCCCCCCCCCCCCAAGAGTCTTAAGCTCTTCTTCTTCTTCTTCTCCTCCTCCCAAGCTAACCTTGCCCAAACAGACCGACGTGATGATCACCCACCCAGACGTGGTCTTCTACGACTTCTACAAGGCGTGGAAGGACCCCATCGCGTCCGACAAGGAGGCCTACCTGTCCAACCGCACGGGCATCCTCACCCAGGCCGCCCCCAACATCGGGCCCATGCTGTGGGAGGAGATCCCCGGCGCCGACGGGATAACCCGCCAGCTGCAGTGGACCGCGCGCGTCGAGGGCGACAGGGCCTTCACCAACTCGACCCACGCCATGACCATCTCGCAGTACCTGGGCCGCGGCCAGGTGTCGCGGGGCCGCGCGACCATCACGGGCAGCCTGACCATGAGCGTGTCGACGCAGCCGTTCCTGCACGACGAGCACGACCGCGCCGCCGTCGTGGCGGGCATCAAGAGCATCCAGGAGTCCCTGAAGGACGTCCCGGGCCTGCAGTTCGTGCGGCCCAGGGCCAACCAGACCGCCGAGGCGTACGTGGACTCGCTGCTCGTGACGGCCAACGGGCGCCGCTCCAACCACTGGATGGGTACGGCCAAGATGGGCACCGACGACGGGTCCGCGGGGGGCACGGCGGTCGTGGACACCAATGCCAAGGTGTACGGCACGGACAACATCTTTGTGCTGGATGCTAGTGTCTTCCCTGGGCAGCTGACGGGTAACCCGTCTGCCACGATTGTCATTGCTGCTGAGCACGCCGCGGCCAAGATATTGGCTCTTGGGTCTTGATGGGGGGTGTTTTCTAGCGGGTGAGGCGTTGGGGGATCCGGGGTTGGGAATTCTTTGTACATATTCATGTCTCCGATATATCAGCAGGAAGACAACTTGAAGTGTCACTTCGACATGCACCCACGTGCTACTCTTTTCCGTGGCTGTTTAGGTCAGCTAGTCGTGAATGCGACGCTTGGCTTCGCCTCAGGTTGGTATCTGGAACATCCTTCTCGATCCTTTAGCAGAGACAAATCTGCAACAGTTCGTGGTGATACAAACTTGATTTATCGCTGACACTGTCCAATCCCATCCACGTTCTTCTCCATCCCCAAACTCAATATCACACAAGGGGCCCTAACCACGTGTCCTAAGAACTGCATGCGCCTGCTAAGCAGCAGCAGCGGCCGCCTGCAGGGCCCCCCGGTTCCGCCCCGCCGCGGCGCGCGCCAGCCTGGCCTCCTTCCTCGCCTTGACGCTCTCGCCCCACGCGTCCTCGAACAGCGTGGGCTTCTTCTCGAGGAACCACTCCGGCAGGCCCATCCTGCGCACGACGTTGAACGAGCCCGTGCCGATGGACATGGACTGGCCCATGATGATGGACTCGGACACGCCCTCGATCTTGTCCGTCTTCATGGCGGCGGCGGCCTCGAACAGGTGGTCGGCCGTCTTCTCGAACGAGGCGAGCTGCAGAACCGAGTCGCGCATCTTCTGCAGGCCGAACCGCGTGATGCCGAGCACGTCGCCCTTGTACGTCATCACGTCGGCCAGCAGCTGCATGTGCCGCGGGTCGATGCCCATGTCGCCCATGACCTCGGCGATCTCGTTGGCGATGGTGCTCCGCGCCGCCTCGATGCCCAGGATGTCGCGGCACTCCATGACGTTGTTGGACCGCGTCTTGGTGCCGATGACGCCCTCCGTCGTCATGCACGCCGCCAGGCCGTACCCTTCGACGAGCACCGTGTGTTCGGACTGCTCGGACGTCTGGATGATGGCTCGGGTGGCGTCGGGGTAGCCCGAGATGGCCACGGTCGGGAGCATGCGGCGGAGGTAGTTGACGCGCAGCAGGAGGTCCGAGGCGCTCTCGATCACGGTGGTGGACTTGCCGTTCCGGGCCAGCCGCTTCTGTTCAGCGAGATCCGTCCACGTGTTACGTACGCTGATCTCGATGTAGGATGGGCCGACGTTGATGTCCTCCCTGTGCACCTTCAACTTCTTGTGCTTCACGATGGCCTCGGCGATGTCTCTCGGACCAATGCCCAAGTGCATATCCTGAAGGACCTCCATATCCACCTCGAGGACGACCAAGCCTCGGTCGGAAAGCCACTCGTCCTCGATGTGCTTGATGACATCGGAGACAAAGGTCTTCTCAATTCGAGCCTTGACAACCTTGGCAACCTCGATCTGCTTCTTGTTCTCCAACGGACACGTAATGACCGGCGTGCTGATGTTCTTCGACGCGTTGATAATTTCCTTGATACGCGGCACACCTTGTGTGATACTCATACCGGCAACACCAGCAAAATGGAAAGTCTTGAGCGTCATCTGGGTACCTGGTTCTCCAATGGAGTGTGCTCCAACTGCGCCGACTGCATGTCCAGGCTCAACATGAGCTTGCTTGTACTTGTCCAGGCAGAGGCGGATGAACTTCTGCAGGGTAGTCCTGGAGACCTTGGCAACACGCTCAACACGCGCTAGACTGATCTCATCCTCAAAAGCCGTGTCGATCTCCATTGCTTCCTCATCGCCCGGGTTCAATCCAACTTCACGTCGGGCATTTGAAAGCTTCTTCGCACGGGCTCCCACGTAGCCCTCCACGTCTCGGAGGAAAATACGTGCACTCTCGTGTTCGTCGATCGACATGTTACTGTCGTCGTCGTAGTCGAGCACTTTGCCGTCAGTCATCCGCCGCCTTATGTATTTAGCGCGCTCAACATCCAACATTGACTTGCAAACCTCCATGATCTCACGCGGTAGCAATGTTGGCTCGGTATTATCCCAAGTCAGCGTCTCCGCATGTGTCCATGTACGGTCAAAGTGCACAGGCTTTCCAGAAGCCTCCATGTCGACGGGATCAAGGTTGTCTGCTCCGAATTGGAACTGAACAATTCCGCCGTTGGATGTACGGACCGTCTCATCGTAACCAGTAGACAAGTCTTCCAGGGACTTCATTAGTCGTCTCGACATGTAACCAGTTTCGGCTGTCTTGACAGCGGTATCGACCAGACCTTCTCTTCCAGAAATGGCGTGGAAAAGGAACTCTGAAGGGACCAAGCCAGTATAGAAGCTGTTGCGGACGAAACCCTTCGAGTTGGGCTGGCGGGCGTTCTTGTGGAAGTGAGGCAGACTTCGGTCTTGGAAGCCGTCCGGCACACGCTGACCTCCGATAATTTGCTGCCCGACACAAGCAACCATCTGAGCGACGTTGATAGCTGAACCTTTCGAACCCGAGTTGGCCATGGTAAGTGGTGCATTGTTGTGACTTAGGGTGTCCACACATTGTTGACCAGCTTCTTGACGGACCTTACTAAGAATACCTGAGATTGAGTTTTCGAGGGTCTGTTCCATGTCGCATCCGGGAGCCTTCTCCAGCTTTCCGGCCTTGTACGTTGCAATCAGCTCGTCACACTTCTTGTACGCAGCCTCCACAAGTCTGTCTTTGGATTCGGTCAGGCCGTTGATCGGGAACACGTCACCGACACCGATCGAGAATCCTTCATTTGTCAAGGATCTCGCGCAAAGCCTCGCAAGCCGATTCATGGCGCCAGCTGCGGCATCTGGACCATAATCTCGCAATATCACGTAGAATATCGAGTCCTTCTTTCCAGATCCAACAGTGGACTTGTCCATGACTCCGCACATAATCTCTGAGTTTCGGATGACCAGCCAACCGTCGTTTGGACACATATCAGGAGCCATGCCAGGCCGTGGCTTGTATTCTCTGCACTTGGCGTCCAAGTTGACCTTGACTGGAGATTGCAGGTTCGGGCGGATCAGGATATTGAAGACCTGCTTGCCAGTCCACAACGCGGTGGGCTTGAGAATGGCAGGAGGTGGAAGGTCGAGGTGACCGCTTCCCTCCAGCATCATTTCGCAGATATATGTGAAGGACTTGCGGTCGAAGAATTTGTCCTTGCTGCTGAGAAGATATGCTGCTGTAATGAAATCTTGTGTGGCCGCAATGATAGGTTCTCCGTTCTTGGGCGTCGCCAGGTTGTGTTTGACTCCCATTAGTGTGATGGCTTCGGCACGCGCCTCCTCCGTCTGTGGGATGTGCAGGTTCATCTCATCTCCGTCAAAATCGGCGTTGTATGGCGTACACACACACTCGTTTAGGCGGAAAGTCCTCCAGGGCCGGACCTTGACCAAGTGGCTCATTATACTCAGCTTGTGCAAGGATGGCTGTCGGTTGAAGAGGGCGACATCTCCGTCGACCAGGTGGCGCTCCACGATATCACCCACTGCGAGGTCATTCGCTATCAAATCTCGGTTTCCAAACTTCAGGTTGACCTTGTAACCGCCGTCCTTTTTAATGATGCCGTTGGCGCCTGGCCATTGCTGTGTGCCATTCCTGACAGCTACTCTCATAGCTTCGATATTGGTAGAATTGACACGTTCTGGGTAGGTCATGTTCTTGGCCACAAGCTGAGGCACTGCGACTTGGTCGATACCTAGATTGGGATCTGGCGAAATGACGGTACGGCCGGAGAAGTCGACACGCTTTCCGGACAAGTTTCCACGGAAGCGGCCTTGCTTTCCCTTCAACCGCTGGCAGAACCCTCGGACTGCTTTACCGAAGCCAGGCTGCACCAGACCTGGCACATCACTGTTAACATACATGGCGATCTGCAACTGTAGGTATTCCCACTGCTCCATGATGGTCGTGATTGGCTGTCCCTTGTCGAGAGCTGCGCGGATGAGACCACTGATGTAGACGATTTCTGCAAGTTTAGCAGTCAGGTCATCCTCGGTACTCGAGCTGTCCTGCTGCACGGATGGGCGGATACAGATTGGAGGCGCAGGGATGAACTGCCACAAGAACATTTCTGGCCTTCCCTCGGCTGGGTCTATTCCGAGCAGCTCGCAGTCGGTGGGGCCGATCAGCTTGAAAAGGTTCAGTACCCTGAGGGGGTTCAGATCCTCCATAGCCTTCTTAACGTGCTTTTCGAGGTCGGGGTTCGACTTCTTGGCCTCCTTGAAAGATGCATCGTACTGGAGCTTGCTCTCGGGCGCGACCTTCTTTGCGGCCGTGGATTTGTTGTAGGTCACGAACTTGTCGTGGGCCAGCTTGATGACTCCCAGTTTTCGGATCTGACCGTTGATGGCGCCACAGTAAGGACACTCCTTGCATTTCCTGCATTGCTCGTTGATCTTCTTGCAAATCATGGTCCTCCTAAGGTTGTCGATGCCTGGCCGCCTCAACTCCTTGAGGAAATCTCGTCGCTCGTCTTCGGTCAGGAGGACCTTTCCGCAGTCCTTGCAGATATTCTGAAGGATGGTCTGGGTGAATCGGAGGTAGCCTATGTGAAAGGCGGGAAGGGCGAGTCTGACGTGACCCCAGTGGCCGACGCAATTTTGCAGAGGAAGGTTGCAGGTGGCACATTTTCCGATCTTGCTAGATATTCCTAGTCGAGGGTCGAGGGCGCCGTTCGCGACGGGGGCACGGTTGTTCTCCATGTCGTACAGAGTGCGCTGGGACACCTCCAAAACGCCCTGGCTGACAACATCTTGGATTGACCTGGTGGCACGGCATGTCAGCGCGTGTTGAGACAAGGTTGGGCGGGCGTGGGTGGGAAGAGGCATACTGTACGCCGAATTTCATGCCCTTGAAGCGTTTGGGCAGGTTGTCGACGACCTGCTCCTTCATCGGAACGGTCGCGGACGAGCCTCGGGCCGCCATATTGAGGGAAGGCTGTCAAACACTGATCCTGGTTATATGCGACGGGTTGCGGGTACCGTATGCCTGTCTCGGTGTAGTTGTCGTCGATGTGGGCTGTCGCAGCTTTGGGTTTGCGCCCAGGGAAGGGTTCGTCACGGTCCTCGTGTCGGTCTCTGCAGGAATACTCGCATTGCTATCGAGACAACATTTGTAATTTGGGGCGTCGGAACGATACTGTGGCCTCGAGGGTGTGTGGCGTGGTGTGGTGTGCGACGAGTATGACTCTTCGCGGCGTGTAGTTTGTCTGTCGCGGAATCATTGAAGCTTGTAGGCGGGCGGCACAGAAAATTGTCGTCGTCCCCCACCATGAATTCAATGTGGGGAAAGGCTGCATGGATCTGCCGCCACATGGGCAAATGGGGCCCGCACCCTTGCAAGTTGCGGGCTCCACCTTGGACTTCACATGAAAACGGCCGTTAACTCAAATACGGTGCAGGTGCAGTCTAGAATATTATGTACTTGATTCAACACGACCATACTCGCAATCAACAACTCGTTTTAATTTGGACATGTCCCCACACTGCACCGCCAGCCAGCCATGCTTGTTGCTTGCCCTAGCTTGCCTAGCTGGACTTCTTCTTCCTCAGCGCCTTTAGCGTGGTCCATATGGCCCTCCCCTTCTGAGCTGTGAGGCCCCCATCGACCAGCACATCGATCCCAGTGCAGTAACTGGCACCCGGCGATGCAAGGAACGCCACAACCGATGCAACCTCGTCCGATCTGCCCATCCTCCCCAGGCTCGAAGACCCCACAAATGTTGCCACCGCCGGCTGCTCAGAGTAATCGGCCATCATGTCCGTGTCAATGACCCCAGGCGACACGCTCACGATCCGCACCTTGTTCTCCGCCAGCCTCGTGGCCATGGTCTGCACGTAGAGCTGCACGCATCGCTTCGAGATGGCGTACGATGTGTAAGCCCACTTGGACATGAGCCACACCGTCGGTGACCAGTGGCCCTTGAGGTGCCTCTTGACGGCCATGTCGACCGCAAACGTCGTGATGAACGTCCCCGACAGCGACGCCACCAGCACGACGGCACTGTCGGCGTCCATGTGCGGCTGCATCTTCTCGACCAGGCTCTTGCTGGCCGTGAAGTTGATGTCGAAGATCCGTGGCCCGTTCTGAAACGAGGGCGCCACGCCAGCCGCATGCGCGAGCACGCTGACCTTGCGCCCGTTGAGCGCCGCGATGACCTCGTCCCCGAACCCCGGGTCTGAGATGTCGCCCTGGACCGTCGTGATAAATGGCAGCGGCGGCCGTGACGCCGTGATGGCTGCTTGCGCCTCCGACATGGGCGCCAGGTCGCACAGGATCAGGGCTCGGCCCTGGTCCGCGAAGGCCTCGGCGATCGCCCTCCCCATCCCGCCCGCCGCCCCCGTGACCACGACTACCGGTTCCGCATCTGCGTCCACAGGTTGGCCGTGGGTGAGTTCCTTGGCAGCCGCGTTCTCCATTGGTTGGTCCATCAGGGACCGGTAGGTGTCGCTTTTTCGACTGTTGCGTCCTCTCTTATTTGGCTTCTCAGAGGTCATGTCAAAGTTGAAGAAGGAACAATGTCGACGAGACATGCGGGCACTGTGACGTCTTTAATGTCATGGACTCTCGTCCCTTTAACTGCTATCAATGCACAACACATGGACGTTCGAACCCCTCGTTAGCGTCATTGCAACCCAAAACGCTATCACGCGGTCCAAATGACCTCAGCCCCCGTCTATGTTTCATGAATCGAATTTCCTATTCCGGACCAGGGCCTCAGCGCCCACACTTGGCCTCTTGTTAGTGCTCAGGAAGTGCTGTCTTCTTGACTTCTCAGCTCTATTTGGATACTCGAATGGGAACTTGCAAGTGGCTCCATTTCTTCGCATAGTCACTCGACTCCAACGTGCATATCCCTTCAATCAAGATGCTCAACTGTCATGTGCATTTCTGCGGGCGTTTCCCCAATCCTCTCTTATTCGTACTCGCTTCATGGAACCCTCCGGAGTAGCGGGACCGCTGTCCAAATAGCTAAGGGGTCCAATCGATGCATCAAGTTACTTGGGCCCTGCATTTAGTTCCAATATGTATCGGAAGCGGATCGACGATGAAGTGCAGTGGGTACATGGTTGTCACTTATACTAGTTACCGCCATACCATAGCGACACCATTGCAAATAATAGTGTATCATAGAACAGTCGCCGCGGCCAACTTGCTATCTGTACGATCACCTTCTGCAGTTCTCTGTAGTACATCATTATCTAGGAGAGTTTACTATAAGGAGGTATTTTAAGAGTGTGCCTCATAGCAGATTCCGATTGACGGGATCTTTAAGAGCTAATCCATATAACATTTGAAGGTTGTGTCATTGGACTTGGACTCTGTACTACAGAAAGCTGCTTTGGAGAGGGGGCGAAAGATACTGTGGCCGCGTAGTGGACACTTGATCAAGATGATTCGATTCTATTGAAGTAGAAAATGAAAATTGCACTGCTTAGAAGATATGCCATGGCCATTATTACAGCTTTTTACACGTCAAGAATGCTTGCTTTAGGGTTTCTGAATTGGGATGGTGAAAGAGCTTGAAATTTTTACGACTTCAAGTTCTAGACGATGATTCTACATGGTATCTCCTCTAATAAAATGACGCGTTCTATATACTAATTTTCCCATCAGCGCCCTACTGTCTTCTCAACCGCGTGCAACTCCTGCGGATTATTCTCAATACCCATCTCCATTGGGCTATTCCATAAGAGCGTGTCGTGGGACTGGTAGGGGACGGGCATCTCATGCGTGCCGTAGCCCGGGGCCCCCTGCTGCATGTGGTGTTGGTATGGCGACCCGACGTGATCCAGCTCAATCGCGTAGTGCTGGTAATTTTGCGAAACGCTGGGGTCGTAGCTGGAAATGTCGCCGTTGCTGGGCGGGAGCGCCGCTTTGTCTGTGAGCGCCGCTGCTCGTCGCTGCCTCCGGAGTCGCCGCACGAAGAACCAGACTGCGCCCGCGACGAGGCTGAGTCCGAGGACTCCGCCCACGACACCACCTATGATCGGCCCGTTCGAGGACTTGTTGTCCGGATGTGGATCTTCGTTGCTCGGGCTACCGTTACTCGGGTCGGTCGAGGGCTCATTGTCTAAATGTGTGCTGTCGTTGCTCGAGCCGGTCGAGGATTTGTTGTCTAGACGTGTGCGGCCGTTAGATTTATATGCGCCAGGAGGAGGTTGGGCGAGGGCTTCACGATAACACACCGCTGCGGATGAAGAGCGCTTTCACGTCATCAGAGTTCCACACCACCGAGTCAAGACCGCTGGTAAACATACACTTTTAGTCCTGACCCCTTAATAACACTCGGTGGTGACCACTTACCCATTGGCATACCAATCGGCAACGGCCTGTGGCGGCTCATAAGGCCCAGCATCGGCATCATACCGGTCTTTCCAGGACAGCGAGGGTAGGTCGAGGACCCCGATCCCCTGGGCCCAGACATCGGGCCTCGTGAAGCGTCCGCTCACGTTGCCGGTGCCGGTGCCGCCCACGACGAGCATCTGCCGGCTGCCGGTCTGGGTATTAGCCACGATGCACGCGTGAGAGCTGCGCGCCGGCGAGGTCGTGTTGGCGCGGAACCAGACGAAGCCCGGGAGCGACAGTATGTACAGGTCTGACAGGATCCTATCACCAAGGTCGTTGCGCTCGTCGTTTCCGCCGTACATGTATCTACCAAAAGGACGCAGTCAGCCACGGGTGTCGTGTCTCGGGCCGGACAGAGTTGACTCGGGGAGTGAAGAGTGACGAGCGACAGGATGAAGGGGCTCACGAACATGTCGTAGGTCCCGTTCGGGCCCTCCACGCCTGCGACGCAGTGGTGGTCCCGCGCGTCCGGCTTAGCCCCCGACGTCTGCTGCGCGTACCACTTGTCCTGCTCGACGTCGTAGAACTTCAGCTCGACCGAGAAGTCGTTGAGGATACCGCCGCTGTCTGTGTCCACGTCGAACGTGCGCAGCCCATCCGATACGATGCCGCCGATCGGGAAGAAGACGCCGCGCTGGCCAAAGTTCTCAGCGCAGGCGGCGGCGCCGTAGTACGACGTGCCATACCCGTTGAAGCCCGGGGAAGCCGATTCGTTAGCCCAGGACCGCGTCTCCATGTCGTACGTCAACAGGCCCGGCGTCGGAATCCTGTTGGTGATGTTGTCCCCCGCGTAGAACGAGTCTGTCAGCGGGCTCGCGTACCCACCGAGGTAGAGGGCTTTGCCGTTACACGTTGCAGCTGAGGCCCCGACCGTGCGTCTCAGATCGCCTGGATTCGCTTCCGCTGGCCTATCCCAAGTGCCACCGCCGTCGTCGTCGGCCGTGAATTGCCATAGCTCCCTCGTCTTAGGAAGCGTGCCAGCAATGGCCCATCCGCCCCATAGGTAGGCCGTCTGCTGTTGGGGGTCACTCCAAAACGCGGCTTTATTGAATGACGGCGCCGCCTGTTCCGTCACTTTGATCTCTACCGTCGAGTTGACCCATGAGTCCTTGAGACTTATCGACAAGGTATCGTTTACTGTGGAGAGATACGTGAGTACATCACAATTCTCTAGGTAGTGTTTAAGGTTTCAGCTAATTACATGGCCATTCTGGGTGATTGGACCTTATCATCGCGACCTCTCCATCGACCAGCTGTGAAAACATTCCACCGGTGATATAGAGATGGTCGTTAAGAATAGTAACTATGGGCACGAAATTAGAGGTCAGGATTCGGCGCACTGGGTTGGGCCATCGTACTTGCAGGCTCCCTCCTGGCCAGGAAGTTCTCGGCTGATGGGGCAGACGGGACATTTTGGCAATCTGCAAGCTGCCAAAGAAGCGGCGTCCCTGTCCACACAAACCGCAGCACCTTCATTGCTGACCACTTGCGGGCTTGAACTTCTAAGCAAAGTTTCTCCCGCAAGCAACTAGAGCAACGTGAAGACAGCGACAGAGATGGAGGTGTTATCCCGATTCCCCAACGCGGGCCAAGCCCCCTTTTCTACCGTCCACGGATAAGGCTGAAGGATCCGGGTGGGGTCTGAAAGCAGCCTGGCGCTTATAGAAGGCCGTGAACCGGGCCGTGATCCACACAGCTGAGTGATAAGATGAGGTCTTGGCCGCATTAGTGCTGATGAGACGATAAACTAGCTCTGCTTGAGAGATTGAGCAGGTTGACAGGCTAACAACAGTGTGGATTCCAAGGAAGAACGGCATCCAGCTTTGCCAGATGATTCGTTGTTTTATATTTTTGGCTGCCAGGTTGTTGGGCTGCCGCGGTCACGCACGATGTCGACGGGTTTACCCGGGGGTTAGACCTTCGGTTGTCTGGCGCTAGCAGTGGGTGAGAAGAACCAAGACCCACAGGCAGGTGTTTCAATTAGTTTTGAACCCTGTACCTACTAAGATGTACAGTAGTGCGCAGTCCGTTGATATCACACCAAGTACATAAAGATCTAGCACTTAATTGTGGATTTCCGGTACTGCTTTAACACAGCTCCATGGAAACGGTTACCTGTTGTATTCCAAAATTCCTGAAGATAAACAAACCCCTTACTCTATTACTGATCTATTCTTGTGATTAAGGGTAAAGAAGGGTGCTAACTAGTGATACCTTATTCCTAAAGCCCTACTTTAGGAGAAAATGAAGAGTGGGTTGAAGTAAATATCATGAAAATAGTATATTTTGTTGACACTTCAATGTTCACGGTCTGGACTGGTGAGTCTGCAGATATCATCAGCTAGCTAAAGTAACAAGGTCCCGGCATAGGTTTTGTGTCAGGAAACTGCTATCACTTTAGTCTTTATGAGTGTGTTCCCGATTAACATGAATTATCGATAACTCAAGACAAACCCATGTTTTGGCTTTACGAATGGCTCGGCAGTGAGGAAGTGAACACGATGAAATGAGGGCTGGTCCTAGATTTTTCACGGTACAGGTTTTGTTTACTGTTAGGAATAACCGATTGGCAGATTGTTCATTGTGGTCTTGTGGTCGGGCGGGCAGGACGAGGGACTTAGCAGTCCAGCGCTCTGTTGCAATATTTGTCTGAAATGACTTGTTGCTGATCAGCAAGGGGGGAATTACTTTCTCGTGTGAGCCTTCAAGACTCTGAGTATCACGTTCCTACGTCCGAACCCCCAAAGGGCGGGGGGTGTGGAGAAGCTATAAGGCCACTATACCGTATATTAATAGGTACTAGAGATAGTTACTATAACTATCCTCTATATAGAAAATCCCTTTTTTAAAAGATTAACTTTAAATATATTTAAAAAGAAGAAAATATTAACTTTTAAATAGTTAAATAGTATTTTAATATACTTTTAATAATAAGAGATTTAAAGAGAAAAAGTAGTTATAAAGAGAAGAAATAAACTTATAAAAGGATTTATAAAAGTAAAAAGAGTTATAGAGGTACCTTCCCTTATATAAAGAGAGGAGGAGTACTTCCCCTTCCCTTTCCCCTTCCTTCCTTCCTTCCTTCTTTTAACTTTAATACTAACTCCTTTACCTTCCTCTTTTAAACTAATTAATTAATTAAAATTAACTATATTTAAAGATTTAAAAATAAAGTACTTAAAAGATTTAAAGAAATAAAGTTAATAAAATTAAAAATTTAAAAAAAACTTAATAAAAAGGGAAAAAAAGGATTTTTTCTTAATTAATTAATATACTTAAATAGAAGACTAATTATAGGGAAATAAAAAGAAAATTATTTAAAAAAAGGAGTCTCTTTAATAAGTTTATTTTTACTCTTATAACTACTTTTTTTTATAATTATTTTTAACCTTTAAAATAACTTTAAAATTTAAAAAGAATTATTTAAGCTTAATAATATATACTATTATAATTATTAGATTAAAATAAATATTATAATAATAGTTTTAAATATTAAAAAGTAACCTTAAAGTAAGGAAATAACTTTAAAACCTCTAACCTTTATAGTAACTATCTCTAATACCTATTAATACACGGTATAGTACTTATAAATTTAATATAGTTATGAATTTTAGGAACTTAATATACCCTCGATCTCGGTCTTCTATAACTGTTACCTAGGTACTAAGGTCGTTAAAGTAAACTTGTGAGCTTCTGTTAGTTCTGGCGCTCATACGCTTTAAGTCTTCACCTATACTCTCTTATTAGTACCTACCAGGGGGAGGGGGGTAAATTGAGTGAATAGTACTATCATTTTAAAACAATATTAATATTCTTTTAAAATATAAATATATTATTAATATAACTATATAATATTTAAATAATATAACGCTTTTTAGTTTAATATAATTTACTTATTAAAATGCTCTTAATATACTATTAAAGGCTTAATATATAGGTAAAAAGTAAGTTCGATTCCTATTAAAATTAAGTTTTTTTTTTAATTTATCTCTAACCTAACTACTTTATTAGCTATTATTTAGCTTAATTATTACTATATATTAAGTTTATAGAGCTATAGAGTTAAAGAAATACGGAAATTTTATTTACTTACTAACTTATAAAATTTAATATTAATAGATTTAAAGATTCTAATATAATATTAAAATTTAATATAATATTAACCTTTTAATAAATTTCACTTATAATAGTATTTTATTAGCCTTTTACTAGTATTTAATTATAATATCTATATTTTATTTAAATGTTAATTTTTAATATAATTGTATACTTATATTAGGGACCCCCCCTCCCCTTAGTAGGTATCTCGGTTTCTCTTATGGTCATATTAAATCATTTCACTTTACTTTTATATATTATGTGAAAGGTAATGCTAGACTGTCAGTGAAGGAGGTCTAATGAAAAAGATTTGGTCTGTTCGAGAATGTTGTCTTGTATTTATCAGAAATCAGACGTTTTGCTATAAGGGCACTGCATTGTGGGTTCCTGCACAGAAAGGCGGACTTGGTCATTTGATCCGAAACTCAAAGCTCAGCGCCACAACAACACTGCTGGAATCGAAAGCTTAAATGTACTCACAGGTGCTCGGTCGCTAGAGTTCCATACCTAGACACCATTGTGTAGGGTGTCCTATGTTTGAAGGTAGTCGCAGCTAAATACGCCAATGACTACAAGTGCGAGGCCGTTGGCCCGGCCTGTGTTAGTGTTGGGATTTTTTGCAAGACACCTGACGGCGTCAGCTCCGTGCTCAGGTAAACAAGATGTTGCTCGACGACATATTTGCCACGCTGCCACTCATTATTCCGGCATTCCTCCTCTAGTCCCGTTCCCTAAATACAGGGCCAAAAGCAAACTACCTAGCAGTAAATCACTCTAAGTCCATCAAGTTCACCTAAAATAAAATACAATAGGTATTTCAATTTATTATATTAAAAGATATAAAGTATATACAGCACCTTTATATAGAAGTAAAGACTGAAAGTATAATATCTTTTCTTTTTTTTTAAGAAAAAAAGAATATACTACTTATAAAAGTATAAAAAGGAATATAATATATTTATATATATATACCCTTAGCCTTATACTAAACAGATAAGACTAGGAGGTATCGCTCCTAATAGCGCCACTAACTAGAAAGCCGGTGAAGTACCTAGGTAGTTATATAGTGAGATTATAATAGTTTTTCAAGATGGGCTCTAGAAGAAGAAGAAAAATCCCACAACGTGAGACCCATCCAGCCAATTTGCTCTCAAGAAATTGGCTCTTCCCTTAAACACAAAAACACCCACGAAAACCCTCGTCTCCCTAGGTCGCCCGAAAATCTGTTTTTTTTTTCCCCCAAGAAGCCTCGACATTCCTCCTGCCCGCATTCTAGCTGCAGTCGGCTCCATCACTCACCACTGCTTTTTGGCAAATAAATGCTCAGAAAGCACAATCCACAGATCAAAAATTAGAATGACGCGTCCGCTTCGCCGGCTCCGGGCTTGGGTCAGGCGCAAGCTACGGTCAAGCAGCAAAGCGAAACAACCCAAGGAATCACCTGCAATCGACACTTCTCCCGGACGGATGGATCTCATGCATGAGGTGCCGCTCAATCACCGGGCTACTACGCCGCCACCTCCACGTCATGCTTTACGACGCACTACAGAGGATTACTACCCTATGAATATCCACTCTTTTATCATAACATGTCAATTATTGTAATAGCTATCATTTGAGATGTGACTTAGGCTTTACGGCACAAGGGCTCAAAGTTTACACTAAATAGTGTGAATTTTATAAGTAGGGTTGCCTAAGGAAAACGAAAAGAAAGGAAGGTTACCCCTTAGGCTTTAGGGTGAGAGGTAAGGGTGTGGTAGTATAATTAATAATGGGACTTATAGGGATCTTTATAAGGACTACCTACTACCCTTAACCTCTACCCTTTACTTCTCTTATTAAGGTTACTATTATAATATTTATTTAAATTTAATAAATCTTTTAATTTGATAGTTATTTAAATTTAATAATTATTAAAAAAATTATAAATTTATTTTAAAAATATAAAGTAATTATTTAAAAAAGTTATAAAAGTAAAAGTAAATTTATTTTAAAAATTTCTTTCTTTTAACTTTTTTTTTATTTATTTATAAATTACTTTTTATTTAAAGTATTTATTAATTAAAAGATTATAATTTTTTTTACTTTAAATTATACTTTTAATTTATTATTTTACTTTAAAAGTTTAATTTTATTTTTTATTTATTAATTAATTTATAAAATAATTATTAACTTCATTAAAGTTAAGATAATAAGTATAAAAAGAAAGAAATATTAAAAAAAGAGAGAGAAATATATTTCTTTATTTAATATATAAAAAAAAGTATAAAAAACGTTTTATAATTATTTTATAAATTAATAATTCTTTATTTTATAATGTTAATATAAGATAAATAATAGGTAAATATATAAATAAAGGTAATTATAATTATTCCTTATACTTATTAACGCACGGTATAACTATTATTAATACTAGCTATCGCTTTCCCACTAGAGGCACACATTCTCTTCATCTAAAAACAAGATAAGATAGAATTACACCATACCTATGTATGCCATAATGCAAAAATAATGCCTGCTATCTTCTATAAGTGCTGGATAGAATCCAAACCAGCTATAGTTATAGTGACGCCAATTTGTACGTCACTCAGCAACCACCTCCCACAGGTGTATCCATGACAACTCCTTCAGGAGGAGGTGCATCCTTCGGACTTGATCACCACCTTGTGTCTGCGTATCATTGAGATGCCGGCTTCTTGCGGTCTCTAGTATAGTTCAGTGTTGTGTCGTAGACACTGAGGCAGATGATTCTGGAAGCTCTGGGCAACACATTCGCTCTAATGTAACGCTTGAACACACTGACGGCTTTCGATGCCTTAAAGCTGTTGCTCGAAATCTCCGTGAGGTAAAAAGTTAATAAGAGATCGAAATTTGCACCCATAAAACCAGAGGGTGCTAGTAAACTACACCCAAGCCCCATTAGATAGCCTCCTATAGGATCACCTCCTATGGGATAGCCCCTACAACATAACTAGTTCAGTGTTAATTTAAGAACCTAAGATCTCTGAGTTATCCTACGTGTACTAGTTTCATTAGCGATATCCACTCTATGTTCCAATAACATTTGCAGCCACAGATCGATTGCGTCTGGGATGAGGGTGAGCTTTCCATGAGGGTCCCAAATGCAGCAAATTCCGGTGCAAATGGCAAAGTCACATTCCAATACAACATGCGCCCCAGAGTGAAGCCCACATGGGTAGTGTATTTATGAATCTCTACATCTGAATTTCTAGGTCCAGTGTTGACTCTGACTGAGTTGAAGGGGGAAGTTGGAGGATTGGTAGTTGAGGAAGGGAGAAGCCTTGGAAGACAAGAGACCATTCGGATCCGGAGCACCACCCATCACATTTAGCACCACCATCTGTGGTCACTTCAAAAAGCATCCAGACCATTTCTAATCCGGCCAGATTGGCCAACAAGGTGCCAGCGAAGCCCCCTGGCTCTATGGACCCGCGCAACGCCAATGCATCTGATCCTAACTATTACCCTTCTGGTAACAATCTGATGAATCACCCGCACCACAGCCTTCAGCCCCCATTTACACCAGTGCCGTATCCGCCTCAGGCTTGCACGCTGCATGGTTCCGCGGCTGAAAAAACGGGCCCGACCAACAGCCCCAGCGAAGAAGGCGGCGGATGCTGCTTCTTCTAGGTCCTCTTCTCCCCCAACTTCCCGACCATCCACGGCATCCTCAACCACAAACCCGTTTTAATCCTCGAGCTCCTCTCGATCGTCCTCGTCATATTCATCGTACAAGAAAGCGCCCCGTATGGACCCTTTTGCCCCCGTCCCAGCCCCCAGTGCTGCGGCGGTGAAACCGACCAAGGACGTGTGCACCAAGCTCAACGCTGTGGCTCCCGCCCTCGTCCAGGATTTTGATACCAAGTACGCCTCCTGGAAGAAGACATGGTTCAACAATGGCAACAAGGATTCAGCAAACGCGGCCACCCGAGCCTCCGGGACTGAGTTTGAAGCCCTTGTTGCGCTTGGGCAAAAGACCCTACCACTTGTCGTGAACCAGTTAGCCAGCGGAGAGGACTTTATAGCTGTTGTCTTGTGTATGGCAAACAAACCCACAACACTCAAGAACAATATCAACTGAACAAGCTGCTAACATCTTGCCAATAGACAACAAGCTAGAGACGGATATGATTTACAAGTTGGACCCTCAGGACCTCCTAAACTCTAAGGTCTTACAGCGCCATTCCAATCTCCTAGTGGATTTGAACTTGAATCGTAGATTTTCATCAGCTTGATCTATACTGACTGGCAGAAATCTCTGTGCAGAAAGCCGCTGTAGACATTATCGACATGAACTTTGATCGCAACATAGAGGTCAAGAAGGCTCGGGACCGCTGGGCTGAATTCAGGGTCGAGCGCCAGAACTACAGCAGCTCCGGCCACTTTTGCGAGGGCGAGGGGTACTGGGCCATGACCACCTTGGGCTCGAGCATTATTGCCCAGGTGATGCTTGAGTACTACGATGACAAGAATGGCTGGTGGCACGAACTACTACATGAGCTCGTCCACGGCCGGAGATCGGGGGCCTCGGTCTTCTTCAAGCCCGTCCTGTTTGAGGAGTGGAAGGATTGGTTTGAGCACAAGGAGCACAAGGAGGCGCCTGAGGGGGAGGACCAGCGCGCTCGGAGGGGTCATGGCCCTGGAAGGGAGTGATTGGGAGTGGGACTCACTGGACGAGAACTCCCGAAGGAACTGCGCTTTTTTTTGACGGCTTAACAGCTTATACAGTAAGGCTTCTACTTACTTCTTACCCTAGGGTATCCTTCGTTACTCGGTTCAGGGGTATGATGTTCAAACCGGCAAATGAAGGTCATAGTGACACTCTCCCGTGCCCAACAGCGCCCGGTATGGCTAGCTGCCTCGTCCTCAACCGATGTAAGCATCGCTTTCAAGACCCCACCCATTTGCCCTGAGGGTACAAAGTGTTGATGAGGCGAAATAGAAGAGTGAGTGCGGCAAAAGTGATGGCCAGGATGCTGACTGGAGTCCAGGCGGCCGTCTTGGATATCTTCACTTGAGCTGCGATCAGGCGCTCTAGCGTTTCATTCTGGGAACCCTGGGCAGCTACGTGCTTCTTGAACAATGCCAACATCCTGTCCTCGAATTGTGTCACCTCGTGCTTGGTTCTTTGAGTTAAACCTCCCCAAGTACTCGACCCCTTGTGACCTCCGGGCGAGCCTCAAAGTAGATGCTGACACAAATGAGTCCGATTGTGATCGACAAGGGCGTCAATAGACCCGCTTGATATAGGTCAGATGGTGGCGTCCCAGCGAAGAGGAAGAAGAACTTGAGCGGGACGAGAATCGACCAAGGAAGCTTTCTGTCTACTGTTAGCAGCAGGTTCGAATTCGCCGCGTGGAAATCAAGACCTACTGGCGCAAAGACCTTCCATAAATTACCAACAGAGGAATACCTAGGATTGACCATAGTACTAGGCCGCTTGAAAGAGGCGCTATCAATACCACAACACAATTGTCTGTCTGATGTTCTGCATGTCAGAAACAATGAAATGCTCACATGCTAGTTAGAAGCCCAGCCCAAGGAATGGCCGCCTGTTGACCCGCGAAGAGAAAAATGGCGAATGCAAGAACGGATTGTATGGTGAAGAGAGTTTGCCCTGATTTCGAAAGGTATCCTCCTGGCATGGCAAACAACGGGACTAGCGGAATGTTGTAATTCTGGAACTGTGTCCCCGGGTAAAAAGACTGTCGAAAGGCTGAGCTAAACGCTAAACAATGTTGAGTTATGATAATAGGTGGCAGGATGGGTCGAGCAAAAGTCCAATATGATATCTGGCACCGAGAAAATGTCGAAAGCAATAATGCAATTGTAAAAGTGAATTTTGTGAGGCTCGTGCAACAGAAGATCGAGGAGGCGGACAGATAGCGATTGACAAGCAACCCGTGGACTGCAGAAACAACTAAAACATGCTGCAGATGTGCGCAACTTCCTCAGCGTGGTGAGCTACGAAGGGCTTTATATATACTAAAGTTCTATATACGCAGGATCGGTGAATGAGCGGATGGGGTTGGGATAGTATTTCGGCGTTGCGGGCGCGAAGCCTGGTCCTGGCCAGGGGTCTATGTTCCAAGCCCCACTAATAATCTCACTGCGCACCGCGCCACACGCCGTAGACCCCCGGTAATAAGCGTCAAGAGTTCTATGTAAATAATTTATGGTGGCAGGTCTTGCCGGGGCGGGGTCCCTTTAGGTTCTCTTATCGATAAGGCTACCACACCCAGCACTTATTGACCGTAAAGCCCGGCGGAGCCTGACCCGCACAATGGACAAACGCGTGCTGTGACCGCCTGTTCCCATCGGACCGCGGCCACGTTGACACCCTCCCCGACCCCCGGCATCTGTCAAGTCGTGAGTTCTGGGGCAGAAACCTGCACTCTGAGACGTCTGCACCGACCCACTGGTTCGTGAGGTCACGCACCGCCACTTCACAGCGGCCCGCTGACAGGCCTTGTGCATCCAGCTCTAGCGCGCAATGGGGTAGCGTTGACGAATCTCCGCTACATGGCAGGCACAAATCAGACTTAACACTGCGAGGCACCAGGCTATCGCTCGAGAATCGACGCTAGAACACGGGGCAGGACCCTACTCCGTACAGTTCATTGCCATGTGCGCGGTGCCTCTCGTGATGAAGGTTGTAGGAGAGAACAACCGCGACTGACCTGACCTGGCCTGTTGCTGTTTCCTTGCAGTTAGGTGAGTCCTCTTCTACTCTTTTAATTAATTATAATATCATACTCATCCCTCCGCTATAGATCGTATACTCCATATCTCTCTAAGTACTGGTGCTTTTCACCTGCTCCTGATCATAATGCTGCTCTTGTGCCCGTTACATGCCTAATGGGGGACGTAAGATGTCACTTTGCACCGAATAGTGTGGATTCTACGAGTGGGTATGCCTAGGGGAAAAGTGAAAGAAGGAAGGTTGCCCCTCGGGCTTTAAGGCAGCTCAACTAGTGTGAAAAGACACTTACCATTTATAGTGGGATGGGTGGGTAACTGCATGTGCTTGAGAAAACTACCCCGGGTAACGTGTTCCACTCCTCGCCCCGAACACCAAGGGTCCTCAAGCAGCAAGTCGGGCTCAGCCGACGACGGTCCGCCCACCCACATCTTCATCACATTTGAAATACTCGCTCATGTCTTGTTAGACTCCGGTCACTGACGTCACCGATGGTTTTAATCAGTTCACATTCTAGGCTTCAGGGGCAAATATGATTGCAGATATGTTCCACCACCTTGCACCTTCAGACTTGATCACTACCCTGTGTTTGCGTATTATTGAGGTCCTGGTCCAATGCGTTCTCTTGGATATTTGTGTCGTAGACACCCAGGCAGATGAGACCGATGGTAACTGAAATCGGCATGAAGAGGCCTGCAAGATACAAGTCGGAAGGAGGAATGCCGGTGAAGAGGAAGAAAATTTTGAGTGGGACCAAAATAGACCAGGGAAGCCTCCTACGAATCATTGATGTTAGAATCATGGACAGAAATTGATATGGACAACATTGGACTTACTGATATAGGGGTCGTCTATAGATGAGAATCAAGGGAGCACCGATCACAGTCCACAGTGCCAGGGCGCTGGACAACCGAGTATCTGAATTAGAGACAACGTGCGTATTAAGCAATACGATAATGAACAGTGCACTAACCCGCTCGTCACCCAAGTGGCCCACCAGAATGCCTGATATTGGGTGGCAAAGACAAAAATACTGAAAGCAACGGCTGATTGGATGACGAAGAGGGTCTGCCCCAGTCTTGCGAGAATTGGCTGTGGCATTATAGCCCTCAGGACATTAAGACTCTGTACTGAAAGAGCATAAATCATCAGGAGAAGAACGTCTTAGCACTAAAAACTTGGATTCATACCTGGGTCCGATGAATGAGAAAGTCGAATGCAGCTAGAAAGTACCCGTAAAATAGATCTAGGTTTCTGGATCGAAGCCTGCGTCGGAAACGAGCAAGATCCACAAGGCTATCAAATTATGATGGAGAGAAGTATCAATGGAAGGAGGAGCGGAAATGGGCACTTATAGTCGTGCTACTTTTGAGATTCCGCGACGTTTCTTGCAGGGGTTTAAATGTTGGCGGCGAGTGACTTCGACATTCAGCCCTAGAGAACGCCCAAACTGACAGGGCCCCGCTTCGAAAGGAACCCTTGGGAAAGCTTGGCAGCGCTCTTGCTTACGGTCGTGCCTTGTCTGTGCTACATAATCTCCAATCAACTGCGAACTACCTCGTCTTGGGGATTCCACTCGGGAGAATGGGCTTCACCATACCGACATATCCAATTCTTAACCGTGGTCCCGATCCTTCATGCCGCGCAGCCATGAACGGTCACTCCAGGGTGACCACAACTTGAAGCGACTGTGGCACCTGAAGACCAATGTTCGATGTTCGACGAGGGGCTTGATGCAGCCTTTATCCCGCATCAGGCACCCCTCATCCGATTGAGTAGGTGTCGTGGACTGCAGCTCTGACGCAGATGTTCATCCCAACGGGGACCAACAGGGAGTAGGTCGCTTTTAGGATCCCATGTTTCACGAGCTTCTGCTCACCCTCGGGGCTCGGACGGAGCAATTTTCCGTGTCAAAAAGCTCTTCGACAATGCCAACTCGGCCATTTGCTGGATTTGAAGTAGGGAAGTCACATCGTCTCTGTCTCATGTCTGGATGTTGTGGACGACATATCCTCGCTCTCGGATTTCTTCGCGTAAAACGTTGACCTTTCTTCAAGTTGTTCCTACCCTATTTGGCCCAGAACGAAGTGTAGCCAATGCGTAGGGAGACGGCTTGACGGATTCGACCAGCGTTTTCAGGTACGATTGTCAAGGCACATTTACGGTACGGAACACTGGGCGATGATGATAGGGGCGAAGCCTCTCGCCATGGCGAGACAATATTTGTACATAGCATATCTACAGACCCTCAGAACAAGGCGCCTGGGTCGCTGACCGTACTCCAGCGTGTCTTTGCCTTGCCCTTCAAGAACGCCGAGCACAGCAAGCCAGTAGCAACACTGACGTTCAAACTGTCCACAACATCGGACCCGGACAGGTTCGGTATGCTGATCTCGACATTAGCAGCCCTCCTCACGGCGCGGGACAATCCCTCGCCCTCGCTGCCAACGAGGAGGATGCAGGGGTCCTTGAGAAGTGGGTCCTGCTTCTCCAGATCAATGCTGTCGATCTGGGGCCGGTTGGAGTCAGGCTTGGGGGGACAGGCCGCGAACACCTTCCAGCCGTTCTTCTTGGAGCCCTGCAGGAAGTCCTCGACCGACTCGACCGACAGCATGGTCAGGGCCTCGGCGGCCCCCGCCGAGGCCTTGAGCACGACCGGGGTCACGGGCGCGGAGCCCTTCTTCGAGACCGCCACCGCCGTGACGCCCATGAAGCTGGCCGTCCTGAGGATGGCGCCCAGGTTGCCCGGGTCGAGGACCTGGTCCACGACCAGGACGAGCGGCTTGCGCGAGCCCGGCCCGGTCCTCACGAAGCCGGAGGTGCCGTTGATCTGGGCCTCCTCGGACGACTGGTGTCCGACGGCGACCTGAAAGCCTGGGCGGCTCTTGTCTTCTGAGAACTCCTCCAGGGCGGTGGCCGGGAGTTGGGGGAGGGGCGATGCTTCGAGGACGTGGCCGTTGTGCGGGCGGCTGTCGCTCATCTTGTTCAGCATCGGGAGCGACTCCTCCTCGAGGTATTCAAACCTGACGCCCCGGCTCTTGGCCAGGTCAGCCAGGACACGGTCTTTCTCCAGTGCCCTGACGCCGCGGCCTTTGCCTTTATAAATGTACAGCTTGTACATCTTTCGACTCCCGGCTCTCAAGGCCGCCTCCACGGTCGATGTCCCGTATAGGAACTGCGACGCGGCCGTGGTATATGGAACTGACACTGGTCCCTCGTACCGCTTTGGTTTCCGTGCCTTGTCGTCTGCGTCATCTGAGCCCCGATCGGTGGAGCTCGGTCTGTCGGAACGAGAAAATGACCTGGGCTCTCGGTCACGGCCGGAGGGCTGGAAGGACATTGTTCGTTCTGAGCCATACGTCGTCCCTGTTTCTTGATCTCGCGCCCGCGAGTCCGACGGCTCGCGAGTGTCGCGGCGGCTGCGATCAAAACCCCTGGAGCTGTCGTCAAACCTCCCCTTATCGCTCCTGTGGTCTCTCACACTTCGATCTGTGCTGGAGTCCCCCCAAGGCGTTCGTGTGCGCGAAGGACGACCATCCTGGTCACCTCTGCTCCTCTCAAATCCACCATCATTTTCGCCCCTCCCGAATTTCCGTGGTCCATCACTTCGATCTGTCCTAGAGTCCTCCCAAGGCGCTCGTGTGCGCGAAGGACGACCATCCTGGTCACCTCTGCTCCTCTCGAACCTATCGGTATTTTCCCTCCTCTCAAATTTCCGTGGTCCATCACTCCGATCTGTCCTAGAGTCCCCCCAAGGTGCTTGTGTGCGCGAGGGACGACGACTGCCCTGGTCGCCTCTGCTCCTCTCAAACCCACCAGTATTCTCGCTCCTCCCAAATTTCCATGGCTCCTCACTTCGCCTTTCGCGATCGAATTTTCGCGGGCCCGGCCGATCTGACATATGGGATGACAGCTGCCTCGCAAAGTCGTCATGCTGCAGGTTGCCTTCCCTGCTCCCCCCGTCACCCATCTGGAGGCCATCGAACAACTGTCCGGCCTTGAACTTCTTCACGAGGCTCTTCCCGCCCAGAGGATCCCGCGGGTCCATGAAACGGGCCGCCCTCGACTTGGTCGGTGGCCCTGGTTCCTCGGTGATGTCCTTCTTCCCCTTCCGGATCTTGTACTCGATGGGGTTTTCCCGTGCGACCCTCCTCGCTCGGCGGCGCTCTTCGGGGCTGAGATAGGGTTCATCGCCGGGCCGCTGGCGGATCTCCTTGCGAGGGGAGGATCCTTGGGGTCGCGCTCTCTCGGACCGGTTGAGGCCTTGGTGGATTGCGGACAGGCGGGAGGCGCATCGCTGGGATGAGAGGGGCAGGAAGCCGACTCGGAGGAGAGGGTTGCGCCCTAGCAAGGGCAGCTTGGTGACGAAGCTCATTGCATTGTTGGCGTATTCAAATCGACCACTACAGATGGGGGCTTATGGTGGTTGTGGCGGAAGGATCTTTACAGAGTCGAGCAGTTGGAGACGAAATGCGCAGGGTCTACTCCGTACTGCAGATCCGCTGCCATGGGAATTCCCAGCATTTCCCAATTTTTTTTGGCAGGGATCAGCTTGGTGCAGGGATAGGCCGAGTCTAGCGGGTAGCCCGGGGGTACGGAGGTACATACGCGGTCTCGGACGCGTCTGGACAGCTTAATTAGGCTGTGCATGCACGCATTGTAATCGAATGTCAACTTCATGCCATTGCCCAATTTTGCGCCAGACACCGCCCACCCCACCAACGCGAGGCTTCAAAGGCTCTGACGTCTTGATCGAAGGTATGCGAACATCATGGATGCGGAAATGCTTCGATTAGACCTGCAGTACCTAATTGCGACACTGGTGCAGATGAATGAATCAAGACACCGAGGCCTGCCTTGACGAGAGAACTTGCGACGATACTAGCTAGCCACGACCCCCTCGCTATGGACGGGTTGCAGAATGACGAGGAGGACCTGTTGTCCTTTCTTCAGCCTCTGACGACACCGGACGGGTTCACCTTCGAGCCGAGAGCCCGCCATTTCGAGGATTCGTCTGACGACGATGTCGCTCAAGCGCCGATCCCAGGCCCCGCGCCGCCTGCCCCAATGGCTCCCATGGCTCCCATGACTGCCGTGGATCCCACATCTCCTACATCGCCCATAGCTCCTATGGCGCCCATGGCCCCCATGGAGGCTGGAGAGACCACGGACTCGGTGGTTGACGCGGCTGCTGAGGCGGAAACAACAAAGGCGAACGGGGTTGCGAGCTCACAGCCGCCGGAAACAAATGGGCACGACGAGGACAAGACTGTAGCCGAACAGGATGACGATGCGATAGAGTACGAAAAGCCCAAACTTCCACGCAAGAGTCCAGCAAAGCGTCCAGCAAGGGGCCGTGCAACCCCCAAGGCAAGAAAAGTCAGCGATGGCGAGTCTCCAGATGAGAGTGGTGCAGGGTTGCTGAAGTACTTTTCCACTTCCTCGGCCAAGAGGCGAGTCGCCTTCAATGCAGACCCTGAAAGCGATCTTGGAACCAATGGTGGGAGTCAGGTCAAGCCTGGGAAGAGAAAGTCGAGGGACACGACGGAATCCGAGGGCTCCGAGGCAGAAGCAACACCTGAACCTTTGAAGTTTGACGTGGTCATCCGGCCTTTGCCTCCTGCGGCAGCTCAGGAGTACATCAAAGTGACCCCTGGTGACGAAATTTACCGCGTGTTAGATGTCATCAAGACGGATATTCCTGGTGAAGCGTGGCTCTCAGTCGAGTTTGAGGACGGCCGTGTAGATCAGGTAAGCCACAAACATAGAACAATCTTTCTCCAGGTCAAAGTCGAATTTGCTCTGTTGGCACAAACTTTCTTCACTTCGTCGAGATTCACTCTGCAATGACCCAAGCGGAAGGAAGGCTACCTACCACCGACCATCCACTTGTTTCCCCCTTAGCCAATTCACTTTTCCCTCTCTGTTGCAACCAATCGTTTCCCAACCCCCTTCCAAACCCCCTTCCACTCTCAACTTCGAGAAACATCTATCACTGTTCATTCCCAACACTCATCCCCAGCATCTTACCAAACGCCGCCTATCAAACGGAGTCCAAGCTGGAAATTTGCACGTACTGCTCAACCTCTGCTTTCACACCGTCTTGAACTGTGCTGCAAAAAGCACCGTCGTCCGTGAGCAGGTGCCTTCGAAGCTCACAGAGCGCATCGCTCCAGTCTTGCTCCAGGAGAAGTGGTATGGAAAATACAAACCAGGCTGAACTTGCGCGCACATACACACATACACACTTGTCCTTGCACGTTTACCATCTGGGGGTCGTTTGCTTTGCACTTATCAACTTTCACTTCGACTTCCCAGTCTGGTGGCCCCACCTCACCTTACCTACTTCATCAACACACTCTAAACACACTCAACACTTGCACCCGACTCCTTCATCCATCTCACTTCGATCGCTCTTTTACCATCAAACCCATTCCTCTTCTTACATCTCACATCTTCAAACACCCCTCCCCCTCCATTTTCTTTTCTCATCGAGGTAGCCAGCCTCTCAGCTCAGTGCTGGCTGCACAAACACGTTCGTCACCTTCCCTTCTCAACTAGACCAACTCCATCTTCCTAACTGCGACCGAATCGCTAACCTCGACCAAAATAGGTCGCTTTAGACCAGCTTTCAGCCTATCCAAACGGGCGCCAGGCTCTTGCTCACTTCAGAAAACCAAAAACCATGGATTCAGACCCGGACGATTACAGCTACGTTGGCTACTCGGGCCGTCCCAAGAAGCGCAAAGCTGCTACCCAAGACCCCGACTATGAGCGCAACATGGAAGTTGACGAGGATGAGGCCATGCTGGACGCCTTCGATGACCTCGACGAGGAAGACGATTTCCCAATCCATCCTGGTCAACGGCGCGCGATTCAGAGGATGCGAAACTTGGGGACCGCTGCCCGCACACGCACCAGTCACCGAACCCAGATGCAGCCTCAGCCCAACTACGCTGTGGACCATTACGTATCAGACGACGGATCAGACAGAAAGCGTAGAAGCACACGCAGCCAACGCAGGGTCGCTGGGGCTAAGCCGACTTCTTCGCAGTTCGACAATGATCTGGACGAACTCCAGAATGAGGGGGACGACGGCGACCTTTTCATGGTCAAGTCAGACGTCATGCCTGAGACCAAGTCTAGGAGGCGTGGAGGCAAAGCTCGTCCCCGTCGTGGACGAACATCACTCTTTAGCGGCCTGGAAGATGACGACATCGCTTTTGAGCCACCTGTCCGACGTTCTGACCGAAGGAACAAGACCACCAAGGTCATGGCTGACGTCGCAGCATGGGAGGATGAGACTTTTGCCCCAGAGGACAACAAAGTCCCATCGGCTCCCAAGGCATCCGGGGCCAAAGAGACCTTCGCTTCGACCCCAGATGGCCCATTCAAGCAGTCGCACTGCGACAGGTGCGATACCTGCGGCAATGGTTCCTACGTCTCTAACAAGGGCATTATGATCTACTGCCAGGGTTGCGCAATGTCCTATCACAAGACTTGCCTCGGATACCGCAGCACTCGAGAGCATCTCGTGACCAAAGTCGGGCCTGATCACTTCGTGCTACAGTGCAGACACTGCATTGGTGTCCGCAAGAAGAAGGATCCCCGCTCCCCGAGTCTCGAAATCTGTCAGGTCTGCCGTATTGAGGGTCCGGCATGTGACGCTCTCGCCCCCAAGCGCTCGGCTCTGCAAGAGCAGAAGCTGCGCGAAGAGAATGAGGGACAGGACCCCATAGTGCCTGTAGATCCGACCATGATCGACAATGCCGACAACGTTCTTTTCCGATGCATCGCCTGCCACTGTGCCTACCACTTCGAGCACCTGCCCCCGCTCTACAACACTAGGAAAGTTGAGAGCGACACCCGATCCAGTCGGCTGGCTCAGTACTCTGGTGCTTGGAAATGCAAGAACTGCCTGGACATGCCACACAAGATCGACACTCTTGTGGCTTGGCGGCCTACCAACTGCGATGCTTACGTTGCGGGTCAGACCGCTTTGGATTTGGTGGAAGACGCCAAGGAGTACCTCGTCAAGTACGAAGGCCAATCTTATGCTCACTGCGAGTGGAAACCTGGTCCTTGGGTCTGCGGCGTCACCAATGCCGTAATGCGCAATGCATTCCCCAAGCGCAACGACGGCGCAAACTTGCTCCCGAAATTCGACGAGAAGGATGCGATTCCTGAGGAGTACCTCCTTGCGGATGTTGTTTTGGACGTGAGATTCAAAGACGCATCCCGATTCGAGTCCAAGAAGGCGGACTTGGACAAGGTCTGGAGGATAGACAAAGCCCTGATTAAGTTCGAGGGTCTGGACTACGTTGACGCTGTTTGGGATGAACCCCCTCACCACAGCGCCGGACTTCGCTGGGATGCTTTTCTCTCAGCGTACAACGAGTTTCTCAATGGCAAGCACTTCAAGTCACAACCACTCGGCGAGATCAAGCAACGTCTCCGAGAATTTCGGGCCTTGGATTTTGACAAGGAGGTCGCTTTTGAAGACGGCACACACGGGACAGAGCCTCGTTTCAACAGCTTTCTGAGGGAGGGCAACACTCTGATGAAGTATCAAATCCAAGGACTCAACTGGATTCTGAACGGCTTCTACCAGGAGCGAAGCGCCGTCCTTGCAGATGAAATGGGCCTGGGAAAGACCATTCAGGTCATTGCCTTGATGGCCTCCATCAGCCTACATTCTCCTCGGGCGTGGCCCTGGCTTGTGGTTGTCCCCAACTCGACTTGTCCCAACTGGCGGAGGGAGATCAAGAAATGGGCCCCGGACATGCGCGTGGTATGCTACCATGGTGGAAAGGAGCCCCAGCGTCTAGCTTACCAGTACGAGCTGTTCCCCAACAACACCAGAGAGATGAAAGCACACGTCGTCATCATGTCATACGACTCTGCCCAGGATGACCAAACCAGGCACCTCTTTAGAACCGTCCATTGGATCGGAATGATAGTTGACGAGGGACAACGGCTCAAGAACGACGAGAATCTGCTGTACGGTGCGCTTCGATCCATGAGGGTCCCCTGGAGGCTGCTTCTCACCGGCACGCCGCTCCAGAACAACAAGCGTGAACTATTCAACCTTCTCCAGTTCATCGACCCCACAAAGAATGCTGAACGCCTTGACGAGCAATATGCCGAGCTTACAAAGGAGAACATCACCGAGCTTCATGAGATGATCAAGCCTTATTTCCTTCGACGTACCAAGGCTAAGGTGCTGAAGTTCCTGCCGCCGATGGCGCAAATCATTCTACCTGTCTCCATGTCCATTGTCCAAGAGAAGCTTTGCAAATCGATCATGGAGAGGAACCCAGAGCTGATTCGCGCCATCTTTGCCAACGCCAAGCTCAAATCGAATGAGCGCAGCAGTCTGAATAACATCCTCATGCAGCTGCGGAAGTGTCTCGGCCATCCGTTCCTCTACAGTGGAGCCGTCGAGGATAAGAGCGTGGACCAGGAGACCATGCATCGCAACCTCGTCGAAGCATCCTCCAAGCTTGTTCTCTTGGACCAAATGTTCCCCAAGCTTCATGAGCGCGGACACCGCGTACTCATATTCAGCCAGTTCCTCGGTATGCTTGACATCGTCGAAGACTTTCTTACTGGCATTGGTCTCAAGTATCACCGCCTTGACGGCAACGTCTCGAGTCTCGAGAGACAGAAGCGCATCGACTCGTTCAATGAGCCAGGCTCCGAGTACTTCGCTTTCCTTCTATCAACACGTGCTGGTGGTGTGGGTATCAACTTGGCGACTGCAGACACGGTCATCATCCTTGACCCCGACTTCAACCCGCACCAGGACCTTCAAGCCCTGTCTCGAGCTCATCGAATTGGTCAGAAGAAGAAAGTTCTCTGCTTCCAGCTGATGACGAAGGGCAGCGTCGAGGAGAAGATAATGCAGATTGGACGCAAGAAAATGGCCCTGGACCACGCCTTGGTCGAGAGCATGGATGCTCATGCGAAGAACGGAGAAGCCGGCGAGGATCTTGAGTCTATCCTAAAGCACGGTGCAGAGGCTCTGTTCAACGATGGTGAGAAAGAAACAATCAAGTACGATGCAGCCGCCATCGACAAGTTGCTGGACAGGTCCGCGATCAAGCCGACGATATCAGCCCACGACGAAGAGGACGATGCCAAGGGAACCACGTTTTCGTATGCCCGCGTCTGGCAGAACGATTCTGGAGACCTGGCGAACGACCTAGAGGTAGACGAAAACGCCGAGGTTCCCATGAGTGTGTGGGATGCGATCCTCAAGCAACGAGAGGACGAGGCCAAGAGAAGGGCCGACCTCAACAAGGAGGTGCTTGGTCGTGGTGGCCGGCGACGCCAGGTAAGCCGATTTCCAGAGGTCGAGCACGTTTGATCATATACTAAAATTCCTTTCGTCCAGGCTGTCAAGTACACCGGCGATGCCGTTGACGGCCTCGAACCAGTTGAAGGGGGTGCAGAGGCGAGGCAGCCTTCTGACGTGGACGAGGACTTCATTAGCAGTGATTCCTCTGACAGTGACTCTGAAGACGGTAATGTTGATTCTGGAACGAACTTACAAGGACAGGCAAAGAAAGGTACCCCGCGCTCTCGCAAGACTCCAATCAAGCAGACCCCAAAGAAGCAGTCTAACAAGAACACACCTCAGCCAACCCCGTCGAAGCGATCCAGCCCCCGAAAGGCCCAGACCCCTCAGAAATCCGCAACGCCCCGAAAGCGCCAGACAGCACAACCCAAAACCCCGCCGTCCCAGCGAAGAGGCCGCGCGGCCGGCCCAGGAAAAACCCCGACGGCCAAAACGGCGGGGGCAAAGGCGTCGCCGACAACGCCCACAAAACCCAAGCCCAAGCCCAAGCCCAAGGGCAAGGGCAAGGGCAAGGCCCTCCAGCTCGAGGAGGACAGTCAGGGCGAGGGAGAGGGAGAGGACAGCCAGGATCCACTCCAGGAGGAGGGCATGCCTCAGCCGGACACCCAGCAGGAGGATATCACGCAGGAGGATATCCCGCAGGAGAATATCCCGCAGGAGGATATTCAGCAGGAGGGCAACCAGCAGGAGGGCACTCAGCAGGAGGACATGGACAGCCCCATGGTGGACTGCCCCCAGTCTCAGGCGTCGGCGGACCAGGGCCCCAATTTGCACCTCACTGGCAAGGACGAGGCCAAGGTTTCCAGCAACCGCAACAGCCCGGACCCTACCCCCAGCACTCCCAAGCACAGTTCCCTAACTCCTTTGTCACGCAGCCCATCCCCACTCTTGGAGCCAACTTTGCCCAGTACTGGAGCTACCCACAGCAGCCAATAGGACCTGGGATGGTGCCCAGTAATGCTAACTTGCAGAACTTCAACGGTGGCCCTGCACCACAGCCTCGAGGTATGCTGCTCTATTCACCACTTATTGGCCCTGAAGAGATTCTGACACTCACAGCACCTCCTCCGCTAGCACCGCGGACCCCACAAATCAGTGATGTGAGATCACCTGCAACCAGCTCGGGCCCACCCATGTCTCGAAGTACGTGTAAGAACTGCCATCTTTATCATCCGCAAAACCAGTCGTGCCCCAACCTGAAGACGGAGATTCACGTGCGGCTGGCACTTGATCAAGTCAAGTCGCTGTCTGGCGGCGATTCCGCGAGGGCGCAACAGAATAGAGAGATCCTGCAGAACCTCTTGAGAGCAAAGCGACAAGGTTCAGCCGGAGCTGCTGCTGAGTCCCCTGCTCAGCCAAATCCCCAACCACAAGCACTAATTCCTTCACCCGTCGTACCCCAAATAACACAACAACCGCAACCGCAACCGCAACTGCAACTAGAGCAACCTCGGCTTGTCGCTCCACTGCAGTCTGAAGAAGAGTCTTCTGGATCTGGCGAATCGACGTCAGAGGAAGAGTCCGAGTCTGCATCGGGGGATAATTGAGCAGAATCCGGACCCAACAGAGAGAGGCTCAGAGAAACTGAGCCATGGATAGACCAGCAAATGGGATAGATCATCTGAGAGCTAGGGTTCAGAGACACTGCATATCTCTGCCTGTGCATGACAAAGCCCGTCTGGCCAACAGGCCGAACAAGCTCACTCTTGTTCCGACCCATATCGGCCAGGCCGGGCCGGGCAAATACTTTTGATTGGGCAGTTTGACCGGTTAGGCAAATACAATTTTGGAATGCATTCTGCATGGTTTTCCCTTTCTTCCTGGCCTGTGACCCCATGACCCAATGATTCCCGCGCTGTTGCCTGCTGTACCTGCTAACCGGATCCTGAGAGATGGGCAGCAATCACGTGAGGGCAGTACAACAACCACCTGCGGGTATCCGTGGGTGCATACAAGGTTATTTGACGTCGCCCGTTTGCTCTCAGGACAAAGTGAACCCAGGCAGAATGAATGTTAAAAGAAACCTCAGACGCCCTCCCCTCCCAAGGGGCCCCTGTGGCAATGTCCAGAGTCCCCTCTTGTCCCGGGTGTTCCTGAATATTCCTTGCGTGGTCCATCCAAGAGAAGCCCAGGCCACCTTTGTCCCCCTATCTCGCTGTGCTCCGCTACTCGAACTATTCAGCGTCGCAGGATGTAAGAATAGGTGCCGCAAGAGACTCTGCCTGCCTCCGTTTGCTCCCGGCCCCCCTTTATTATCAGACTGCGGCCGTCCAGGAAGAGTCCTTCTTCGCGATCCACTTGGGTCTCATCATGGAAGCCCAACCAAGTCGCAATATACCTGGCGCGCGTCCCTCCCCCAACACCCCCTCCGACGTGAGCTGCTCCTCAGGGCCTTGTTCCGCGGTCTCAACTCGTGAAACCTCCCCAGCCTCATCGACACATCACCTCCTGGAGGCGTGCCCGGCCCGGGACCCGCTGACATCGTGCCCGGACGACACGGCTGCCATCCCATCGACGGGCCCGGATCAGCTCAGACCGCTCCATAATTCATGCAGACCGCGCCCCGGTCTGGATAACACGATACCTTCCCCTCTAGAGATGGACCCGGGCTTCTTCCAGCCCGTCAGTGCCGGGCGCCGCAGCAGCAACAGGCTGGCAGCCGAGCGCCCTCGCCCTAGTCACACTTCCTCTGGAGCCACACCTGACGGCAGCAGCCTTGGTCATTGTCTTTCAGGCCATCAGTTTCGACAGGCCCTCGCACCAGCCCCTCCTCAGCATCCGCAGTCGATTCCGCCTGCTTCCACAAGCATCCCTCGCGGCCTCCGTACCCCAACCTGGCGCAGCTCAACCGTCAGTCTTGACAGCCTGACCTCGCCGTCCCCGATCTGCAGCAACCTGACAGACCACCACCCTCCTGCTGTTGTTGTTCCTCCTCCCCCCTCCTGCCCCCCTCGCGATACCCCTACTACCAGAGACTTCCCCCCCACCGCGAGTAGCCCCCCGTTCCTTCGCCAAGGTGTTTCGAGCTTCGATCCACGGGGCAACAACGGCCTCCTCCTCGCCCACCACCACGCGTACCACCCCGTCGCAGCAGGCTTCAGCTTCAGTACCACCAGCAGCAAGCAGCAGCCTCCCTCGACGTCCTCGACCCAGTACCACCGCGACAGACACCCCTTCGAGACCCACACCGTCCCCGTCGACAACCTCCCTTTCAAGATGAAGCCGCAGACTGGCAAGATCATCGCCGACTCCGCGTTGGACCGCAACATGGCGTACTGCTACGACCGCGGCGGCGGCGAGTTCACCCGCTTGGTCCCCGTCGATATGCTCCCCGCGGAGCTTGAGAACATTCCTCGCCGTGTGCCCACCGACGCCGAGATGATCGTCCTCCCGATGCCCCGCCAGCCTGGCGCGGACGGCCAGCCCGCTGACGCCCAGATGGAGCAGCAGCGATTTGCGACTGTAAGTCTTTCTCTCTCCAGCTTGTCCCTCAAGGTTCTTCCCCTCTCGTGCGTGCTTCGTTGCTTCTTAATACCATGTCGGCGATGATGGCCGCGAAAATGTCCCCTGGGGGGCGGAAGAGAGTAGCGGTTGACTTTCTTGCTTGCTTGCCTGCTTGCGTACCTGCCTGTACTGCTTCTTCATGATGTTTCTGAGCCGAGGTGTTTCTGTGTTGAGCTTCATCACTGGGAAGAACGAACCCTTGGACTGACGCGTGGGATGCGCATCACACAGCCGACCTCCAGCCCCATCGGTAACGGCAACGGCAACGGTAACGGCATGGCTTCGACCGACATCATCCAGGTAAGAGAAGCAAGCAGGCAGGCAGGGAGGCAAGCAAGCAAGGAAACAACAAAGCAGCTGCGCCTCTCCCTCCCCCATCTCCCACCTCGTGTCGTTGCCACCAGTACATGTCCCGCTCAAGCAGCCCTCGGTGCCAATCATCATGGCCAAACACCACAAGAAAAGAGTTCAGATGGCTAACAGTGCGCCACCTCGGACCACAGTCGCAGATCGATTCCATCATAAACGCCTCCCCTGTCCCCGGAGGTGGCCAACTCGTCCTTGCAACCCGTGGCTTCGACGGAAAGAGCACGCCCACCCGCCGCCAGGGCGGCAGCAGTAGCGCGGGCGGCAGCAGTGGACGTCGTGAGAAGGTGTACTGTGACAAGTGGATCCACGACGGAACCTGTGCCTTTACCCAGCAGGGCTGCAAATTCAAGCATGAGATGCCACACGACCGCGAGACCCAGGAGAAGCTCGGCCTCTTCCACGGCTATCCGACGTGGTGGAAGAAGGCGGCCATGGACCTCCAGCGTCCGCTTGCCATTGATGACCGCCCGGTCAGCCTGAATTCGGGACGTGCCATGTTCCCCGCGCTCACCGCGAGCACCAGCATGGGCAGCGGCCTCAGCAACGCCGTGGTGTCGTCGAACTGGCGTACCGGACCTGGCCCCGTCGGCGGCGGAGACGCAGGAGGAGTGAACCGCAGCCCGTCCTCTCCCACCCCCATGGGCAGCGGCGGCGGCAGCGGCGGCGGTGGCGTGGGACGCAGCATCGGCTTTGGAGGCGCTGGTCGCGGCGCGGGGCGTCAAGTACGCATCTTCGGTGAGTACCTCACGCCCTCCCCGGACTTGTTGTCCTTCCATCCGTCGTCAACTCGGCACGGAGATGATGCTCCAGGCTCCTGGTAATGATGACAACAACAACAACAACAAGACGTGTCGCTGACCCATCCATCACCCCCCGCAGCGTCCTTTACGCCACCTACCTATGGCCCCATCGGCCCCCCTTCTCGTGCCGGAGGTGCTTCTACCGCCACCGCCTCTTCTTCTGGTCCTGCTTCTGGCTCTGCTTCTGGCTCTGCTTCTGGCCCTGGCCTTGGCTCCTTCGCGGCGGTGGCAGGCCGTGTCCCCACCACCAGGAACACCCGCTCGATGACCCTGTCCTCCTTGGCTAGCAACAACACCACCACCCACAACCGCAGCGGCGGCGACCGTGGCGGTGGCGGTGGTGGTGCCCCGTACAACGGGACCCAGCGCTCCGCCTTCGAGTCCGGCAACCCCTTCGCCGCGCTCGGCGAGCTCGTCCAGCACTCGTCCCCAGCCACGTCGTCCGCGTCCCACGCCGAGGACCCCGAGGGCTCCTCCAGCGGCGATAACACCGCCGCCACGGGCGAGCAGCGCGGCGCCCCGCTGTGAGCTTGAGCCTGAGCTGGTCGCTGTCTGCCCTGCTTGGCCCCTGCGCCCCTGCGCCCCCCCTCCTCTGTGCTCTGCTCCCTCCGTCTTGCCACACCGTCGGCCCTGGCTGTCCCGGCTCCTTCCTCGTCGCCTCGCCTTGCCTTGCGTGTCGCCGGCCTGCCTGGTCGGGCTTTCGGCTTCCCCTCGTCGTTCCTCCCGATGGATCTTGGCTGGTACCTCGCGCTGCGCTTGCCTCGGCGCGCTCGGCTGTCGGCGGCCCAGCTGCCCCTTCCTACGAGGCCTCGGGGATCTGGCTGGCCGAGATGGACTGTTTGTTTGGATTGGTCTCTACGTTTGGATGGATTGGATTGACGATGCTGACGACAAACGACCCCGCCGGCCGCCTGGTTTGATGGTTTGATGGTTTGATGGATCGGTTGGATGGGTGGTTTTTATTTCCTTTTCGTTTTCCTTGTGTTGTTGTTGTTGTTTTTTCCCCTCCTAATCGCTCCTTCCACTTGGTTTCTCCTGCTCGGAACCGAAGGACACGCGAATCGCATTTTTTACTCGCCCCAGCCGTGGGAAGGCACGGGTGGAATCCGCGGCGTTGAGTTTTGCGCTGCTTTTTCGGGCTCTCGATCCAAGGGAAACAACTCGGGGGCCCGGTTCCTTCCCCCATTACTTGGATGCGGCATTTAGCTTAGCATCACTGTGTATACTAGAAAAGAAAAACGGCGAATTCGTCCACGCGAGGGGAGACTGCATTGGTGGGGCGTCCACCAGAAACACCAAGGGCCCATCATCACCAGGTTTTCAGGCATGCGGTGTTTTGGTCTTTGACTATAGTGACGTGGTTACACACAATCCAGCTATAGAGTGAATGGCAACACCCATGCCACCCACGAGTTCCTGCTGTTCTTTTCTCTCACGGTATAACCTCCAACGGGGCGACCTCCAAAGGGGCAACCTCTTATGAGGTGATCTCCTATCTGATGACCTCAAGTGCTCCTATGTGATTACCTCCCACGGGTTTGTGATCTGTAAAGCGCGCCTCACAGCCAGCGCACGCTCCAGGTGGGCTTGCCCTTCCGGAAGGGGACGACCTCGATGCCCTCGCCCCTGATGCTGTCCACCACGACCTCGTCCTTCCTCTCCACGGCGATCCTCTCCGCGGGGGGGCCAACCCCGTAGAACCGGCGCCCGAACCCGCCGAGGAAGCCCTCCAGCAGCTCCTGCGTGACCTGGGCCTCCTCGATGTCGCCCCTGGCCGCGGCCTCCTCCAGCGCCGTGAGCACGTAGGCGACGGCGTAGGGCTGCGTGAAGACGCCGGCCGCGGTGTTGCCCTTGCCCTTCTTGGCGCTGATGTCGTGCGGCGCCGAGTCGGTGCCCAGGAAGAACTTGCCCTTGCTGGTGACGGCGGCCCGGAGCAGGGCGAGGCGGTCGTTGGGCATCTGCGTGGGGTCTCGTCAGCACCCCGGGAACATGGAAAGATAGGAACGTAGGAAGATAGGAACAACATAGGGCGAGTATTGTTTGCTTACCTTTGCAACTGGCTTGCAGTAGTGGAACTGTTCGCCGCGACTTGTCAGTTCGGAGAGGCCTGGATAACACACAAGGCGCGACACGCGCAGGACAGCTGTTGTGTGCTACTTACCACATCCCCTGCCCAGTCATCGACAATGAGGAACCTGCAGTGGAGAGGTGTCAGTGCCTAGGCCTTAGATACGCCCGGGGGGGGGGGGGTAATCCTGCTTACAGATGGTGGGCTGTGATGGTCCCGACGACGGTGTCACCGCAGGCCTCGACAGCCTTGACGGCATCCGCGGTCGTGCAGTGTTCCAGGACGATCTTGAGCTTCGGGAACCTCGTGTGGATCGCCTTCAGGGTCGGCAGGAAGCTCGCTTCGGCGTTCATGATGGTGATGTTCTTCTTGTGATCGCTGGCGCACTCGCCGTGGATGTTCTAGGCATTGATGGGTCAGCCGTTGCACATGACAGCATAGCACTAACTCGAAACAGTCCCCGAGGACCCGATATCTTTAAAAAGAATCACGGGAATCAAGGGTCTTGTAATATGAGGAGTCAATATCAAACATGCGCGCAATCTCAGACCGTTGTAGTCTAAATCCGAACTGCGTCATTGGCTCCCAGTGAAGGGTGGATGACTCCGTGTTCAAACATTGTGGTCTCATCATTGACTGCAGGGAGACCTGGTTGGTATGAAAGGGCAGTGTTGGCCACTCGGAGTCGCCCAGTCTACTGAAGTAGTCCGCCACGGCAGGTTACCCCATAGGAAGTGATCGCATAGGAGCTCATCGCATAGGAGGCCATCCTCCAGGATGTCACCCAAAGAAGTTTACCCCATGGGAGGTCATTCTGTAGGAAATTATCCTATGAGAGCAAAACAGACTCGCCTGACCGGAAACCAAAGGGGCTTACCAGAACGAGACCCTCCTGCTCCATGGCCTCGAACACGGGGTAGAACTGCTCATAGTCTGTCACTCCAGACTCTGAGTTCGTGGTCAGACCTGCCGGGTAGCTCTTGATGCCCGCGATGCCGGCCTTCCTGGCCTCACGCACAACCTCGGGCGTGATGGAGGGGTGGAGGTACAGGGTCATGAGGTAGGTGACAGCGGGGTCCACTTGCAGCAGACGCTGCTTGTACTCGAGGGCCATCTGGACGGTGGTCACAGGAGGGACCAGATTGGGCATCACGTATGCCACGCTACAGACGGAAGGCTCGAGTGTAAGCAGATGAACTATCACGACTTTTGTCGAGCATGGGGATATGCCTACTTGACGCCACCCTGCCGGATCGTGGGCACGACGGCGGCAGACATGGGGCCATCACGAACGTGAACGTGGAAGTCCGCTGCAGCTGGCAGCTCATATTTGTCTGGGAGAGGCATGGCGGTGGATAGCTATGGCACAGTTAGTCAAGGGCGCATCAAAATGCAGATGTGCTGAGCAGCAATCGACTGTTGTCTCTGATGCTTCCCAGGAGTCAATCGGGATCTTACAGGGCGTGGAACTATCAATACGGTACAAACAGTAGCAAGGCAGAGACTGGTTAAAGCGATCTGAAATGCCAAACTCAAATGAATGAGTGAAGGGGGTGAGGAGCCCACATTTTCCAGACCCCTGCAAACTGTGCATCGCGAAAATCTGGGGCCAAATCGAGGTGTGAGGTCTGTCTCCCGCAACTGACACAAGCGCGCAGGCGCGATGGGAGGCGCTGAGATGGGGCACCCTTGTAAGAAGAGGAGAAGCTTGGGCCACATCGACCTTGGCGGGGTCCCGTGGGACCTGGTGTGCAGCCTGGCTAGTAGTATAGGTACGTACTCCGTACCGCCCACACTAGGTACGGAGTAGGTACCTAGGTTCGTGCCTACCTGCCTTGGAGTGTGATGGCGTGGGGAAACGTCCTCTTGGTCCTAATCGCCAACCGCCCTTTAAGCTACACGACCATCTTTCCATCCTCTTCTCACTTTTGACAATACTTTCCCTGCCACCAAGAACGGAAAGCATAATGCTGCTCGACATCTTGCAGTCTTCTCGCTGAGTCCATTACTTGTCCGCTACGGCGGGTGTTGATTAGGCAGGGAGCCTCGTCTGCCCACCATCGTCATCGTCATCCACCAAACACCACCATCACCACCACCACCCGCGACAGCTCACCCACCCTAGCTGTTCGCTTCCCCTCTTACCGCCTCTTCTCTCCCCAGATACCCACCGACCTACCTCACACGCACACCTCACCATGGACAATGCTGCGTCCATCCTCTTGGGCTTTCCCCCCTCCCAGCCGTTCGTCGCAGACGAGGACTACGACCATGCCGTCCACTCCCACCTGCACCAAATAGACCAGCTATTTAGCAAGGAGACTGCCACTATTGCACAGTATGGTACCGAAATCCTTCAGGTATGGTCCCAGCCCGTTGCCGATCGTGAGATGCAGGGGGCTGACCGATTACCTTGCAGTTGTTGGATCCAGCCGTCAATAGCATTTCCTACCTCGCCGTATTCAACACCGTTTCCGAAAGCGCAACCTTCCCGCCCGAGGCGCGACTTGAAGCCCTTGTCACATTCCTCTTGACCTTCGATGCCAGGCAGATCCGGTATGTGGGAAGCCATCTCACGACATGGCTGGACAAGGTGGCATCGGGCACACTGCTGCCGGTAAGCCCCCCGCACCTCCTTGCGGCACCCATATTCTAACACTGTCTGCTTCCAGCACGATATCGCAGTCGAGGTTCTAGCGATCGCCATCCTCCGACTCGACCCAAGCGGGGCGATGCTCACTTCCCATCACCTATCACTCGTGCGACTCGCCTATGACAACAACGTCCCCGAGCCAGCCTTCCAAGTCACCGACAAACAAATCGTCTACTTTCCTGGCATGTCTCGAGACCAGAGCTCTGGAAACAGAACAAATGCAGCAAGTCAGAAGCCACTCTGCGATATGAGTCTTCCCCCAACAAACTACATCATGGTCGAGACAGGCCTGACTACCGCAGTCACGGTTGATCAAGTCCTACAGTACGACCTCACATGCGGTCTGCTGTACTGCTCCAGGCGCCAGTGGACAAAGGCGCGCGCGGCCTTCGAGCGCGTCATCACCCATCCCACGCGTGACGGTGGGGTTAGCAAAATCATGGTTGAGGCTTTCAACAAGTGGGTTCTCGTCAGCCTGCTAGTAAACGGGCGCACACCGACCGTGCCTGCCACGACCGGCTCAACCGCTAGCAAGACGTGCGAGCTGACGGGAAAGCCATACTTGTCCATAGCAGCACATTTTGACACGATGGATGCTACATCCCTCAAGACAGAGGTTGAGACCAATTCTGGAGTCTGGGCCAACGACCGAAATACAGGATTGGTCCAGGAGGTCCTGGCCGCACACCAGAAGTGGCAGATTATCGATCTGAGGAGGATCTACTCCAAGGTTTCGCTTGCCGACCTCCGCCAAAAGACGTGCAGCGCCGAGACAGGCGACGTCTTGCCCAGCGACAACGACGTCGAGGCGCTGGTGCAGGGCATGATCAGCTCCGGCATGTTGAACGGAGTCATCGAGAAGCCCACGGACAAGCCCCCATACCTGAAGTACCTCTCCGGCTCGGGCGATTTGTCCGAGAAGCAGTACCAACGCGAGATCGCCTCCATCTTCGCCAAGATGAAAGACCTCGAGGCCGTCTACAAGGCCACCAGCGCGCGCCTGAGTACCAACCCCTTCTACGTCAAGCAGCACATCAGGGAGGCGCAGCGCGAGAAGGAGCTGGGCCGCGGCGCGACCTCGATGTTCGATTCCACGGTGGACGACGAGGACCTGATGACGGGTGTTCATGACGGGGGCATGATGTAGGGCGACATGTACCCCTGTGAACGACGCAAAGATTACGCGTCTAGACTGCTTCTCAGGATCAGATGACCAAACAAGGGAAAGAGGGAGCCGCGCAGCACTGGCGCCACTGTGTGGGAGATAGCAGCCGGGGGGGAAAGATTTGTGGGCTGCTGCGTCACGGGCTGGACTCTTGCCACCCAACGACGAGCGAGGCAGGGCATAGAGTAGGTATTGGTCTCATTGTGGGTGAGAGCACCCGCATTGGAGTATCGGCCCGTATCGGAGTTGGTCCCGCAGTCTTGTTGAGGGCAGGTACTCCTCTAGATGGTAGATGAAGGTCTGTCGTTCGCCGACATTTTGGAGGTAGAAACAACATAGCTCAGTCGCAAGGCCAGGCTATACCTGGATGAGTCCAGCCCGACAGATGAAAGGAGCCAAAAAAATAAAGATCTTCCTGCCAATGGGTCGGCCGTCTGTGTAGTGTAGAGATAGATGTCTACTACCTTCATTCAAATTTTGGCACCGTTTGTAGGCTCGCATAAAAAGAACACCATGCCTCATTTGGGCCACGGCATACTCCGTTCTTGAAACACACATGCTAGTATTTGTTCTTGCTTTGCACTGATGCTACAGTCTCTTCTTGGCCCCCCATTCCTTCGACCAGAGTCAGATTTCATACACGGGCCCAGGTGATTAAAGTCAGGTATCTATTGCCTCCCTTTTCCTTCTTTTTTTCCCGAAACAAACACATGTGAGCACAAAAACACCAAAAAGTCCAACCGCAGAGCTCCGGCGAGAGGGGACAAACACAACAGGCGGAGCGATCCAGCCACTGCCAGTGTTGCTGGCTACACATCCGGGCTTCTACCACAGCCAACCCGCCCGAGACGAGGCCGGGCGGAGATTCCACTGCTGACAGGGGAGCAGGCGTCCGCCTGCTTCCTCACACCTGCATGTCCTCGTACTGCTTGATCAGCGTGGCCAACGCATTGGCCTCGGCCACGTAGTTCAGGGGCTCGGCGCGCATGACCTGGTACCGGATGCTAAACGATGGGAGTCAGCAAATGTGTGATTGATTATGCTCCGCGGTGTGTGGGGGGTGGGAGGAGCAGCCGTGGTGCTGCTTCCTGAGATTGGAGGGACGGAGAGGGGGGAGGGGGAGAAAGTCTTACCGCTGCATGTCACCAAACATGTCCATCTTGGCCCTACACCTGAAGCTGTACTTGGTGCAGTTGGCCTCGTCGAACACCCTGGCCAGCCCCTCCTCGTCGGTCTCCTTGAGCCGCATGAGCTCGTCGGCGGACCTGCCGCCCATGATGGCGCGGCCGGTGTCGTCGAAGCAGCTCAGCCACAGCTGGCCGGTGTGGTCGTTGACGTTGACGGACATGATGTAGCGGTACTCTGGCCTGTCGTGGGTGACGCTGCACTTCTCGCAGCGCCAGCCGCCGTCCTCCTCGACGACCTTCTTGTTGCAGTTCTCGGAGCGGCAGGCCGGGTAGCAGAAGCTCTCCTGCTTGATGTAGACGATGGTCCCCTTGACGGTGAAGTAGGCCTGCTCCTCCATGCCCAGCCCCGAGTCCTTGACCTGCGCGATGCTCCTCGTGTCCTCCTTGCGGCCCGCCGCGCTGCCCATCGAGGCCATGTTGTTGTGCGAGCGGTACTCGTCCGTGCGGCCCGACGCGTCGTACCAGCCCTTGAGCCGGTGCGCCTCCGCGATGTCTGGGTTGACGGCCATCGTGCCCGACGACAGGAGGGACAGCGAGCGGCCGCCAAAGTCGGACACGCGGACGCCCTTGAACGCGACGACGGACTCGAGGGGCGCGTCGAAGGTGTTGGCGGTCTTGCCCCAGAGGGTCACCCGCACCGAGAAGCCGCTGTCGTCGACGATGGTGAGCTCCCGCTTCTCGTAGTCCTTCTGGGTGGCCTTGGACTGGAACGACACGACCCCCTCGACGTCCTTCAGGATGCCGACAACATCGACGGTGGTGTCCTTCTCGACCTTGCCCAGCTCCTCGATGCCGCAGAAGTTGAAGCGGACCTGGGGCACGTTGCTCTGGTCCTCGGCCTTCTCGATGACGGTGTTGCGGTCGAAGGCCAGCTCGTAGTCGCAGGTCAGGTTGGAGAACTGCTTCTTGGCCATGTTCACCTTGCAGGGGCTGGATATGTAGTAGACCTCGCCGTCCTGCAGGACGTCGTAGAACTGGTCGCACTGCTCGTTGAAGCCGGTGGCCTTGATCTCGCCGCTCTCGTCCAGCAGGTTGACGCTGAAGAGCTTGCCCTCGCCGGTGGACTTGTGCCACGTCTTGATGTCGGACTTGGCGCTCACCCGGGCCTTGATGGTCCACTTGTTGGCGTACGGCGACAGCGCCTCGATGGGGTATATGACATTGTTCCCGAGCTGGGATGAGCCCCGGGCCCGTGTGGGGATGTTCTCCTTCTTGACTGCAGGCTTTGAGTCTTCCTGCTTGTTTCCGTAGAACCCGCTGCCGCCGATGGTCGTGTTGGTTGCGGCCTCTTCCGCCTTGGCTTGGAAAGGTTTGGGGTCGCCGATCTTGTCCGGGGTGCCGAGGGACTCGATGACATCGACGTCGAGCACGATCAAGATGCTAGTTGGGGTGGTCAGCGCACGCACGGTTGGTTTCGGTACTATGGTGGCCGGCAGGCATACTTCTTCCCCTTGACCGAGTTGGACGAGTAGGTCTTGAGTCGCAGGATGCAGCCCTTGACGAGTTTGCCATCGTGGACGACATGGTTTGCCTGGGTGGCGAGCATGCACTGGACAAAGTTATCGCCGTCGCTCAGGACGACGCGGTATCTGTCTGGGCCGCCCGTTTTGGCCTGGTCCATGTGCTTGAGCTGGAGGCATTGCAATACGGGGACTGGGAACTGGGCGTTGGCCCTCGCGGGGTCGTTGAAGATGGCACTGGGAGGGCATGGTCAGCAGTCAAAACGAGGGGCATCGCGAAGGGCGCGGGGCCGAGATGGGGCATGATTAAAATGGAGCATACTGGAGGGCGCCTCTGGTGATCTGGTTGGCAGCGTCACCCATTTTGTCGGTTGATTCGAAAGCCGAGCAATGACACTTTGAGTACAGCACACGACGATGTTCGAGGCTCAAGGGATGTGATGGAGTGGCGTGGGCCTCTGTGGTTGTTTGGCACTTTCTCGTCTAAGAGGAGACGCGTCTGACGCGACTTTCCTGGCCCCCGCCCCGCGCCAGTTAATTAGGCAGGGGTGGGTCTCCTCGCCGCTTACATAACACATGCACTACGCCCAATGAAGTCAGATTACATGGGCACCTTGGGGGCCATCCGCCTCCAGAAATCACACCTCTCCCCTCTACCTCCCTCCCACGTCCTGGCATCAACTTCACGGAATGCATTCTCCAGCCCAGGCTCAACATTGGCAGTAACCTCCCCAAGACCAAACCCGACGTCTACCCTCATCGGCGTGCCTCCAGTCTGGTTGAAGTTGACCATGGAGTCGTGTCCCCCCCATCTCGGCCAGTTCGACAAGACGTCCGAGCCGGTGTTATTCGCAACATCGGAGGGTATGTTCGGCGACCCAGTCGCGATGTAAGCACCCCACATGCCCTGCCATGCTCGGACGAATTCAGCACTCAGGGTCGGTATCGACGGCCCAAAATAAGCCGTGGCGTCAGCCCCGTGGAGAGCAGGCGGGCTGGTGTACGTGAAGAGGTACGACGACTTGGTCTCGTCTCCGGTGTAGCCGGTTGCCACCCAGTACGACGGGCACTGGAATGTGGCTTCTCCGTAGATGGCGAATGCGCGCTGCTGGTGGCCGATGCCAAAGGGCGACACGTCGACGGCCGTCGGGCCATTGTCGCCTGCGGTTGCGAAGCGGGGGTTGGAGGTGTCCATCCCATATGCCGAGAGGGGGTATGTCTCGAGCACGGATGCGATGTCGTCGTCGTCGAACCGGGGGAAACTGGTGCGCACGAACTCGACCAGGGCATCCTCGGTGGTGATGTTCTTCGGGACAAAGATAGGGCCCTCTTCTGCGTTGTGGCTGGCCCACATGTGGTTTCCGTTCACCGCCTTCTCGTCCAGCAGCTGGACAGATGGGGCGTTCTGGATGAAGCATCCGTCTGTGACCGGCGCGAAGGCCCATGTGCCATATGCCGTAGCATTGGTGACATTGACGTTTGCCTCCTGGAGAACCTCGGCATCCTGACTGCGGAGGCAAGACAGTTTGTCGGAATCACCTTCGCACCCGCTCAGACTGACAAATTGGTCGTACAAGTACGTTGGGAAGTCTTCGTCGTAGCTGAGATTGTGATCAGTCGGAGCACCTGAGAAAAATAGTCTTGGGACTCGACTCACTTGTAGTGTCGAGGGAGATAAGGCGAGGAGGCCATACCCTGGGACCGATTAGTCGGCATTCGCTAAAGGCTCGTGTTGAACGGCTCACCTGGTCAAACAGCTTGTCCCCGTCAGAACCACCATTCGCCATTGAATGGAGCATGACGGAGCCACCCCCCGCAGAGACACCGTGGATGGTCACGCGTGACTTGTCACCACCAAACGCGCCGATGTGCTTCTGTATCCATTCAAGGGAGAATCTCTGGTCAAGCATACCAGCATTCAGAGCCCCGTTCTTCTTCACATCTTCGGACGACAAGAACCCGAAAGCGCCGAGCTGCAAGACATTAAACATCATGTGCGCCATGACAGCCACGGTGGTGCACTCACCCTGTAGTTCATAGACACTGCAATGTACTTGTTTCCGTTCGCGTTGATGAACTCGCGAAGATCCTGACTCCCGTCGCCCTGGCCATAGCCTCCGCCATGGATCCAAACGTAGACGGGCAGCTTCTTGGCACCGCGCGGGGCGTGGACATTCAGGAACAGGCAATCCTCGTCTTCTTCGGCTCCGAGAGGCGAGGACGGGACATCGCCGCCAACCGCCAATGTCTGGCGACACGCGGAACCAAACGTGTCCGCTAGTACGGTCTTGCCGGTGTATTCTGGTTCAGCAGGGGCGCGCCAGCGAAGGTCTCCAACGGGGGGAGCAGCGTAACGGATGCTGCGGCGAGGTTAACAGCTAGTCAGAGGTGCTTGGATTAATCATGCTCACCCTTTCCATATATCCAAACCCGAGCTGTTGTCGTAAACACCTGTGTACTTTTCGTACCCAAGGTCAACGGTGAGTCTTGAAGGATAAGCTTGGGTAAACAGGGCAAAGCCTGCTGTGAAAACTGTCTGTACGTGCATGTTAGGCGATCTTGTGTTACACCGTCCTTGGTGAGGAAACAGATGGGGATCATCCCATTTTCTTACATTCAACTGGGTTGGGCTTCCATTTAAGTCTTTATAGTCAGCTGAGATGCATTATCAAGCACCTGGGCACCCAAGTACCCAAGTATTATCGTGCGGAAAAAGCAGCCCCCACGATGACGGAATTTGCCGAGAAAAGCAACACGATTCTCCATCATTCTCCATCATCGGTCTACCTCTGACCGACTCATCACACCTACAGATTACCAAGCACACAAGCTGCTCTTCATGACCAATCCAATCTGTACGATTGAGGATATCTCCGTGACGGCGGACTAGTCGGTCGGCATAAGCCTGACTAGAGCGGAGCCGCATTCGATCAGGCTGTTGAGCACGTGGGGTCCCGAACACCCCGGTAGGATTGTGGCAAGAATAAGATGAATATCATATGCTCTTCAAAGGATTCATGGCTGTGGCTCAGCAAGCGCTTGTCATCAAGGCTCCGGAAATTCTTGTCGGAAGCAATCGGAACCCCGGCAATTCCGGGGGATGAAATACTATCATGTCATAGACAGGACCTGTGACCTGTAAGTGAATGAACGCTTGAAAAGTTCTTCGCAGTATCTAGTCAGAGGTCAAATTCTCAATCCTTGGTTTCGACACACTCCTATAGGACAACCTTGTTCTGGATGAACTCTTATAGAATAAGTATTTGTAGGACACCCAGGTAACTAAGTTGGCACTAATCCAAAAGGATGCTTTGGTATTCTAGCCACCTAGTAAGCTTGTATACCTTTTGGTTTTACGAGTGTGAACCTCTGATCTCTAATGGAATATGTAGCGGGCTATAGCTTAAATGAATTTAAGCACACAGGGCTGCAAGATTCATCATAAACCAGGAGTTTCAGCTATTCCCTTGGTCGGAAATATTCTTGATTGAAGATACCTACCTGGGTACCCACCAATCCGCCATGATGTGCATCTCCCTTTTAGTGAATATGAAAGAACTTCCGTAACGGCCATAATTACCAGTTGGACAGATTTACTGCCGTCAGCAAAGCCTGGGCTGTTTGGTGTCCACGGACCTCGGGATGCCAGGAAGTATTTCCGTCTACATGCTCCTAAATTTCAGACTGCTGAAGGCTTGCTTTGGGACCATTCTTGAATGGGGCTTGGAAGAAGCACGATGTGTGGCTTGGCCAGGGGCCGGGGAAGCACGCCGGATGACGAGAAAAAGAACTTGACCCATCCACGGGGAGGCCATGGTAATATGACGCCATCGGAATCTGCTGTTGCACAAAGATGATGGTCCTCGACAGGCACGTGGAGACTAGGTCCTAAGAGGTCCGATGCTTATTGTCATCTTTGGTTCCAAACTTCGAAGACACAACATTTACGCTTGGAAGGCTTCGGCTACTATGTTTGTTTTTGTTCAACTATTTATCTATTAGTTACCATCTTAGCCCTTACATTACGTTCTAGCTTATACCTTGTGTATGTACTTAATTACTTCTACCTACCTAGGTACTATGTGAGGCCGGGACAAGTAAGGCTACCTAAGTTAGGGTACTAGTGGCAATTGTTATTATACAAGATTCTATACTCTGCTATAAAAAGTTCTAAAAAGACAAAACGGTCTAGAGTCATGAGCCTAGCTCGCTCTCTGTTACGACGACTCCGTCCTTTTCACTCTCAATCCCCTTGGCAGCAGCTGTAGTGGGTATCGGAAAGTCCCACCCCATCTCCCCAGAAAACAATTTCTCTTCGGCGCGAGCCGACTCATTTCCATCCACCTTCAAAAACTCTAATACGCGACTCCTCCGCATAACCTTGCCCAGCAACTTCCTTGCCATCTTCGCCTCAAAATCCGGAACCAGCAACGGGACCACACGCGTCAGAAGCCAGGCAACCGCGGCTGCGACAAAACCCCGGTCACGCGGATACGCACACTGGCGTGTCACCCTGCCGCTAATGCTGACCACGTCGGCCACATCGTCATCCACGCAGCGTGCCTCTGCGTAGCGTGCAAGGACGCCATCCAGCTGAGCGGTCGAGGGCGATGGCGATGGCGATGGCGATGGCGATGGCGATGGCGATGGCGACGGCGACGAGGGGCCCGTCACTTCAGCGTGGAGCATTGACACCAGCGCGCACACGTCGTTGACGCCCGAGTTGAACCCCCAGCCAAAGTTGGGCGTCATCCGGTGGACCGCATCGCCCGCGAGCACGACACGGCCGCCCTGGGCCGCGGGGAGACGCCAGTTCCCCTGCGGCAGCACGCCCTCCAGCTGGTCTGCCATGCCACAGGCCGTGCGCGTCGGCCAGATGTCGCCGAACCGAAGGCCCGGCAGCAGGCGGACCCGGGCGAACCGCGCCGCCATCTCCTCCTCGTCCTCGGGCGTGTACCTCTGGCCCCCGTCGCGCGGCCCGCCCAGCCGCTCGTATAGGAAGAACCAGCTGCGGCCGTCGTTGCCCGTCATGAACATGATGCTGCGCTCTGGGCCGTGGCTTTCTGCGTTGGAGCTTGGTGGGCACGCCGCTGGTGCTGGGCATGTCCCCCAGAGGCAGCGGTACTCGGCCTTGTAGGGTCTCTCCGGTGGCATGTCTCCCTCGTCGTCGTTGCTGCCTTCGTTTCCTCTCGCCGCCAGCATCAGCTCGCGCATCAGCACCCTCGTCCTGCTGTGCACGCCGTCCACCCCGAGCACCAAGCTGCCTCGCTCCACCCTCCCGTCCTCACACCGCACCGTCACGCCTTCTTCATCAACCTCGAGCCCACACACCTTGCGTCCCGTACACAGCTTCGTCTCCCTCACCTCCATCGGCAGCTGCTCATACAGCACCTCCACCAGCTCCTTTCGGTGGAAGTTCCACGGCGCCGCACCAAACAGCCTCCTGTGTATTACGCTGGGATTTCCTCCTCGGTAGATATTTCCTGCATGATCTGCCGAGCTGCGGGTCGCGACGGGGCAGCCCTTGGGCTCCATGGCGCTGTAGAGGCCTAGTTGTTGCCATACGCGCTGGGTTGAGGCGTATGCTAGCAGGCTGGCGCCTTCCTCCGGGGTAAATGTGTCCCGGGCTTCGAGGACGACGAAGTCGATACCAGCGGAGAGGAGAGCATGTGCGGCCGTAAGACCAACGGGGCCGCCGCCGATTATGATGACTCGGAAGGGCTGAGTTTCCATTATGAAATTGTCAGGGATATTGAAACACCGGCCAGGAAGGATGGAGGCTTGAATTCACAAGGGAGAAGAGGTGCCTGCGCACCTATATCTATGCCCATACTGGCAGTGGAGTTCTTATCCGGAACATTTCCTCGCCTGCGCCGCGTAGACGCAAACCCGTGTAAACCCGCCGCGGATCTGCACCTTATTATTTCCTTTCACTAGGGCCGGACCAAAGGTGGAGTCTTATAAGTAACTCCCCCTTTTCGGCCCATTTATCCTGACCTCGAAATCGAGGATAGGCAAACGGTAGATGATGACAAGCCAGTGCCCAGGTGGCGATACCTCGAAAAACACCATGGTACCCTGAGATTTAACAAGAGCACAACGCTCGCTTGTTTACTATTATACACTATTTACAATATTGATAGCAGCTATCATTTATTTACCTGGCACCCGACAACTGCAAGACTTGAAAACGACTTCAGGGGCTTTAGATCTAGCATCCATAGAATATGGAAACTTCTCCCTTAGGACGAGTACTCGTCAACAATGGTGTCGGCCACCTTCTCCACGAGCTGGTGGATCCAGAGGATGGGGAAGAAGCCGGGCAGCTTGTTGCAGGCGCTCAAGTCCGAGACACGCAGGCCATCGACACCACGCACGCGCAGGTCACCGTCCAGCACGGCCATGGGGTCGCCGTCCGCGCCAATGGGCGCCGAGCACGAAGCATGGTGGCCCCAGCTCTCGTCCCTGACGAACTGGTCGAGGTCCTCGCCCTTGACGTCCTTGCCGGGCCAGACCTCGTCGAACGCGCCGTGGAAGACCTCGTCGACGCCGCTGGCCAGGGAGCCCTCGGTCCCGGACAGGACGCCGCCGATGGGGATCACGTCCTCCATGATACGGCGGGCGTACTCGTAGCCCTCCCGGATGGCCTGCAGGTCGAGCGCGGCCTCGGACTCGTTGTTGAACTTGCGGAAGTTGATGACGGGGGTGTCGCGCGGGTCGGAGGACCGCAGCTCGACCGTGCCGTAGTTGTTGCGCTGGTGGGCCTTGAGGATGATCCACGCCCAGTGGTTCGAGTCGGCAGTGCAGCCTTGGGACCAGCCGGAGTAGTAGCCCGTGAAGTTGGCCGGGCCGCCCAGGACCATGAGGTCGGGCTCGCCGCGGGCCGAGGTGGTGGTGTTGCGGATGACGGAGATGGCGATGCCGTTGGAGGCGTAGGCGCCGCGGGATGTCTGGTCCTTGCCCTCGACGAAGGTCTTCATGCAGGGGTCGGTCTCCGGGTCAGGGTGCCAGGTGCACTTCTCGGTCAGGGCGAAGGATGTCTCGGTCTTGGAAACCACTAGTGGTGAAGTTAGTCCTGCTACAGGTCCTCAAGTGTTGTGTTCTAGAACATTCCAAAACATGAAAGACGGGGATCCGTAAAAGGTGAAAAGTGATGCTTACTGGTCTGCTCGTAACGGTCCTGCAGGTTGGTGCCCACACCGGGCAGGTCGAGGACGACTTCGATGCCGTGCTTCTCCAGCTCGGCCCTGGGACCAACGCCAGACAGCTTGAGGATCTGGGGCGTGTTGTATGCGCCGCCGGCAACGATGACCTCCTTGGCAGCCTTGACGTGACCAGTGCCCTCGGGCTGAGCAGAGCCACTACGGGGGTCAGCGCGGTAGAGAGATGCGCCGTTCATGAAGTCAACGCCGGTGGCACGCGGCTTGTCCCCGGTGGTGTCGAAGGTGACCTTGGTGGCGAGAGTGTCGAGCATGATGTCGAGATGGTACTTGCGGCTGCCGTCGTCGTTGGTGGCCATGGCAGTGTCCACGATGAGGTCGTACACTCCACCGCGGCGCGAGTCCTCTCGCATCACAAGAGGCACCTGGTACACCTCAGGGACCATAGTCTGGCCAGGCGCGTTCAGGTCGCTGAGCAGAACGCTGGCGAGGTATGTGGCCGTGTCAAGGACCTCGGTGATGAGCGACTTGCCGAACGCAGTGCAGGCGGCGGCCAGGACAGACACGATCTTCAGGTCAGTCGCTGCCGTCAGCAGCGAGGTGACCTGCATCGGATACCAGCCTCCCTTGCCCGCATCAGCAGAGTGAGGCGTGTAGTTCACGTCGGTGATGCGCGTCAGGTCCTGGCGCATGTTGTCCGACCTGTACGTCTCGTCGCCCGTCAGCTCCGCCATGTCCTCCCAGTCCATGTCGTAGGGCTGCATGCTAAACAGGGCATTGTGTCGAGAGCAACCCCCCAGCGCGCCGGTTCGTGGGTAGTAGATACCCAGCGGCTCAGCGCCCTCGGGGATCTCGGCGGAGGTGGCAGGCGTGCCCAGGTTCCCCGTCGCGTTGTACGAGGACCACATCTTGCCGTCGGTCGTATTATAGACCATCTTGCTGTCTCGCTTGTCCTCCTCGATGTCGTCGTACTTGTTGATGTAGTATGCCCACTCCATGCTCCAGTCCTCGGTCGAGGCGATGTTCATTGCGGGAACCGACTGGATGAGATCCTCGCCATTGTCACCTCCGGCCTCGATCAGGAGCACCTTGAAGCCTGCGATGGCGAGGTTTGAGCACATGTGCCCACCGCCGGGTCCAGAGCCGATACATACAAAGTCGTACTCCGTCGTCGAGTTGCTCTGGAACTCGTGGCTGTACTGGGCTCTCTTGTGAACGAAGGGGTTGTGGCGAGGCAGTGCAGCCGCCACGTGCGCGAGCAGTGCGCCCGTGGCCAGTCCCTGCGTCATTCGCATGATGAAGGAACAGGGATGAAAATATGCTAAAAATAATAATTACAGTTGCTACTGAGGGAGTGGACGGCTTGATAGCCTGGGGGCGTGGAGCTTGCAGGTGAGAAAAGAATGACTGGCTTCGCCGTTGAGGATGGGCAACTTCCACAAGGATGCCTGTGATGGCCGGTTGCATTCCTGATTAAGTACCTGGATGTCGTTGGCGGCGCGATGAACAAGGCTGATGCCATAAGGAATAGCGGTTCTCCCACGCGCCGCCCCCTACTCGCTATCTCAGGAAATTCCCGACTTCTCCAGCTCCTGCAGTCCCCGCCGATCACCATCTTGCAACTCCGGTCTGGCGTATCCCGCCGCCCATACAGGGTTCTTTTTGGATTCTCGTCGGGTCTGTGGCATAGAGCCCTGTCGTCTTACCCACACCTATGGATATTTTCCATCATTACCCCGTTTATGTCGGCACCGTCAGCATGCAAGGTCACCTTGACAGCTGTGGTGTAAGCCTGGAGATCGGAGTGTCTGCAGGTACTCCTGAGGGCTCAAGTCATGCTCGGATCTGGCACACCAGTCACTCGTTTTGCACGAATTCTCGCTCAAAACGGCCCCCTCTCGGCCTAAATCACGGCACAGGCTCACGGAGAGTTGATTGAGTTTGGAGACTGTATCTTGGTTCAAAAAAGCTCCCGCTGAGATGTCGCTTTGAAAGTGGGCCCAAAATCCCGGGCAGTGCCACATCGCGCGTCCCGGTACTTTGCAGAAACCCTTCGCTTGGCATAGCTTGTTTCCATTCTCCAGTGATCGACCAACCGAGGCACGACCTGCTTTCCTTTCTTGCTGAAGGACAGGATTGATGGGGTCCAAGCATCCCCTATTACGCAGAGACTCGCAGTATATTCCAACTTCCGCAGACCTCCATGGTTCCTGGCCCACTCTTTTGGCCGGCTCGGTAACTTGATTGCTGTCAGAAGGTATTCGGATGCTCACAGGTCTTGCTAGGTACGTCTAAGATTATATGACGACTACCAAAGAGGCAGCCCTTAAATACACCCCCCCCCCCAAGTTTTTTGCCTTGAACAGCCACACGACGGGCTTCAGCACCTCTCCGGCGGCTGGGCCACGACCGCGCAATGGCCAGACCCAGAAATTTTGCTCTTCTTGAGGCTCGAGAGGGGTTGCTGTATCGGGTCTTGGATGAGCACTTTTTTAAAACTATTATATGAGAACACTAGCTGCGATGGGAACCACAAGGCTGGCCTCCGAAGGCAGTAGTTCATGGACAGTCAGGGGATGTTCGGGTTGTTTGGTGCTATGTGATGGGTCCAGTTGGTGATTATCTAGATCCTTCAACGGCGGCCAGCGTCTAATGGAGAATTTGGTCGAGACCCGGGGTCCTGCTGACAACTAAGCGACAGAGACAGGCTGTGCGTTGGTTCAGGGATCATAAGGTGGCGCAGGGATTATCACCAGGTGCCGAACCAACGGGCCGGAATTGCCAGGTTTTCGGTGAGCGGGTCCACCGCGTCACATCTCTACGCTTTCCTTTGCGTAATCCGGACCCGCAGGCGGCTTCTTGTTCGCGGGAGATCGGACGGCCCCTGATTATCAGTAGTTTGGAGAGAGCTCGACACAACTTGTTGCATCCGCTCAACTCAGCACGCGAGGAGCACTCCCCAGCGTTCGCGGGTTCGCTTACACTCTGTTCCAAGGAGAATCATTAGGGATCACCGGTGAATCACCGCAAGATTATCATTAACGCGACATAACAAGTTATACGATCCCGGTCTTTCGCCGGCCCATCCTTGTGAATCCCCATTTTTTCAGAAAGAACAGAAGAACATGATAGGAATATGATAAGTGACAGATGGGCGGTTTCCCACCGGTCTTCCATCACCCTAGCTGAAAGACATTGTTGAAACGACTGCCGGATATGCCGCTGTGCTCCCCGGGCTGTGAAGATTGTCAATCACAACTTGGAAGAGCCAGTCTCTTGTTGTCTAGCCGAGCCAACGAGCGGCCGAAACCAAGCCAAGTAGAGTACATACAAGTATAGTAGATCCGTGTGTTCACCACGCGGGAGATGCACAATTTGAAACTTACTATCGAATCTTCGTTTAATCCAGTCGTTCGTTTACCCTCTTTTCGCTTCGATTCTCACCATGCCATCTTCTAGGATGGACGCGGCATTTTCTATGTTCAACCACGTGGCCGCGAGGGCGACGTCAATGCCTGAGTGCGCGCAAAAGTGCCTAGTGGAATACCTGCCACAATCAGCATGTCATGTGGCCTCCAATATCACATGCATCTGCAACGACGCCCCCCTCACAGCACAGATGTCAAAGTGCGTGCTGGCGGGTTGCTCGGTCCGGGATGCACTGTTGACAAAGAGGTTCGACGCCGAGACGTGCGAGTGGCCCCAATCCGACGACTCTCTAGGCCTCAAGGTGATCACGCCACTGTTTGGTGTGCTTGCCGTGCTCTTCTTCCTGTGTCGGGTGTGGGCGCGGTCGCTCACCGGGCTGGCCGTTTCGTGGCAGACAGACGACTGGATGTGCCTCGTCACAACAATATTCTCCATCCCGCTGACGGTGGTCTCGTACGAATTCGCTGCCCACGGCCTGGGTTACGATCTCTGGGAAGTGGACTTTGATGATATCACCTTTGTGCTGGAGATGTACTACTACTCGGAGATCCTCTACGTCCTCGTCGTCTTCATGACAAAAATCTCCATCTGCTTCTTCTACCTGCGCATCTTCCCCAAGAAGGCGTTCCGGATCCGCGTCTTCACAATAATCGGCCTCTCTATCGCCTGCTGCCTCGTCTTCGCCCTCGTCACCATCTTCCAGTGCACCCCCATACCCGGTGCATGGCTGAAATGGGATGGCACCTACCAAACCGAGTGCCGCGACGTGCAGACCCAGGCACTGTGGGCCGCCATTTTCTCCATCGTCCTGGACGTGGCCACCATATTCCTGCCCATGACCGAACTGTGGGCGCTCAACATGTCGCTGCGCAAGAAGCTCGGCGTCATGATGATGTTCGCGACGGGCGTTTTCGTGGTCGTCGTCCAGGTGCTGCGCATCGTCTACCTGCTCAAGTTCTCGGCCACGTCAAACTTCACCCGCGACTACACTGCCACCAGCATATGGTCCAACGTCGAGGTCTACGTCGGGATTATGTGCGCCTGCTTCCCGCAGTGCCGCACCCTCCTGACCAAATTTGGCCCGCGCATCTTTGCCTCCACCAGAGGGGCGTCCACGAAAGAGGCGACCGGCAAGGGCATCAAGGTCACCACCAAGATACAGAGCCAGTTCTCACAGAGGCCCAGCCGCGGCGATGAGACGGAGTTTGTGGAGCTGCGGGCGGCTGGGCCGGATGGTTTCAACTCGACGACCAATCTGCACCGTGGCTCTGAAAAATATGAGCTGGGGTATAAGGAGTCAGTTTAAGAGCTTGGAGTTCAAGTTGATTCGTGAAAACTGGTTTTCTTTCAGAGGCGCCTCAAATTACTACTTAGGTACATATTTAAAACTTGTCCCTGGACAGCACATATCCGGGTTTTTATTCGTCTACATTTGCAGACTATTGATATGAGTCCCCATGGCTTATTATCCTTTTATATCCGGCCACTGGGCGAACGACTCCAATATCTGAGGCTAGCTTCAGAGCATCCACCCGTGACGTGAACTTGACAAACGCAACATGCCCGCACACATCGTGCGTTGCGAACGTTTCCCCATTTGGAGTTGGCACAAAAAGCAGCCCAGCAGACGTCATGTCGAAGCCCCCAGAGTGGCACTCGCTAAAGCAGTCGCGGGGCCACTGGTTGTGGGGCCGACAGGATTTGGCAGATCTTAATACTTGGGCGGATCTCTTTCCTTATCGTTGTGGGTCCCCTTTTCAGCCTCTTCCAGTTGGCACTAGCAACCCATATCCCTGTCTAAGTCTACACACAATACCCTAGTCCCAGAGAGGCGTCTTTTGTGTGGGCCATAACCGTCTCCTCGGCAGAGCAGTGTGTATGAGATGACCTCGGGAATGCTCTCAAGGGGTCCCACCAGGAATCCATCAGAAGTGGATGTTCGGACTGCCAACCAGGCGTAGATCTTTCGGACCGCCTTCCTCCCGAGGTCTTGTATTATGCCCCTGCAAGAGTCGGAACAACCGAGCACGAGGTTTTGAGAGTGCTACGGCAGCATCTGTCGGTTCGTATACATCACGGACTCTTCACAACCATGAAAGTTATCAGTCTACATGTTGCCCGGTGTTGTGCATCCATAAGCCCTGAGGATACATGCAGCATGCTACACTAATAGTCAAGAACGTGGAGTCACAAACTTCAGCGGTCACGTAGGTTGGAGGCACATCTAGTACTGCCGTATATGGGCATGCCGCAATGAACTTGGTGATCGACAAATGAGGATCTGTCAGGGGAAGAGGCAGTATCTCCGAGGCTGCGGGCGCCAACATGATTTGCAATCCCTCGCAGCGTAGTTGGCCGAGGGCCCGTTATTGTGCCCGGATCTGGCGGTCCTACCCGTGGAGATTGCCAAGCTTGACGACATGGCTCATGGCGGAAGGCGATTCTAAATGCGCGAGAGCTCACAGGTTGACTTGCACACTGGTGAATCTCATGTTCCTAGAATATTCTTCCCTCCGTGCCCTTCGAGCTTTCGGCTTCCTCCTCTCTTTTCGGCCCCAGTCACTCATTACGAATATTTTAGTCACTCGTTCACCTCAATCACTCCCATGCTTGCTCCAATGGCCCGAATAACCACTTGGCTGACCGCCGCCCTGGTCGTGACAGGTGCTCAGGCTTTCCCCACGCCAGAGAACATCGCCAAGCTGGCCCAGAGTGCTGGAGCCGGGTTTGAGGGTATAGGCTCGCTCTCGGACTTCCATGCCACCTTAGTCCGTCTCCGCGAGGACCAGGCGATACTTTCCAGGAAGCGTAGCTTCAGCCCAGCTCCGATCGACGTCTCAGAGGACCATGCTTTCGTACCGCCATCAGAAAGCGACCAGCGCGGGCCCTGTCCTGGTCTCAATGCTCTGGCCAACCACAACTACGTCAGCCACGACGGCGCTATCTCCGTCATCGAGCAGATCACGGCGGCCACGGAGGTGTTCAACTTTGGCGTCGACCTCGCCACCGTGCTCGCCCTGGTCAGCGTGCTCTTCGTCGGCAACCCGCTGTCCGTCAAGCCCAGCTACTCCATCGGCGGCCCTACCGACAAGGTTGAGAACCTGCTGGACAACCTGGGCGGTCTACTAGGCACGCCAGAGGGCCTCGACCACAGCCACAACATCATCGAGTCAGACGCCTCGCCGACGCGTGATGACCTGTACCAGACCGGCGACGCCTGGACGCTTAGCATGAATGCCTTCACTGAGCTGTACGAGTCCATCGAGGGCGATGCACTCACGCGCGATGAGATGGCCGACCACGCCACCCGTCGCTTCAACCACTCTATCGCGAACAATCCTTACTTCTGGAACGGCCCCGTCACAAACGTTATGATGCGTCCAGTCGGATACGTACTCGCCAACGATGTCCTGTCCAACCACACAGACGACAACCCGGACGAGACGCTTTCCAAGGACGTGCTCAGGTCCTTTTACGGCGTTACAGAAAACCCCAACGGGACCCTATCATACGCTCCAGGCCACGAGCGTATCCCCGAGAACTGGTTCCCCCGCCAGAAGCCATACACCATTCTGGACTTCAACGCCGCCGAGGCGGCCCTGCTCCTCAAGAAGCCCGAGCTGCTCAGCGTGGGCGGCAACACGGGCGAGGTCAACTCATTTGCTGGTATCGACCTCGAGGACCTGACCGGCGGGGTGTTCAAAACGCGGCGAACCTGCTCGAGAGGAACAACCTGGTCTGCTTCGCGCTAGAGGTCATCAAGTTCGCCGGGCCCAACTCCCTGTCGTCGGCACTCAAGACCCTCTCGGAGCCCATCGAAATTTTGGGCAAAATTGTGGCGCCCCTAGTAGACCTGTCATGCCCTGTTTTTGATGACCTGACTGTTGGCGGAACGAACTTCTGGGATCATGCGATGGAAACGTACCGGGGCGCCAACAAGAGCGAATCAGCTCTGTGATAGACGATGTCAATTTAAGGTTGATAGGGGTGTATATTCTTGCCTGTACCTACGTATTAGAACACTAGAATTTATAAGGAATTTAATATCTAAAGGTGTAGGTAGTTAGGTTATTAATTAAAAGAATTAGTTATTAAAGGGTATTTATAGAAGTATAGTTTTAGTTATTTATAGGATTTATTTATATAATTAATTATAAATTTATATTATTTTTTTCTTTAAATAGATTATTTTTAGTTTATTTATATAAATTATATTTTTAATAATATTAGTTAAAATACTTTTAAAACTTTATTTTTTCTTTATAGTTCATTAAATTTACTTTATATTAATTAAATTAAAATAATATAATAATAATATATTTTAAAGTTTAAATTTTAATTTATATTAATTTAAAAGGTTAATAAATTAAAAAAGGAGAAAAATTATTAATTTAAGTTAAAAGTTTAAATCTATTATAATGAAAAGTTTTAAATTTAAATTTTAATTTAAGTAATTTTTTGGTTTTTAAATTATTTTATTTTAATTTAAAACTTAATTATTAAATTTAATTAAATTATTTAAATTCAAAATTTTATATAATTAATAAAATATTAATAAATAAATAATATTAATTAGTAATAGTTAATAAAACTTATTAATTAAAGTAGTTATTTAATTTATTTTAATTATATTAATTTAATAATTTATTTTTATTTTTTAAAATATTATTTTATTAATATATTATAAACTTTTATAAAATATTTATTATTAATATATATTAAAAGAGATTTATATTATTATATTTATTTTAAAAGGATTTTATTAAAGTTTTAAAGAATATAAATATTTTTAATATAATAGATAGTAATTATTTATAAACTATTATAAAAGAGTTTATATTTATATATTTATTAATATATTTATAATATTTAATTATTTAAAGTAAAGATATATAAAAGGTTTTATTTTTAAAGGAAGGTATAAATTTAATTTTTAATATTTTAAGTTTAATTATATAATTTTTATAATTAATACATTATAATTAATTATTAATTATTTTATAAAACTTTTCTTTTTATTTTATAAGTTTTTATATATATATAATATATAGTTTAAAAGTTAAAGAAAGTATTATTTTAAAAAAGGAAATAAAGGTTATAATTATAGAATTTTAATATATAATTATATAATATAATTATTTATTAAATTAAGATTTAAATATTATAATTAAGGTTAGTTAATTATTTATAAAGGATTATCTTTTAGATTATTATTTATTTTTTAATTTTATTATTTGTTTTAATTTATTAAATATAATTAAATATAAATAGAAATTATAATTATAATATTAATTTATAATAACTTTATTTATAAAGTAATTTATATTATTTAATATTTATTTTTAAACTTTTAAAGATATTAATAATTCTTTTATTAATATAAATATAATTTTATAAATTATATTAAAATAATTTTAATTTTAATTTAATTAATAATATATTTAATTATTATAAAATAGAAACTTTATTTATAAATATAAAATTAATTATTTAATAAGTTAAAAGTATTAATAATATAATTAAATTAAAATTAAAAGTATTAAATAAGGAGATTTTATTAATTAATATTCTTTATACTTTATAATTATTTATTATATAGTAAAAGTAATCTTTAAATATTAATATTTTTAAATATTTTATAAAACATTTTTAATTATAATATAATTATAATTAAAATAGAGCTTTTAATAATTATTAATAAATTATTAAATTTAAAATTAAAAAAGAATTATTAAAAATAGTTTTATTTTATAAAAGAGTTTTAAAAAGTATTAATAAAGTTAGATTTTATATAAATAGTTATTTAAAAGAATAAAATACTTTTTATTTATTTAAGTTAAATAGTTTTAAAAGGTTAACTTTTTTATAAAAGTATTTATAAATTATTTATAAACTTATTTAATTAAATTAATATAGTTTATAAATTTATTTTAATAGGTTTTTCTCTTTTTATTTAAAAGTAGAAAGTAATATTTTAAAATTATATCTTTAAGTAGGTAAAATAAATAATTTATAAGAATATTAATCTTTTAGTATAATATATAATATAAATTTTATAATATTTTATAATATTTAAAAATATATAATTTAAAAGAGTTAATTTATTTTAATATTAATAATTTTTAAAGATTTATAATTTATTAAAATTATAATTTTAATACTTTAAATTTAATAGAATTAATATTATAAAGTTAATAAAATTTTAAATAGTTTTATTTTTAAATAAAATATTATATTTATATATTAATAAGTTTTTAAAAGTATAAAATTAAATATAAAATAAAGTTTTAATTATAGAAGTAAGATTATAAAAATAATATTAATATAGTATTTATTTATATTAAATTTAATTATAAAGAATAGTTATTAATTAAAAGTTTTATAATTAAAAATTAATAATAATATTTTAATTTTATATTATTATTTTTATATTTTTAAAAATATAATAGTTTAACTTTTAAAATTATTAATATAATTTATAAAAATATTAATTTATTTAAAATAATTATTTATTAAATTATAAAGTATTTAATAATATTAATAAAGTTATAAATTTTAATTATAATTATTAATATAAAGTAATTATAAATAATAATAACTTTTATTAAATTAATAGTAATATTATTTTTAAAATAAAAGTTAAAAGATTTTTATTTAATAAATAAATTAATTTTAAATATATTTAAAATAAATTTGTAAATTATTAATTAAATAAATATAATTAATATATATTTATAAAGTTATTTTATAATATTTATTTAAATAATAATATTATTTATTAAATTATATATAAATTTATAAAGTTTATAAAAACTTTTTAATAAATTTATAAAATATAATTAAAATATTATAAAGATTAAATAATATTATTAATTATTTATATAAATTAAATAATATAATAAAAGTAATTTTTTATAATTTTAGGGTTTAATTAAATATATTAAAAGTTATTTTTAAATTTATAAAGATATATTATTTATAATTTATTATATATTAAATTTAATTTATAAATTATAGATTATTTATATTTTTAATTTTATTATTAAATTAAAAGTAAATAGTTAAAGTTTTAAAAGATAAAATATAATATATTTTAAAAATTAATTTAGTTAAATTTATTATATAAAACTTTTATAATAACTTTATAATTATTTATAATATTATTTCTTATTAAAAATATCTTTTATATTAATATATTAAACTATATTTAGTTTATTTAAGTTAATATTATTAGTTTATTAAAGGTTAAAGTTATTATAAACTATAGGTTAGTCTTAATATTATTAAGTATTATATATAATATTACTATATAATTTAAGTATAAATATAAGTTAGTTAAAATAGATAAAGATAAAAACTATTATTCCTCTAATTAAAGTTCTAACTTTACTTAAGTAAATATTTATTTATTAACTTTATAAGTAAAACTACTTAAAAATAGTTATTTAATCTATTATATAATTTATTAAATTAAGAGATAACCTTTAAATAAAGTAATTATACTTTATTATTTAGGTTTATAGTTTTAATAATTTATAAATAAAAAAATAGTTATTAATAATTAAGTTTATAATTATATAAAGATAAATTTTTACTTTAAAAGAAGTTATTATTATTTAAAATAGTTAATATATTTTTAAAAATTAAGAGATTATAAGTTTAATTTAAAGTATATTAAAATCTATAAAATTTTAAATTTAAGTTTAAAGGTTTTAATTTAAATTTAATTTATTTAAAAGGAAAATATTAAATAGATTTAAGAAAAGGTTTAAATAAAGTTAAATTAAATTATAATATAATAGAATAATTAAATAAAAATTAATTAAAAATTATAATTATAAGTTTTTAATTTTATATTTAAAAGGGTTAAATTTAATTTATAATATTAAATATAAAAATATATATATTTTAATATAATTATTTAATTAATAATAATTATAATAAAATATTAAATAATTTATTTAAGTTAAGTTTTTTTATATATATAATTATAAACTTTTAAATATAAAGTAGAAAGGTAAAATTAAAGATTCTTATTTTTATAAATAAATATATTTTTATAAATTTTAATAAAATTATATATAATTTATTTTTATAAAAGATTAAATTATTTAAAAGAAAGTAAAAAAGTTTATAATTATTTATATTAATATAATAAATAATTTTTAATAAAATATTTATATAATATTATTTTTATTAAATAAATTAAAGAACTTTAAAGTATATTTTTAATATAGGTAGTAATTTAAAGATTATTTATAGGAGTATTTAAATATTACTTTAAGGGTAGAAAAGAGGGTTTTAATATTTAAAATATAATTTTATAGTTAAAAGTTTTAATTTATATATTTTAAAGGTATTAATTTAAATTAATTAAAAAATAAATAAATAAAAGTTTTATTTTATATATAATATATTATTTATTAATAAAAATTATTTTTAAGGGTAAATTTATTTAAAATATATTATTAAAATTATTTTATAGAAAATTATAAAAATCTTTAAAGATTTATTAATTATAATAAATTTTATAATAATAAAAATATTTTTATAATTAAAAGGTTAGTATTATTAAAATTATTTATTTATATAAAGTTTATAAAAATATAATTAAAATTATATTATTAAGGATTTAAAATAATAATAAATTTAAAAATTATAATTAAAAAAATAAAAATTATAATTATTAATAAATTAAATATAATAAAATTATAAAGTATTTTTATATTTTTATAAAATAATTTATTATAAAAGAGAGTAAAAGATTATTAGTATTTATTTTTATATAAAAGTATTTTAATAATTTTAATTTTTAAAGTAAATATTATTAAAAATTCTCTTTAAAAGTTATTAATATTATTATTATTTTTATATAGAAATAAAGTTATAATATTTTTTATTTAAAGTTATTTTTAATAAAATAAACTTAAATATTTCTTTTAAAAATTTACTTTAAAGTAACTTTAATTAATTATTTTATTATATTAATTTATAACTATATTATATAATTAATTAATAAATTAGATTATTTATTATTATAAAAACTTTTTAAAATAATATTTTAATTAATTAATAAATTATAAATATTTTTAAAAAATAAATTTAATTTTATAATTTTTATTTAATAATTTTATTTATTATAATTAAAGTAAGTATTATTTTTAAGTTATAATAATATAAAATTAATATTTATTATTAATATATTATAAATTAAGTTTTTAAAGGTAAAGTAGATAATTTATTTATTAGTTTATAAGTTAAAAATTATTAATTATATTAAAGTAATACTAATTAATTTAAATTATATAACTTTTAATTTTTAATAATATTTTAATTAATTTTTATATAATAAAAGGATAGTTATATTATAAAGTTAAACTATTATTTTAAGAGTAGTAAAATCTTTTATTTAATTATTTTATTAATATAAATATTAATATATTTAATAAGTTTTTATAATTATTATAGTTATTAAATAAAATAATTTATTAATAATTTTAATATAAATATTTAATTAATTAATAAAGATTTTTAATAGAATAATATAAATTATTATAAATTATTATTATAATAATAAAATTTAAAGAAAGTTTTAAAATATTAAATAAAATTAATATATAATTTATTTTTATAAAATAAAAGAGTTAAAAATATAATTTAAAAATAAAAGGTATTATATTAATTTAAAATTTATATAATTATTTTTATAAAATAAATTAATTTAATTTATTAGTAAATATTTATTTAATAAAATTATTAAAGTTATTTAATAATTTTATAAAGATTTTATTTAATTATAATTTGTAAAGATTATAAAAGTATAGAGTTAAATTTATATTTTTTTAATTTATTAAAGATAAAAATATCTATAATATTAAATTAAAAGTTTTTAAAAAAGTTTTTATATTAAAAGGCTTTAAAAGGTTAAATTTATTAAGTAGAATTATTATAAAAAACTTTTATAAATAAATCTTTATTAATATAATAAACTTTTATAAAGGGTTATATAATTAATATTAAAGGTTAATTATATTATCTTTATATTAACTTTAAAGGTTTAAAGTTATTAAAAGTTTATTATTAAAAGTATAAATTTATTAAAATAATAATTTTATTTACTTTATTTAAAATAATAAAAATTATATTTTATTAAAGTATATAATAATTAAGTTAAGTTTTTAATTAATATAATTATTTTAAATAATATAGACTATTTTAATAACTTTAAGTTTAATATTATATTTTTATTTAATTTCTTTAAATTATTATTTATAATTTTTATTAAACTATAAAAATAAATATTTAAAATATTAAGGAGTTTATAAACTTAATATATTAATTAATAAACTTTTAAATATTTTTAATTATAAATCTATTAATAAAAATTTATAGTTAATAAATACTCTTTAAAAGAAATTTTAATAAATTAACTTTATTAAATATTATAAAATATTAAATAAAAGATTTTTATTAAAAATAAAGAAATTAATATAAAATAATAAAATTAATATTTATTAATATATTTTTAATTTAATTATAAATTAATTATATTAATAATAATAATATAAAAATATAATATTTATTATTAAAACTTTTAATTAATTTAAAGACTATTTATTTATAAATAATAATTATTAATAAATAAATATTATTATTATTTAATTTAATAAATAGAGTTTTTTATAATTATTATTATTATTAAAAGTAATTTAATTTTATATAATTAAAGTATAAATATTTATTTTAAATTAAATAATAATTAAATTAATAATTATTTAAAAATATATTTAATAATATTAAAGTTAATTATAATTATTTTTATTAAATATATAAGTAAAATAAAATTTTTTTAATAAAAATAATTATTTTTATATATTTTTATTTATATTTATATATTAAAATATTAAAATTTATAAGGAATTTAATATTTAAAGGTATAGGTAGTTAGGTTATTAATTAGAAGAATTAGCTATTAAAGGGTACCTATAGAAGTGTGGTTTTGGCTGTCTGTAGGGCTTGCTTACGTAACTAACTACGGATCCACAGGGGCTTATATAAAAGTTATTCCCAAAAATATGGTTCGTCCGGCTAAAACTGTAGGTAAGCATGGTTGCCCTTGCAACCATAGAAGGGGATTTTGTTGGGTACCAAGTACCTTGGCGCATTACTTATGCCCTTAGTACAGTTTAGACCCAATACTAGGGAGCGTTCCTCAGTGATGTGTTGCAAAAAGGATTGTTGGATTCTTGAGATTTCAATACCAGCTGTCAGAGGAGAGTAAACACGTGTGTCAAAGCTCCAGAATGTTTCTCCCTTTATTGACTGGCAAGGTTGCCAAAATAACATGATAACGGCTACGTTTCAATCCCTATGATGAATACGGTCTGCCTCTTGGCTACATCTCCCACTCCCCACAGCGAGTGCCTCAATTTCCCCGGTGTGATCTTGCCGTAATTTGAACCCAAAAGTCGGAGATTGAGAATAGACCGTAACATCTTGTTTTCCATGGCCTAGAGGTCATTCGAGATTAGCATCTGCTTAGGACGAAGCGATTGGACTTCTTAGCTTACCTTTCTGGCCTCAACAAGGCTATGTCAAAATTCCGAAAGATCTGCGAGGTCAGCGTAATTCATCTAGAGATTGTAAATTCGCACCCGCAAAACGGATGATTTAGGACAACCTCCCATATGATCATCTCCCATGGGATAACTTCAGGAGGTCTCCCTAATGGCTTGGGTGCACCCTCCCATTTTACGGGTGTGGATCTCCGATCTCTATTTCTGACCTTTCTTATGGGGTCACTTCTTACCTCAAATGTGAGTTTGTAGAGCTCCATCATGGCGACTGGCTTCCCCAAGCAATGCCACCTTCCATGCCCAAACGTCAAGTCATTGGTCCTGATCATTGCCGCCAGCTTGTGAGGATCTTTCTCAAACCATCGTTCAGGCCGGAAACTCTGAGCGTCATCTCCGTATAGCTCTTTATCGTGATGCATCGCAACGGCTGAGTAGGCAATGCAGGTACCGCCGGGGATGAAGACGGACTTTCCGTCCACTGTCACCGTGTCTCCTCCTGGTGGAACGTCCTTGCTGAAGGGGTTGACGACAGGCGGCCAGGTTCTTATCCCCTCCCGTATCACGGCTTGCAGGTACGGAAGCTTCTTTGCCCGGTCGAGGCGGACGATGCCCGTGGATGACGAAAGGGCATCGCCTGACTGGACCGCCTCATCAATCTCCTGTTGAAGTTTCTGCCTGACCCGAGAATTGCTCATAAGGTGTAGGAAAATTCCGTTGATGGCAGACGACGTGGTATCAGAGCCAGCCAGAACCTGTTCCACAGCTTCGGTCCGCAACTCGTCGCCGGCTAAGCCGTGGCGAATAAACGATGCAAGCATATCTGATCGTTCATCCGTAGGATCGGTAGCTCGCTGGTCGACCCATCCAAAGCAAATTCCAAGTATCTTCCCAAAACCGCCTGTATCCTTTGGAGACGGAGCGAAAAATCTCCCGAACCATGGAATATGAGATACCCAGCTTAGTCCAAGGGCTATGAAAACGGCGGCCGTGTACATCCCTTCCTCGGCGGATGTAATAAAGTTCATTTCATCTTTGTCATTGATGAGCATACCAAAGGGCCTGCCCAGTCCCACAGAGCTAATGACGTCCAATGTGAAGTATCGTATCTTCTTTGCGCATTCCATGGGTCTCACCAGGTCTTCCGTGGAGAGGTACTTGGTTTTGATAAGCTGCACGAATTCTTGAACTCGTGTATCGACTGTGACTTCGATCTCATGGTTCTCACGCCCCGAATACTTTGCGATAATCAGCTGTCGCCCATGTATGCATGTGAGATAATAATTTCTTACTCCTGGGGCCATCTGCTTCCTCCGTTCGTCATGTTTCTTGGTGTCGGTCTGACTGAAAACGTTGTCCCGGCGATGTTCGAAGCGAAGGCCTTGGAAATACCAGTCTGACCTTTTATATCCGGCCTTTACGTTCACTTGGGCCCAGACCTCCGGAGAAGAAGTGATGATAAGGTTCGGTGCGACCCTAGCGATGCGCCCTTTGCGTGTGTGAGCCCAGGATTGAACCGATCAAGCTTGATCATTATTCTCAAGCGCTTCTTACCGTACTTGTCACTGACATTTCGGTACCATTCATGAAGGTTCGGGCATATCATCTCCCTGGAATGGAAGAAATTGGTCAGACCTGTCCCCGGCGGTCCTTTGAAATGCCGAAGGCGCCAGTAAGACCACGTCTTCTTCACAATGCTTATGATCACGAAGACGAGGCCAATAAGCCATGCCGAGTTGGAGTCCGGTAGTTTCAATTCCATGTTGTCTGCAGAGCCAGGATTCCGTTCAGTAAAGGTTGAGCTTGATGGTCGAGAGATCATGAAGTTTCCTGGCCATGAGGGGTCGAAACATCGGCAGTGGGGCCCGATTATAAGCTGACATGCAGATGCATTTGACGCAAAAAGGGGACGGAAAATAAACCCCAGAGAAGCAAGTCCCTTGGACCAAGCAATTGTACGCCGGATATATACATTCCCCTCTCCCCAGCCAGCCTATTACCTGTCACATTCTCAAACAACTACCCCGCTAGAAAATCACATGTGCGACCTGCATTTTGCTCGAGTCCAGTGAAGGAGCCCTCAATCATAGCTTACCTATGCTGGGCACATAGCTCGGCCTGCTCTCGGAATCGATCGCTGTTAGTCCCCATCACGTGTTAAGCGGTCCGGCGTGAAAATGATCGGAAGACTGTGGTAGGGTCGCATATGTTGTTGTCGCATTTTTTCGACATGAATTTGCCCTACTCCCGTGTGTTCAAGTCACAGATACAAGCTCCCTCTGTGGCCAGTCAGAAGATCACAATTCCGATCTCGGTCGCTGCCCCTTCCTATCGACGGCCTCAGAGTACTCTGCCCGATGTGAATGTTACGAGACCACCATGCCTCCTGTCATTTGAAATGTTAGGTCTTTCAGTATTTACCACTGTGTCAAGGTACTGTGTATAGCTTTAGATGTATATAGAATAGAAGTGAAACTAGGTATCGATTTCTAAGTTGTGCAAGCTTTGTCGTAGCAGAGTATCCATGGATTCTCAGGTGTGAAGGGATTGAAAGGTACGTGAGTCAGTCACCCAGAACGAACGTAATGCTTGCTGTAATTCTGCTTACTTGCACCTATTGTATTTTAATCACTTTCATAGACACTGTATGTTTTTTAAACGCTGGGTCTTGAGTATTTACCACCGTATGAAGGCGCCATGTATGTCCTTGGACGTATGTGGAGTAGAAGCGAAAACAGTTACACGATAGAAACATTGCATGGTTTCACGTGGAGATTTCCTGCCAGGGGGTATGTTTCCTATTTGGGAATCATATGAGATCATGTAAGATTGCTTTGGACATAGACATTCTCATCAGGATTCCCCCGGACAAGTGAGGGACTATGCAAGGTCCTTTATTGGATAATGGCTTCATTAAGTCATGAAAATATCGTCATCGACGACCTCGGGATCGAAGAAGTGGGTGGATGCTGTCATCTGTTGGGATGGCTGCTGATGTGAACTTTTGCGCTCCCAGACTCTGGTTCGGGATGTGCAATCCCACAGCGAGATCATATTTCTCGGCCTGGTCATCCAGGCCACCTGCCGAAAACCACTCCTGAAAGTTGGAGGTCAGCTCTTCCTCCAGTGGTTTCACCACATTCTGAAACATCAAACATCGAACGTCTTGCATTGACGGATTGGGTCTTAATTTGGGGTCTGGCCGCAGACACGTGTCGATAGCGTTTCGATACCTCAAGGAGAAAATGTGCTCCTTTTGGGAAGCAAAAGCCTTCATGGCATGAAGAAAGAAATCCCTGGGACCGGATAGTTCTTTGTTCAGTCCTAGATAATCCTCAAGTCGTTGTCCCAGGTGAAGTTCCAGAAGAATGACTCCAAGCTCGAGTAGCTCTGGGTATCGGTGAAGACTAGATATCTCGGTTGACTTCTTATCCTTATGTAATATGTTTGTGTCTGAAATTCCAAGGAACGGCCGTAAAGGAATGCGACCGCCGCTCCGGAAGAAGAGGATGTTCTCTCGGCTCCATCCGCCACGTGTCCAAGACCCTCCATATAAATGATGGAGGCTCCAAGCAAGGATGACGGCGAGAGCCCATTTCGCGGTCTCAGGCCACCTTTTCTGTGGCGATGCGAGGATGTCTTTGAGATTGACCTCTTCCCTCAGGCTGTCTTGTCTGATGGTTCGCTCATCTGCAGCATTGCTGGATGTGTGGAGAACGCCCCGGTTCAGGATAAAATTGAGCCTTAGTAGGTCTGCCGTTGACGGCTCCTGGAGTACATCGAAAATGCAGGAAACAGCCCCGGAAGCGGAGAATTCGTGCGCTTCTTGGCTCGGATCTGCTTGAGATGTATTTGAAAACTTCACTCTTGGCCTGAAATGAATTTGCGGCAGTGGTCAGCTATCCTCTGGGATCTAGTGTCCTACAGGCCATGGAAGCACTTACTTCAGTTCTACATGCTCGCGGATGAGAACTTCATGCCAAAAAACCCATTGCTCGCTTTCCTGAAGCTGCTCAAGTAAAACGCATAGCGACTTTGCTACATGGTTCGAACCGGCTCTGTATGTCCCCATCCTGAGCCGGCTTCCGCTGAGGGACTGTGAATGGCAGTCGCAGGACATCGCCTTGAAAACCTCGTCCGCAAAAGTCCACATCTCGGGGCTGGAATGGTTTGGATGCGCGAGCGTGTCTTCATCCAGATGATCAGCATCGTCTCCGTAGCCTTGAAATTCGTCCGTAATGCATTCGAGCTCGTGTTGTAGCCTCCTCCATTGACCGGGACTATTTAGCATATTCGTATCGAGTAGATCTTTGGGAGAGGGGAATGGCAATTCATCGCCACTCTCCGCCAATAACTTTTTAACCCTCGTCAGTCTTTGGTACTGACGAATGTTTGTGTGTACATCAGCTGAGACAAGACCTCCCTGCAAGTCATGCCACTTTTCGTCAGTCCCGACCCTTTCGGTCATGTATGCATGCTATGGAGCAAACGTGAAAAGCTCAAGGGTCTAACCTGGGATGGAATCAAATGTGGGCTAAATATCTGCTCCAGTTGATCTGCTAGGTCTCCGATTTGCGAACCAAGCCTTTCATTGCAGCCCTCTCTACTCAGCGCCACAAGGTGTTGGTGCAACGTTGCTGTCGCTGACTGGATATTGCCCAAGTATCCATATCTTTTGTCGCGTTTATTGATGGTATTCGACAAGTCTTTACATAGTTCGGAAACCACCGGCAGGACGGTCAATAGGAGATCCACTAGTTCAAGTGGCGAAGGGCGGCGCTGAGCGGGGTCCTGAGCACCAGCAGTCACGCTCTTTGTGTTTCCCATTGGGTTCGTCAAAGTCGGATCGCGCACATCATGGCTTCTTGGACTTTCCAGAAAACAATCGAAAACAAGACAAGAAGTGTAGAGGGAGAATCCATGGGACACGGTAGCAAGGGGCAGCGCGTGGGTGAGGGCAATCCCATGTTTGGTGGCAGAAACATGCGTCACTGGCCTGTAGATCTGCTAGATTGGCTTAGTCAGCCACCTAAGGAATACTTTAAGCAAGCCCTAAAATACACGATATTAGAAGCTATATAACTATAGGTTAAGAGAAATTAATAATATTTACTTATATAATTATATATAATAATAAATATTTAAAGTTTAATATTTAAATAGATAAAATTATAGCTATAATATAATAAATACTTATAACTTTAACTATAGCCTAAACCTTTCTAAGCTAGCATAGCGGCAGATGAAACTTCAGACTATCGAAACCGGGGAGCCTAATTCAGGAGCCAGATATTCATTCTACATCCGAGGGACTTAAAAGGGCCTGGAGGCACATTTATCTCACTAACTTCATTGTCATCTCTGATCATGTCGAACCTGCAGAGGCAGGCTTGACCAATCCTCACGCCAATCCTTGCTGCCCTCCTTGCGAGGCCAGATACGCCGAAATACTTTCACGGTCTCCAAGTCTTCCGCTATATTCCCTGGCTGAACTACAATTCCCCTTTGCCTTAGCCAGCACTCCGCGTGCCGCTCATACTGATCTGTCATCGCCTGATCGCGTGCCTCTCTCACTTGTCGGCCCAATTCCCTGACACTGATATCATTCTTGTCGTCTCGAGCAACTCGCTCAATCAGCCATGAACGACTCAGGTGATTAATAACTGGCGGTATGCCGCCGTTGTTGGTGCTATTGCCCCATTGGCCGCCCCCCTTGGTCCACAATTTGAGAGACTCCAGAGGTCGGCCCACCTTGCTCTCGCAGATTGTCTCCCAAATTGATCGGGCTAGAGTCTCATCCACTGCGCAGTTCATGAGATTGTCGCGCAGATGGCCCTTCTTCAAGAAATCAAGCAGTTTAAATGTCTGGCGATCTGTTTCATCGTATGAAGGGTCGTCTCTCGAACCAGGATCCCGTGTGACTGCCCAGTCAGAACAGTCCAGGATGAGGAAGAGGGAATTTAATCGTTCAATCTTGCCGAAGCTTTTGTAGATCTCGGCCTCACGCGCATCGGATTTGGTGCGTTTGACCGAGACAGCTAGCTCTTCCAGCCCTGGACAGTGGGATTGGATTTGTAGAATGTGCTCCCTTGTGAACGTCATAGTTATGTGTCGTGGATTTGCATCGTTTTCTGAGAAAGATTCCTGCTCGAACGGACGTAGACTCAGCTTTTTCAAGGTCTGCCCGTGTCGGTCCAGAATGGCGTACAATATCTCTGGCTCCAGTGGGCCGGAAACAGAAAGCTCATCAAGGGGTTCAAATGACCTGAAGAGGGTGACGGCAATGCTGGCAAAGTCTGGTCTCTCGACGCCTTGGTCGTTGCGACGTTCTAGACGAATGCAAAGTGTCTTCAGCCGAGGGAAATGATATTTCTGAGCGATTTTCTCCATCATCTCCCCATTCAACCCTAAGTTCTCGCATCCGTAACCGCCCCCAAGGGTGAGGTGACGCAATGAACTGAAGTCTGTGTGCCTGGCCCACATCTGGAGGACATCCGGCGCCCTCCACTCCACGGCCCCGAGAAGCGACAGAGAGGTCAGGCGCCCGATAGATCCACCGGGGACAAAGCCCGGAAGGCCTCGCCATAGCTCCCGCGGGCGGCGGTGATATCTGAACGCGTTCTCCGGCGCGAGATTCATCACAACTACTTCCTTCAAGTTCGGGGCAAGACCGGCAACAAGCTCCATCATCGCCTCTTGGTTGAAGTCATCGTCTCCCTCCGAGTCTCGCCAACTGCATGCAAGCTTCACGCTGTACAGGCACGGAGATGTAGCCAAAGCCATTTCGTAAGGATACGGGTTACCCCATAGAAGTGTTCGCATTTTGAACGTGAGGTGGTAGAGTTTGCAGTGAGGGTGGTAGTCATGGAGGGCGTCAAGAAGGCTGGGCGGAAATTGATTCTGGCAGTCGTATACCAGTTCGATAAGATGCGGTATGGTTTTCATCAAACTGACGACTGGTGCCCATGCCATATCCTCCTCAGAAGACTTCTCGATAACAGGCTCATCGTAAACGACATACGGTGCAGTATGATATGGTTCTTCATCGCGCAAGATTTCGTCAACACCGGTCGACTTGAACCAGCTGTGGCGGTCTGCAGTGCGGGACGTATAGCCCTCAACTTTTGGTTTTTCAGATAAACGTAGTGCCCCTTTAATCGTGAGACAACGGACGTGGCGGGCGGACTGTGTGTGGGAGAGGGTCTTGACGAGAGCAGCAATGTCACGCTGCAACTCCTCAGGAGTGCTGATTGTGAGGTGAATGTGGTGAAAAATTGATGGAAGAGTGGCACCATGGCAAGTTTTGCTTGTCGAACCAAACGCGTAAAGACTCGGTCGATGCGAGTTGTTGAGGTGACTTGCTACCTGCTGCAATGTCTCATTTGGCAGATCATGTAGGCCCACCTTAGCGGGACCCATCGTCATGATTGACATAGCTCAGTGAAAAGAGTAGGGGATGATCTCGATGGCTCTGAGAGCCGAAATTCTGCTGTGTTGACAAAATGACAGGTGCCCAGGTGTGTTGTCAGACAGCGCACGGAATAAGAACTTATACCCAGCCTGGTGCTTACGTCATGCCTGCTCCAGGGTAACTAGGTGCTTAGGTACTTGGGCAGGCAGCCTTCTGATTCCTTCAGCGGGGCGGGCCAGGGCAATCACCCGATGTGGCCTGGCAAAGCGGCTTTGGCTCCTGGACTCCAGGTTGCGCCAATAGGTCTGCTACACACATCGGCTTATGATGTGGGGTCCAGTGAGATTTGAAGGGAAGGTGATAGGATTGGAAAAAATATGATAGAATTCAAATTTAGATGTACTGAAACACGAGAAGATGCTGCCAGAGATAGCCAAGCTTCTATCTCGGCCTATGGCCAAAAACCGCACCTCGACCGTGCCACTTTAACATCCCATTCTTATTGCCCCAGGGTGAAGTACAGTCATACAACCAACTCACCACGTCCAGTCACCGTCTAAATGATTGAGTTGACTCTGCAACAAGTCGATATGAAGCATTCTCGTCGTAAGCGAAGGCCTTTTGACCCGGTCACCGGAGCCTGCGGGTCTCTTCATCCCTCAGCATGCTCATGCTTCGGGAAGTGGCCGACCACCTGGAGTCTTGAGACCTTCTTATGGTCACGGATCATGTAGACCTGGCTTATTCTGTGCCATCTTTGAGGTTGGAAATGATCCCAAGATCCTCCGGCCACATCTTGTTTCGAGATGTCGGTCCGCCTACCTAAAACGCGGGTCTTCACCATATTCACGGGTGGAGTTCACGAGCAGAAGAGATCAATGTAGCAACGAAAGAAAAAAAAAAGATAAATAAGCCCAGCCCCTCAGCTCAACTCTCAATCAGAAACTCTTCAATCTCATCATAATCTAAACCTCATCTTTCATTCTTTATACCATCCTTAGTGGACCTAGGCAGGACCTTGGCCCTATTCCTTTCTTTTGGCTTGCTTATCTTTTCCATCACAACTGTCACTACCAATATCATCTCTACACCTTGGCAGGACCTTGGCACTTGGACTTCTTTCTTTGAATCAATATCATCCCCATTCCCCGACCAATAACTACTACAATGCGTTTCACCAACGTTCTTGTAGCATTGGGCAGTGTTGCCAGTGTTGTCAGCGCGTTCCAAGGAGTCAGTGACAGGTAAGATAGGTTCTTCCAAGTTGAGGATTGTTGATATTTCATATAAATAGACTTGATACTGATCTTTTCATCTTTTGAATAGCAGCAATCTTGAAATCGCCGACGACAATGCCTATTACGATGCAGCAACCACACTAATCCCTGTGCGACTCGATGCGCGGGCTGATAAAAAGGGAGGCAAGAAGGGACCCAAGAAGGGAGATACCACTTCCAGCAGCAAGGCCAAGGCAGCCGTTGCAACGACCACTACCACCAGTCAGGCCAAGGTAGCCGTTGCAACGACCGCTACCACCAGCACGGCCAAGGCAGCCGTTGCAACGACCGCAACCACCACTAGCGATGCAGCTACAGCCAGTGCCTGCGCCATCAAAAGGTCCCGGAGGCTTCGGTTCATGCCAAGGGCCTTTAACGAACTTGAAAAGTCCCCAAAACAGCCCGAATCAGATGGGTCTTACAACTTGTTGGAAAATCAGTGGGTCCCTGCATCGGCACTCAAGTCTGGCGATAAGGTGGCCGTCACAGACATTACCGGATGCTCTGCCGTCTTTCTCTGGAATAAGGACAATCTGCCCTCCGTCTTCCACATCTTTTGTGAGGCCGGCGCCAAAGAGGCGCCGATTATGGCCCAACGAGTGGGTGATTTGGGCCTGAAGAACACGCCAGTCGCCGTCACCATCGCAGCCAGGGACAAAGGCGAAGCAGACATAATCAAGAAGGCGGTTGAGGCCGAGTTTGGCCCAGACTGTGATCCTGATGGTAAAGGTCTGACGGATGACGACTTCGAGATCACGGTCTATGACAACAGTACCCCTCAAGGCCGTCTTCCGACTGAGGCCTTCCGATTCGACGCCGTGGCTGGAACCAGGAAAGTGACACAGAGCAAAGAGCCAAAGAAATCTAAACAATCTCGGTCATTTGCAAGCTACTTTTAGTGTACAAAGTAGGAATTTCTCACCAGCATGCTTGGTGGTGCATATCCTCATCAACAATATTCACATCTGGAGAGAACTGGTAGTATAGCTGGGCTTATACTAGAGGATAGAGTGGGAAAATGGGATTAGAGCTCCAGGCGGATAGTCCTCTCTATTTTGGGTGTTAGGTGTTGCATTTAACTTGAATATTATGATTTTCGGCGTTATTTACTGTTTATTAGCCTGCATCTGAATGTCGTCCTCTGCCATGTGATGTATTTTTGAATCAGTTCTTGCACCTGAAATACACATAAGTACGCCGGAATATTTCCAATAGTCCGCTCTCAGTTCTCACAAAAGTGCCTGAGCATGTTTCTTTAATGCAATGCACCTAATCTCCGCCCACCCGGCAAAACCTATGCGCCACCCAGGATAAATAGCAGGCACGGCATGGCCTGCCTAAATAGACCGATTTAGGGAATCATCTAAAGATATTTAACTATTAATTTGAGTAGTTTCGCTACTATCATGCAATATATAGCGCCGTCATATAGTGTCATATACCTTACGAACTACTAGTAGTTACGAAGGCCTGTCCCTGAATTCATCACCGGAAAGCACACTAACCTACGTGGATCCATGTGTTCAAATGTTATTATTATTGCATTTCTTAGACATTATAGGTGCCTTAGACATCAACTTAATATAGGAGGATAATTATGTGTACTATTTCCGTTTGCCCTAAAAATTGTATTAATCTTAAGCACAATCTCATTATAACAGCACAGACCAAATCGGGCGTGAGAGTCAGAGAACTGGTGCCAACCAGCTGTGGTAGGCTGAAGGAAAGCCGAAAGGGCAGGCAATCTTAGCACGCATAAAGGAGCCCAGCTCGCCATTAGAGCGCTGCTCCCTCAGCTAGGGGCTACATTACGTATGATTTCTTAAGCACTGTCTAGCAGTTAGAAAAGCTGGCGCTCGGGACTCACAAGACTGCCAGTGCAGCGCGGTTAACATAGCCAATCACGAAAGCGGAAGCGCTGACCGCGCGACATACTCATTGTAGGGTACAAGGCGGGGTTCGAGTTGCGGTCATCTGACTTGGAGCTCCGGGCCTTTGTCAATCTGATACTCATGTCGTCCTAGATCACCTTTTGCCTTAAACCATATCGGCACCTGCACATACGCAAACTCTTGCGCACACAAACGCCAGAATGACACAACATGGATATGACACAATCCGTAAGGCATCCAGTCGATGCCTCGATATCTTTGCACATATCATGGACAACGAGAATGCCCACCCCGCCACGTACGAGACAATTCGAGGATCCCTGGAGGATGAGTATGGACGATTCAAGCTATGGGGATCAAATATTGGCGTCTTCGCCAATGTCCATGCGTCATTGGACTTTCGTCTTCGAGAGATTCCCGACATCGCTGAAATGTTCTTGAGACAACTCGCCACCCTCGAAGAACGGCTGGAACAAGGTACTGTATATAATACTTCCCTTGTAATGTATTTCCGCAGGGATGTGGAAGCCAGCAGAGCAAGACACCAGCGCATGTAAAATTCTGTGCAATTGCAAAGCCCGGGCCACACTCAAATCACATTATTCAGTCGTCGGCTGCCATTACGTTGCTGATATTTCTTGCTATAGTACTGAATATGAGTTTGCATACAATCTCTGGAGACGAGACCACAACATATGAGCATGACGTACCACAGAATTGTCCAGAATGTGAACAATTCTTGACGTTGCCCTTCGACATGCGAAGACATCTCGAAGCTGCGCATCCAATTGACCAAAGTTTGGGTGACGAGTCTCAAGGGAATGAGATCAACACAAGGAACGTTTTCGGGAGCTGGTCCCATTCCGAATTATTGCAGTCAATACATGAGAGCCTCGACTGGCTGCATCGACTGTCAAACATGGTACGGAAGGCCAGCTTTGGCCGACAAAACAGACGCGCCAATGATTTCATGGTACGAGACGAGACTGGCAAGAAATCTGTCGAGCTTACCCAGTCACTTCAGGATGGGTTGAGACACTTGTACCAACACTACATTACTACTCACGCCGCAGGCGTTGGGGATCGACTGGCTGAGCGTCTGGTCCAGACAATGATCATGCGCCACAAACGTATCCTTTATCGGCGAGACAGACGCGAGTCGTGGAATCTGGGAGAAGGGGTTTATGCGCCTGTCACTATGGACCGTGGGGCTCAGTACATGGATAACTTGGATCTCTCCTCGGCCCCCCAGAAGACCACGACCCCCAAGAAAGTCATGCCACTCGACTTACAACGGCCAACAAAGGATACAGTAATGTCCGCCTCTCAGAATGCATCCAAGGTCACAGCCACCACCGTAGACGTCAGTATCATCCGCAAAGCCGTTCCGCAATCTCAAGTATCTAGGGCGACTTCCAATTCCTTGTATGTGGCGGACTGGGTACTGCTTCCACCGCGTCCTTCAAAAGCAAAATTAAGGAAAGAATTCATATGCGACTACTGCGGTCTTCTTCTTCAAGCCAGCCAGGCATCGAATATAAGGGTTTGGGGGTAAGAAATAGATTTGTGCGATCCATCACGCTTCAGCCTAAGATACTAACCTGAATTTATGTAGAGATCATGTCAGAAAGGATCTAGATCCTTATGTGTGTATCTTTGACGAATGTGATACACCATATGAGATATTCTCATCCAGCAGGGAGTGGTTAGCTCATATGCGCTTCCAGCACCGCATGAGATGGCATTGTTTTGCCACGACCCACGAACCATCTTTCTTCGAATCACCAGGTGCACTGGAGGACCATATGAGAGAGACACATGCTGGCCAATTCAGTGATGAGGAAATTTCCTTCTTGGCCGAGAATAGCGGTCATCCGATCAAACCGGTCATTGAGCATTGCCCCTTTTGCCAAGACATGGCCGAAAATACCGAAGCACACGTTGCCCGGCATCTCATTCAATTTGCCCTGCGATCACTACCCTGGCCCAACAATGGCTCTGACGATCACGAAATCAGCCACACTTCGCACAGTGGGCACATCGACGGGCCCGCATCCAGCTCAGAAGCAGAGAACATGGATGAAGATGAGGACGAGATGCCAGACATGAGGAAGACAGATTGGGATGCATGGGAGGAAAAGATTCAGGCCGGAATCGGCGTGTCAAACAAAGATGATGATGAGAAGCAGAATGATTCGACTTTCATATGCGAACGAGACGACGAGGTCGGACTACAAGATTTTTTGGCCCCGGACTATAATATTGCTGACGACGAACTCCTCGAACCCTTCCGACGGCGAGCAAGTCTCGCAGACGTTACCAACACATCATCTCAACAGCCCATTCCTAATAGAAAGGCAACTGTGGAACAGCTTATATTAGAAGAGAAGGAATTCGTCCGTGTCCTACAAGTGCTCGCGAAGATCTATAGGCGGACCCTATGGGATGCTCTCGCCCTTGATGAAGTCCTCCTAGAACAGCTTCACAGCAATATGGATCATCTGGCTTACTTGCATCAGGCTTTCCTAAACGACCTGATAGCAACTGTCTCCATTGGACAGTCCGTACCAGCATCCCTTCGTGCCATGCCGCAGCCCGCATCGATTGGGGAGGTCTTCTTGAACAACCTTAAAAGAATCGATCCTGTGCACCACCAGTACGCCAAGATCCATGTCAGTGCCGTACCGATGTGGAAGAGTGCCCGGAAGAAGTAAGTGCAAAGACCTTGCAACAGACCATACAAATTCCTCTCCACGATCTTCAAATCATCCAGAGTGACGGAAGGACACCGCCGATTGATATTAGAGGATTTTGCTGACTGCTATCCTCCGCAGCTTGAAGAGCCAAGACTTGATGAAGCAATGCGATCAACTTAGTCAGGACGAAATTAGTGGTGAACATCCGCACAATCAGTTCGAACAGTTGGAGGAACTTGTGAATGGAAAGCATTGGAGAGAGCATTACCAAACATGGCTGAATACACTTTCGCGACAGACACCAAACGACGATCCGGCCATGGCAGCCTTAATTTTGGCTTCAGAATATCATCGAGAGTCTGTGCTTCATTTGGGGCATATGCTGCCCTCGGAACAAAGTGGAAGCAAGGATGTCGTTTCCAAGACAATACTATACTACGACGATACAGATCTTCTCACGGACATTGGTCGAGAAGACATAGAGTTCACAAAACTCATCGACGAGTTCAACAATGATCATCTGAGACTGGAAGTACTATCTGAAGAGCTTGAGCACTACTATGACAGCGTCAAGGAGTTTCGGGACTGCTTCTACCGTTGCGTTGTGGAGATTGAGCAGTTGATGAAGATCCGTTCAAGGCCCGCACATGAACTGACCCAGAGCAAATGGGTTCGGTTCTCAACCGCATACTTCCACTCCCCTGTGGATCTGCAGGAAATTCAAGTGTCAAATGTACGTCAGCGAGAGGTTCCCTGGAGAGCACTTGAGGTGATGAGTGAAAAACAAACTAACATTCCAGCTAGACTGACAGCATCTATGAGAGCCTGCATATTCCAATCCGTGAACTTGTCTCAATACGTACAAGATCGTGGACGCACATCCTCCATCGCAAAATCCGACGCGCGGAATTTCAGAGGTGTAAGGATATCATCAATAATGGCTATACTCTGCCCGAAAATTTGGCCCTGAGCTATGGGGAGTTTGAGGCCAATGAATCTGTTCTTCGCAAAGAACTTCCCATATTACACAACGAGACATCAAGAATAATGTCTCTTGTTATCGACGGGCTTACCTCGGAGCAAGTGCGGTGGTCTGCAGCATGTACATCCACCATGCAACTCCTCACTGCGAGAACAGACGTGCCTGAGTGGGCAGATATCGTGACCGATTTCCGCCGTGGGTTCATATCTGTGGATCATCCAGCTGGAGGAATAGGACTAGTTGGATCCTCGCAGCTACCAAGTAGAGATTCACCCACCGGAGAGACTACTACAGAACTTAGAGCACCGAGTTCCCCAGGTTGGCGAAGCCCCCACGGGCGCCTGGCAATGGACCACGGCACCGAATCAGGGGAACTGACCGAAGCGGCCCAAAGCGAACACAAAAATGAGCCAGGATTATCCGCGCTTTGGTCAGCTGTATCATTGACCGAGTTCAACCTGGAAAACACAGAGCATGAAGGAGGATACCCTTATCTGTTTTACTCAGAGAAAGAAGTATGTCCCGTGCAAGCTTGCCGAACCTCTGGCTACGCCCTGACTGACAGTTTTGGTTGCAGACTTTCGACGTCATCTCTGAGCAGGGCGAACTTTGGCTGGCTCTGAGACAGAACGATTCCAATGCGGAGCCGGGCTGGATATGGAGCAAGCATTTTGTAAAGCTTTCCGATATTACATCTGGGTCGAATTTTCTACCTAAATAGTCCCTTTCTCAAGACCTGAGGTATCTTGAAATAACTAATCTCGTTTTTTCTTTTTCGTGTGCGTCCGAAGCCACACAGGTCGCCTTCATACTTAGATACAGTAGGTAGTAAACGTTCAAAGACCCAGCATTCCAAAACAACAGAATTACGATAACACTGGTAAAACTAGAATACGAATCTTTCAATAAACTAGGAAATCCTGTACTGATTTTGCTTCATGTGAAATCAAGTTGGCCTCTCTGTCTCTTATTCTTCACCTCAGGCTGGACATGTCGCTCTGATGTTTGTGCATGGAAGGGTTTAACCCTGGTGGACCAGGTGCGACCCCTCGTCTGCCAGCAGCGTGGAGCTTGGGGTGACGTACTTGGCAGCGAGGGGTCGCAGGCAGGTAAGGGTCGTGGTCACGACGTCTAGTCTCGCCAAGCAGTGTCTCACCATTATCCCATTCCTAGGAGCTTCCCACCTGGCCAGAACCCGCTTCCATTGTTTACGAAGGGACACGTCGATCATTCGAACCCCTCCTTTACTAGGCACTTACAAAACCACCGACGACGACCATGACGAGCACAGATCCGGAGCTGGCCACCAAGGCACCTGAGAGCGATGCCCAGGAAGATGTCCAGAAAGATGCTACCACCGAGACGTCGGCTGCTGCCGCCCCTTCCACCACCACCGCAGCTCCTACAGAGGAGTCGGCATCCCAACCTAAGATGTGCGATGACTGCGTGACAGACAGGCCCACCCGTTCGTCATCCTCAATGCCGGTAGAAGCCCTACCAACTCCCGAAAGCTAACGTGGGATGCCACCAGCCAGCGGCCCAGGCCCAACAGGAGAGATCAGGAAGCTGAACGACGTTGACGTGAGTCGCCTTACCTGGACCGTCCCTCAGCGACAAACAACTTGTGCTGACAGACAACCCACCCGTAGGCCTACATCTCCAAGCCGTCCGACTACCCACACGCACCCGCCCGCCTTCTCCTCCTCCTGACCGGCGGGACTGGCCTGAAGTCGACCAACAACCAGATCCAGGCCGACAGGTTCGCGAGCGAGGGCTTCGTGGTGGTGATGCCCGACCTGTTCGAGGGCGACGTCGCGCCCAACTCGGCCACGGTCGACGAGGAGCAAGCCACGCAGGGCGGCTCGTTCCTCGACAACTTCAAGATCAAGGCCGTCGAGGGCGTCAAGAGCTTCATGATCGACATGTGGCTGGCCCGCCACACCGAGGAGAAGGTCCTGCCCATCCTGCACAAGGTCATCGACGGCGCCAAGGACGAGTTCGCCGACGCTGTCAGCAACGGCGGCGGGGTCTACGCGGCGGGATACTGCTTCGGCGGGCGCTATGTCCTGCTCCTGGCTGCGGAGAGAAAGGAGCAGGCTGGTGGCGCCGGGCTGCTGGGTGGTGCGCAGAAGCCTGCGGATGAGGAGGCTGGGCCCAAGACTACCGGGCCGTATATCAAGGCTGGCGCGCTGGCGCATGCGACGCTGGTGGCACGGGATGACTTTGAGGGGCTCAAGGCTCCTCTTAGCTTTGTGTGTGTTGAGAATGATCCTCTCTTCCCGGATGATGTACGCACGGCGGGCGAGGACGCCATGTCAAAGGCCAATGTTGATCACGAGGTCCAGGTCTACCCCGGGGTCCCACATGGTAAGTCTTATGGTTTGCGAACACACGGAGCCAACACAGACGCTGACCTATTTACGAAGGATTCGCTGTTGTCGGGGACTACGAAGATGCCACCATCAAGACCGCGCAGGGCACAGCTTTTGACCAGATGCTGAAGTGGCTGAAGGACCACTGAGGTCGATATCGCCTTGTCCTCGTTGAGGTCGACGGGGAGGTGTTACGGCGTTTTCAGGTGTTTGGCCGACAACCAAGAATTTCTCGTGTCTTCTGAGCTCATTGCATAGTTTTAGGAAGCCTTCTCGGGTGAATATACCTCTCGTCGCGGTTCGTGCAGCCAAACATGCGCAGTTCTCTGCGGTGATGTGATCCCAGCTGCTGTCGGTAGCAGCAGTACGAGGTCGTCAACAACTCTCAGCCATACGTTCACAAGCCTTGCCGTCACTAACTTGTAGCAATATATTTGCAATTTTCACGGGACCCAGAAAAGCTGGCCGAGAAAACCACACCCAATGAGGGTACAGTAGACAGCACTATGTTCATGACAGGGAACCGCTGATCTCTCGACCCGAGCCACGTCTCTCTGCTATCACCCACAGCACCCTTATGCGGTGCAGGATAAGGGGCCGCGCCGAACTGACAGAAAATCCGGTTGGCTCTAAGGCAGCCGAAACGCAATGCCAGATCTAGGGCTCTACGACATGCTGGATCTCGCAGGCCCGCCTGCAAGTTTCGCGGGAGCGAGCGAGGCTCCCCTCGCTGAGCTGTCCTCCTTGCGACTGTCACATGCGAGCCTGGGCTGCCCCGTGACGATCACCGTTGACCTTTTGGGGCCCAGGCCCGGCCCTTGGTTCCACGCAATGCAAGAGGCAAGCAAACAAAAACAAAGCAACACGGCCACGACAGCATCACGCCATGCCATGTTCAGCTGATCGGGACTTTTTGCTGTCTTCTTCTCTTGGGGCTAGATTGGTCTTTCTAATATCAGGCCGGTACCGACAACGTACGATATTCTACTACCACTACTGCTACGCGGGTATGGTTGAGGGAACCTCAGCGATGGGACCGCACCGGAATACTCGACACACATATAAGGGTGGTGGTGGGGGAGGGGGGGTCGTTGGCTTCTAGCCCTGCCTTCCGAGCTAGGCCCTGGAGCACACACATCCACACACCCACACGCACAGCCCTCGTATCTGCGTCTGGCGCGGTAGCAGCCGTCTGAAGTCGCGGAGGGAGGAGACACAGATGTTGGGCCTTCCCGAGGCGCACACTGATACACAGGTACCGATTACTCGCTGCTTAGACTCGATCAAGCCCAAACCCAACCCAAACTTGGGATGGAGACTGGCACAGCGCTAGTCTACCCATCACCGTCCAGTGTCTGTGTTGTGGTACGGTTACTGGCCTGAAAAGATGCGTGTGTGGGCGCGGGCGTGGGCGTGGGCGTGGGCGTGGGCGAGGGTGATGTGTACCTGTTTTCCCAGTACTCAGTAAGTACCGGTAAACAATTCCTCTTCCGATTTGAAAGTGAACCGTTTCCACTCCCATCAATTGGAGTTGGCCACCCCCATCGCGCCGGTGTTGTGGACGGATATGCGAGACACACACACACACACACACAGAGAGAGAGGGAGAGAGAGAGTTAGATCTCCTCCCCACTTTCAACTTACCCCATCTCAAGAGTTCCCTCCACCCCTCCCATCCTCTACTGTCTTCGCCCCAGCTGGTTACACGCCGTCGGGTTTCGAGCTGTGCTCCCCTCCCGTGCGACGGGAGGTCGCAGGTCCCGCCGTCCCCCAGCGCTGGAGACGCAACGCACGCACGAGCCGGGCGCAGCAGGGAGCGAGGGGGCCCAAGGGATGCTGTACTCGAAACAAGGACGGGGCCCGCTGGGAAACCCTCACAGCGCCCTCTGCGCCCTTCTCTCGTCGTGCACACGGTCTTCGTCGTCGTGATTGTTGTTGTTGTTGTTGCTGCTGCTGTGTGCTCTGGTGGGACAGCATTCGCCCGCCCCGGGCCCAGAGCCCTTGCTAGCCCCAGCCCAGCCTTCCCCGGTGGCCGTTGGTGGTGGTGGGACTAAGCATGGGATGGGGGGGGGGGGGCCAAGGGGCCTGCCTGGCTGGTGTAGGGTCGGCTATGCCCTCTGCGCAAAGCTCAGCTGGGGTATGTGTGTGTGTATACGGTGTGGCCTCGGGGGACGTGTGGTTGTTCCTCAATCTGGACGCGTGAAACACCATTTGACAAGTATCTCTGCTTGCGGACGTATGCAAGAAGGGATTGATATCGTCCGGTCAAGGGGGGCAAGTAGGTGTCAGCACTGCCTGATGCACTTTTTTCCTGCAGCCCGGGGGTGGGACCCTTTGGGAGGAGGGGAGGGGAGGGAGTGGTTGGGGGGACACATGGTCGTACGGGGGGGTGTGCGACAGTGGGTTGGGCGAGTTGGACTGGGTGAGACCCGTTAATCTATCCGTGCGACCCGGGAGGCAAAGTCGGGAGATCATGGCTGGACGGGCGGAGGGGGTGGAGGGTGGGAGTTGAGGAGGAGTAGCTTGCACGGCTTCGAGCGCGGCGTCAGGGCTGGTCACCAGAGTAGAGTGGTGGTGGTCAGTTGCCAATTGAGTTGTTTGAAAATGGTGACACTCTCCGTTCAATCGTCGAGGACAGTATGTATGTACTGTATCTACATTCGTGGCTTGTCACTCGGGGTGCGCAATCATCGATGAAGCCGAGATTCCCGTGGAAAAGTCCAGTATGAGTGTTTATGCGTGTATCTCCCTGGCGTGGGGATAACTACTGCTTTACCTTGACCAATGCGGGTAGGAGAACCAAAGGGTCAGTCATATCATCTAGAAGATACTCAATATTCCAAAAGCAAACGAGTCGGTAGCCTTCAGCCGGACCACAACGCCAGTTATTTTCTTCCTGGCCCAAAAGCACACAGGGGACCGACCATGCCACAAGAAATCATTCCATGCCTCCGTCCTTCCTTCCATGCAAGAGCCCGTGTCCCAAAACGCCACCGGTGACCCGTCCGACCGTTCCCCGTGAACAAGAAGCTGGTATGCGATGCGCATGCGATGCGAGAGAGTGCGTCCATGCGGCCTGCCCCCTTTCTCCCGTCTATACGTACACCACGGTCCAGAATATGTATGTATGTACGTATGTATGCATCATGCTGTGTCCCTGACACCAGCGGGGAGCAGCCCTGGGGGACCTACATATCTGCCCTTTTATCAGATAGACAGGATTCCTTCCACACACCTACCCACGCACAGCCTGTCACGGTACACAGAGGCCCCCCCCCGTAGATGACAACATCATCGTCGGGGACGCCTCCCCCGCAGCAAACATTTCTTTGCTTTACACCGCCGAGAAGGCATCTCCACCCGAAAGTGGCTGTCCTTCTGGCTGGCTGGCTGGGCACCTTCTCGTGATGCGCCGGTGGCCCCGTCATCTTCATGGCGCCGCCTTGGAGAAGGCGCCGTAGACACTGGGCTGTTTCCTGGGGGCGACCTTGAGGTTTGCAAACCGCGCCTCGGGCAGGCGGCGGCCGGCCTTGACGCTCTCGAGGACCCTACTTTCTTCTGTTAGGACTTTTGTCTCGGGCGTGAGAATAGGCCATGGCTCAGGGGACAGGTACAATGGGGAACCATCCCCAATATCAAACACAAGGGGTGGATGGAGTTCACAACCAGCAGACAAGACTTACCACTCGACACCCACGTATTTCACGCCGCAGCCCCCGACCCGGCGTATCTCCTTCTCCAGCTTCCCGCCGGCCAGCCCGCCGCCCGCGCCGGTGTTGGGCCCCGAGGGCTTGCCCAGGATGACGTGGGTGACCTGCCTCCTCCCGAGGTGTATCGACATGCGCGCGCCGTTCTGGGCGAGGAGGTGCCTGAGCTTGTGGTCTGAGATGTGTGGGTGCGTGCTCCCGTTGACGTAGATGCAGAGGCCATCGAATATCTTCCTGCTGCTGCTGCTTGGACCCTCTGTCTTTGCCGATGCCTCGTGCTCCATAGGGGGTTGGCCCATAGGGACAACATCTTGGTGTCGTGGAGACGTTGGGGGCTTCTCTCCCGCCGTCATGCTGGTGTCCCCATCCTTCACTCCCCGGCTGCTGCTGCTGCTGCTGCTCCCCTGGTTCATGGTCCCAGGCTTCCTCAGCATGTCCACGACGCTGTTGGCGGCCCTCGCCCTGACCTCCTTGGGGATGAGGACCCCCAGCTGCTCGTCATAGTCCTCGGAGCCGGCGCCCACGCGGTCGGACAGCCGGGGGCCGCCCGAGTGGCCGGCCTGGAGCTGGTTCTGCAGCTTCCAGGTGCGGTTCTCCCTCCAGCCCTGGGGGCCTCTGGTCTCGGCGCGCTGGTGGCCCAGGGCCACCGAGTTCCACGGGTCGAAGTTGCGGCCGTGCTTGGGCTCGGCTGCCTTGGGGAGGGTTGGCTTCGGCGGGGGTGGCATTGTTTTGTTTGCGTAGATGGTGCTCTCTGATCACGGTCGCTCCGATCTCATGGCATGGAGCGTTCAAGTCGTTCGCACAGGCAAGATGGTTGGGATCTCGAGATGTCAATGGCCTCAGGCTCGCCTTTGTTGTTGGCTGCTATGGTGACGCCACGCCGCTTCCTTCCCGCGCGTCCTAGTGGCGCCGCTTTCGAGGGGCCATCTCCCGCGCCGCCGTCCCGCGTCGCGAAATCACATGAGCAAATCTCACTCATCTAATCTCACTGCTCAGTCACTCACTCACTCACTCACTCTCACGACCGCCATCATTCTCACTCACTCACTCACTCATTTTCCTCAATCACTCACAACTCATCGGCCTCATATTTCATGCTGACAAATATATTCTCCCACCACGACTCGTAATGAGTGCAACATCGCCAGCCTCATGAGCAGGGGAGGTCCTTCGTTCGTGCGGTCGAGTTATGCCTCCCTCTCGGCAAGCCGTCCGAAATGAAACGGAAACCCCCCTCTATTTCACACGGATCCCCGTCGCAAACTGTCACCACTTTTTTTTTATGGTTCTATTCCGCTTCCAGACCGAGCTTGAGAGGGCAGACTCAGAAAAGAAGCTCAGGCCTCTCCGTCTTGTGTAGCATCGCTTGCCGATGATCACGGCGTCGAAACACGCCCTGCAAGGCATATGCACAGTTGACATCGACATGGCTTGGGGTGTGTGCTGGCAGGCTGGGGCTGCGAACTGGGGCTTGGGGGGGGGCCCTACCCCGTACAGCCTGCCAGCAGCACATCGCAGCACATCACAGCACAGCAGGGCACACAAGCACTCAGGCCACCACGGGATGTCTCAGTCACAAGCCAGCAGGTTTCTTTGCTTTGCTTTTCCCTGGCTCAGAGCCGGAACATGAGCCTAGGCCTGAGTCCACCTGAGTCCGATTGATGAAAATGGGGCCCGGCTTGTCTAACTGAGGACAAGAGGGATGGGCGGATGAGTCGATGGATGGTTGGTTGGAGGGACCCACCAACACCAGCAGCAGCAGCAGCAGGCAGTGGCAAGGCAGAGCAGGCCAAAGAACCCAGGAACCCGGGACTGCCCAGAAGCATATCTGCGAACCCGCATCTCCATCTGATTACACACCCGCCCTCAAGGTTCGGTCGTCCAGCATGCTGCACCGTCAATCATACATCCACCCGTATGTGTTTGTCGTGTGGTGGTGCCTCTGCTCTGCCCTGGCTGGGAGCACGACGGCAGTTGCGGGCTCAGTGAGGCCCAGCAGCCCGCGGTGGAAGTTGGTTAATCCACCAAGGTTTCCCAACAACATCAGACCAGACACGACCGGGCTCGCCAGGCTGGACCAGAACACATCAATCACACCGGATAGGATGGGTCCATCGGCATCACACAAGACAGGGTCCAGGGGCGAGGGGAGGGGGTGCAGTGCACTGCACCCTCCAGAGCCACCACTGCTACTGCTTGCTATTGTATTGTGTATACCCCCCCCAGGCTGCCAGGGCCACCAAGAGGGCCAAGGAGGGGGATACTCCCGATCATACCACAGCGTCAGTGTGGTCCTGTTCCACGATTCTGGTTGCAGGCCGACCCCTCGTCCCGTCCCAGCCCAGACTGATCTCCCGCACCCCTCCCGGAGGCGGCGTCATGCACAGCGGGAAGGCAACTCAGAGAGAAGGGAAGTGGGAGGGATGTGCATATGTGGGAGGTTGTTTCGAGGGGGTGCGCATTGTTGCCGCGCCGCTGCACCTGCGCACGCACGCTGCTGTCGTATTCAAGGCTGTCTGATCCGACAAGTGATGATCGCAGAAACAGACATACCGGGCATGGCATGGCATGGCATGGCACTGCACTGCTGGCCGGGACTGGGCCTCGAGCAGACGCAGCAGAAGCAGCGGCAGCGGCAGCACAAGCGGGCAGCAAGCAATCAAGCAAGCAAGCAAGCAACTCGGTTGCGCCTCCAGCCCGCGCCCGCCATCCCAGCCCAACACGTTTTTCCCTTCCTCCTGCTTCCCGTCATCCACAGCAGCGCGGGTGGGCGAGGCGAGGCGAGGCAATGTAAGGCAATGTAAGGCAAGGCAGGGTAATAAACCAGCGGCTCCCCCTTCCCCATGGTTCCGTGCCCGAGCCCCTGCTTTTTGTTGCGCCTGCTGCCTTTTTCTCGTGCTCGCTCAACCTGCTGCTTTCGGCACGAGGGCGAGCGCACACGAGGGGGCCAAGAGACGGGCAGACGGGCAAGACGAGGACTCGGGGGTCTCAAATCCCACCCACACGCGGCACGGACGACGGCCAATGTCGCCTTTCTCTCCCCACTACCGAGATGCCGGGCTGCGTGGGCAGCAGCATGGACGGGCATGTTCGCGCATGATCCGTCAAGTTGATCATGCCTTTTTGCCTTTTGCCATTTGCCTTCCGGCGTGGATTGGACGTGCAGCCGGGACTTAGTTGGGAAATAAACGGCAGCTCTCCCACGGCGGCGCGGGCTTGCCACTCACTCACTCACTCACTCACTGCATTGGCCCTGGCCCTGGCCCTGCCCTGCCCTGCCCTGGCCTGTCACGACCATGCCGACATGCCCATCCATCTCTCTTGCCTGGCTGCTGCAGCGCTGCCTGCTCCTCCCCCAGTCCCAGTTCCGTGCGGCACCCCGGTGGTTCATGCACGTCGTTGCAGGACAGAAAAGCCTACCGGACCCTGCCCTGTCTGTCTGTCTGTCTGTCAGTTGGTCAAGTCACCCCTCGCCGTCCAGCCCCTTCCCACCACCCCAAAAAGAAGCAACAGCAACCCCCAACCGGCCGACCGACCGACCGGCTGCGACTGGAGGGGGCGCAGCCTCAGCTCATGACATGATCAATAGGCCTCAAGCAAGCAACAACGTCCCCCCTCCCTCCCCCTCCTCCTCCTCCTTGCCCATTGCTTGATTGTGCCCGCCCGTCAGCCCGTCAGCCCGCCAGGCCAGCCCGGCGGCCCACGTATACCTGTCAAAAGCCGTTCCGGGCCAAAGCCAAAAAAAGAAAAAAAAAAAAAAAGAAAAAGAAAACGCCTCGCCCTCCCCCATCCCGCGTGGCGAGCTTGGGGGCCCGGAAACCTGGCAGACGGGTGAGGCAGACCCCGCCCCCGCGCGCTGGGGGAGAGACACCTAGAGGTGGAACAACGCTCATCCCCCCTGCCCCCCCCTCATCCATCCTCTAGCGGGGACATTCCAGCGCCCCTCGTGCCGTGTGGTTTACACGAGAAGTGAGCCCTTCAGCCCTCCTCGACGTTTTGACTGGGCCCCCGTGTCTCGTCGAGCAATGTCTCGGCCGCCCGGGTACGAAAAAGCCCCCAGCCCAGCCCCAGCCCCCGTGGGCCCCTGTCCCGCGCGCCGGGCCTACAGTTATCTTGCCTTGCCTTCTTGCCTTGCCTGCTTTGTCTTATCTATCTCGTGAAGAGCCGTCGATCCGGCACGCCACCTTTTCCTCCCCTCCTCGTAAACGTACAGTGTGCCGGGCGGGCAGAGGAGCATGGGACAAGGTATCTATCTAGTCAGCTACATAGTGTAGGGAACGGCGGGCAAGGAAGAGAGGCCAGTAGCCTCATCGGCATAAACCACGACCTGCAATGGCTCGTTCCGAGAGATAGATGGCTGCTGGCCCCCCCCCCCACCCACCCCCCTTCGGTGCGAGGCTAGCGCGGCGTGGCGCGGCGCGCAGGCGCGGATGATTCCTCGGCTCGAGGGTTTACACCCCACCCCCTCGTGCACATCAAACGCCTTCTGGGCCGGGGACTGCCCTTTTGTTGCCAACGTCCGTCGAAATAAACTACACACAAAACAGTAGCAGAAAAGAGTCCTCGCGGCCTCCGCCTGATGGAGGATGGTGTCCCCCCCCAGGGTACCAGTGAATCATGGACGGGTAACCCAGGCCAAGATCCTCCACCCCGGGCCCAGGTCCCCGTGAGCCGGGGCTACCGCTGTAGAATACAGCCACTCCGTATACACCTCTGATATGTGTTGCATTTCCTCCCGCTGGGTGATGTCGATGTGATGCAAGCAGGGGCCAACTGCCATCACGACCATCACCACCTATGGTATCCCATAAGAGAGTATGCCTTAGGAGGGGATCCTATAGGAGGTGTGATATCCCATATGAAGGTATCCTGCGGCAAGTTGCTGAATGGGTGGCTTCCTCTCCCATCACGGACGGCACTTGGCAAGCACCTGGGCGGCGAGGAAGCTTCAACGAATCCACGGGCCGTCCCAGCTGTTCGCATGAAGCAGGGCTCAACCTCTGCTGCGAACGGCGCCCGAGCAAAAGAGAGCCCCCTTGTTACCGTGCACACTTGGACCCACGGTACAGGACTCAGATTGATAGAGCACACACGCACGCCCAGACGCCGCACGCTGGGACATATCCAACACACGATGCACGCAGGTATACAAACATGTCCCATGTCGTTCAGTCGCAAGCCCCCCCCCTCCCCCGGACCCGGGAGGAGATCATAGCGCCTCTCTTAAACACCCTCCCTGCTTTCATAATATCTTTGTAAGGTCACATGAGTAAGGAAACTCGTCACACATTTGCCCACTCTCAACATAGGACGAGATGGAAATACCCAAAGGATTTTTGAAAAAGGCATACATGGGGTTGGTTGATGATGGGCAACAGGCAGGCATGATAACCCGTGACAACTCACAAAACGCTGAGTGCATGGTCGGACGAAGTTTCTACACGCCCCTCAGGCCATGAATCCCACGTACACAGTACCTACCGCTATCCTCTCACATCTCGGCGCTCGCTCCGAATCACCAGACGCCTCGCGACCAGCATCCATTGAAGAACCCAGGGTAGGATCGTCGCAGTTTGAGAAAAATGGTCAAAATGCGTCCATCTATCTGTCTATGTATCTGTCATCCACGTATCTTAAAAAAAATAAAAATAAAATAAAATCTTAAATGCGAACCTCGAACCAGCAACCCAAACTCCTAGCCCACCCGCCCGCTCGCTGACCGCAGCCCGGAGCCGGACCACATGCAAGATCAGCGAGATAGGCTTTCCCTCACCCCCGGTTTTCCCGCCCGCCCGGGCGCCCTGCAACGACACACGTCCCATCAGCAGTAGCAGCAGCAAGCATCATCACCATCATCCAACCTTTTTTTTTTTTTGACTACCTAGGTACACATACTACCACATCAAAAACCGCCCCTGATCGCTAACCTGGTTTTTCGGGAAAAGCCCAGACCACACGGACCCTACAGGGAGACAGACGCGTGAGGTGCCTGATCTGAGCCGACGCTGGCACAACAGCGCAGGCAAGGCAGGCAGACGCATCAGCGCGGCGCGTACTGCGTGTGTGGCCTGGCCCTGCGCTGGGGGAAGCCGGCCCCCATCGCACAGCATACATAGTATCATCCCACCAGCCTGCCAGCCCACCACCCGCGCACCACACCCCCCAAAAGCCCGTGGGCTAATTTGGGTGTTTTGGCTGTTGGCTGTTCTGTAGGTGTTGGCCGTTAGTGTCGGCTCGTTAGGTTTGGTGGCGGGTGTGTTGGTGTTGGTGTTGGGGGGGGGGGGTTAGGGAGATCGCCTGTATCGCTTCTAGAGGATGAACTACTCTATCTATGGAATGGTTCAAAAAAGAAAAAGAGAACCAACAACGACACCGTAGCAGTTGCATCAGCATCAGCATCAGCAGCACTCGTAACCTGGTAACTGCGGTAGTAGGTAGCAGCGGCGGCTTCCTTTTCCCTTCCCTCAAACTCAAAAACCCACCCTGCCTGCCTGCTCACCCGCCGTGGCGGGCACCAGATGCCTGGGTGCTGGGTGCTGGGCAAACCCGCCCGGCCAAGGCCAAGGCCAGCCCCAGCGTGAGAACGCGCCGCATCCCGCATGAACTCAATTACCGTTGCATCGCTCCGGGTCGCGGGCTCGTTCGTCTCACCAGGCTCCGGGACCGAGAGATACCTACCTCACACCACACCAGTAGTAGAGTAGTAATAGTAGTAATGGAAGAGAGAAATAGAGAGAGGGTGTGTGTGAGTGAGTGAGTGAGTGGGTGAGTAAACGGCCCTTGGGAAAGGTAGCTCGTAGGGTCCTTGTGAGAGGATGATGGATGGGCCAGCCGCGCGCGCGCTCCCCAGCAAAGACCAGCTGAGGTCATACAGCCCAGGCCTTGCCCCAAGCAGGAACGAGCCCGGGTGCTTGTTTCCCGGGAAGGGTCTAACCCAGACATACATGCGTGCTACAGACAGACAGGACTTCATCTCGAAAACAAGCTGCCGGTCGCATCGCATCGCATTGCATCGCATCACAAGAGCGCAGCAGCACACACAACAGGCAGAGCTACTGTGTCAAGGAGGCACAGCTCCAGAAGGGGTCCTCTTGGTGACACACCCTCCTCATCCCCCCAAATCTCCACCCCGGATGACCGGGGGTAATAATTGGGAGGACTGGCTTCCTCCTACAAGCCAGTGTATACAGTACAGTAAGTAACCTCTCGTAGGTCCCCCACCCCCCAACCCGCCCAACACGAAGAGGCGAGAGGGGAGACGTCGGGGGAAAGTGATCGGCGCCCGCCCAGCACTGATGAGCAGCACAAAGGGTCGTTGGGGCCCCCGGCCATGTACCCTTTGTGCAAAAGACTTGAAGTAGGGTAAAACAGTAAACAGATCCCGTACAAGACGGCCGGCCCACTGCTGCCGCGGCGCGCACAGCAGCTCCGTTTCCCCCCCTGTGTCTGTCTGTCGTTGCCCATGCCCTGCCTTCCCGTTATGCGCATCATACCTGCATCCGCAGGATGGCAAGCACAACACGGACTGTGCAGCGGCAGCGGCAGCGGCAGCGGAAGCGGCATAAGCACGAGGGACGCAGAGAGCTTTGTCCAGGCCACGGCGCCGGGCACGCCCGTTTCGTCAGCACCTTGTGAGACCGGGGTGGTGGACGAGGGCGGCACCTCTTCAGAAGGAGGAGGGAGCTGCGACCCCGCGGAGGGAAAGGGGGGGGGGTGTTGTTCAATTAAAGGTCGCCATCCTCGGAGAATACTCTGTAATAATTATCTTCATCAGTCGATCGCGCTTCGTTGTTATTGTTATTGTCCTGGTCGCTTGCCGTCTCTCCGCGCGCTCCCAACAGGTCATGGGCTGTTGGGTGGTCCAGACCAGGCTGCCAGCCAGCCATCGATGGCCTGCCAGCCCACCCTTCTCCTCCTCGCGTGACCATCATCACAATAAAGGGGGAGTGGAAGGGGGGAGAAGGCCGCTTCTCAGGAGACCTAGAATAGCACTGCCAGCCAGCCCAGCCCCAAAAAAAGAGAGAACACCACCACACACCATCTCACACACGCACAATCCAAATGGTGTGGAGGGACAACGCACGTCGTGCCGCAAATACCACGTCGTTGAGGATCATTGCGGCCCTTGCCCACACACATAGCGAGCCCCTGGAGGGCTGGGCGGTGCGGAACAGAAAAGATTGGAACCACGCCTCCTTGCTGAGTTGTCTAGTGTCATTTTCTCCCAATTCTCCCTCTCATGTCTTCCGGCCCGGCAGCTGAGTTGTAAGTAGTCAGGACCCCATCGCCAAAAATGATCAAATGGGAGGGGGGTGCGTAGGAATTATATGGAACCCCCCCTCCCCCATCCCATCTTATTCCTGGGCCAGCCGCCCAGCTCAGTAGCGTTCCTGTACGCTGCACCAGGTGCAGGCGGCCAAATGTCCTGTGCAGTTCCGGTGGCCTCGCTTGTGCAGCCAGGTGGCCACCGACCCTCCCTTTCCCGTTTTCCTTCACGCTCTGGCATGCCCTGCACTGCTGCCCTGCCCTGCACGAGTGCGGCGCGGCTCCGTCAGAGGTGGGAGGGTGGTGCTGTGCGTAGAAAAAGACGGGACCTTGCTTCATCGGGAGAATAAGACGACAGGAAAGAGACATAAAAGGGCATTCCTTCCCGCCTTACTGGCAGGACGACAGGGATCAGGATGCCTGCAGGCCCCCGAGGGAAGACACGCTGGTGTCGTCCCTCCCGCCCAAACATGCAGGCCCTCGTTGCAGCTGCAGCAGACACGCGCTCGCAGCTGTTCCGCAACCTTTTTGTTCCTCATGCTGGTCATCTAACACGGCGCGATGCACCGCGAGATCGCTGTCTTGAATCGGACATACATGGCCGGGGCAGAAACATGCAGTCAGTGCCGGCCAGTCATGGGTATTGTGTGCATGACTTGCGACTGCGTGGTGTGCTAGCAGAGATGTGTGTGTCGGGCTCTTGTACAAGCAGGGGCTGGTCAGAATCAGGCAGGCAGGCAGGCAGGCAGGGCAGGGCAGGCAGGGCAGGCAGCCATCTCCTGCTGCCAGAGGTTGTGGGCATGTGTACTGTGTATGTGCCCAGGCAGTCTAGGCCGCTAGAGCGAGACTGAACACCGGTCATGTTCATGTCGTAGCTCTGTGTGTATCGTAGGCTAATGTGCCAACATGTCACCCCGTATTGTTCGTGCATGCGGGAAATAAGGCAGGAAAGGCGCAAAGCCAGATCGCCCGCACAACACAACCCTGCCGCGCCGGACGGGGGCTACTGCTGCCACGACGCTGCACTGCAGCTATCCCGACTGCCCACGCTTGCGGGCGGAGGCATTAGATTTGGTTTGGTGCGGTCTGACGATCAGCCCCGTCGCCGCAACGTGATGGCCAACAGGCAAGGCAGGCAGGCGGGCTGGCGGGGGGGAGGGGGGCAGAGGCCTGGGCCCTGGGCCCTGGGCCCTGCAGATGGGTAGAGTCCACAGACGCCCCAAGCATGCAAGAGGTATGCGGTACAAGCTGTCCAGGGCTGAACGGACATTGGACGGGGTACTGTTGCCGTACAGACCCGGCCAGGTGTCCCATTGGCACCGGCGACGACAAGCTTGCCGAAAAGGGGAGGCGAGGTTGAGATGGACGTCCGGAAGGCCCTTTGCGGAGAGAGAGAAATAGAGGCTGGGTCTTGAGGCTGGGTATTTCGTGCGTAGACCGTTGCGAGAAAAAGCAAGTCCCAATATAAGGAGGGGCCTTGAGCGGTTACACAAAGGGTGTGCACCCCCCTCAGCTTTTCGTCAATTGTCTCAAACCCGAAATCCTTCACGAGCGGGACCTTCCCAACCTAGCCGCGACCCTTGTCAGGTGGACGTGTCGAGTGAATCCGGACAGCAAAGGATTCAATGTTTTCCAAGAAGCCCCAGCGAGGGGGTACGCAGAGACAAGGAGGTCATCTCTCACCCACGTACTCCGTGCTGTACAGTGCTGGGCCGCATCGTCAGATTCGAGGTCGCTTGTTCGGCTCATTCCAGTGCTCCAAGCGGCGCAGGACGCGAGCCATGCACGGCGGCTGGCAAGGATCGCCTCGACGTCACAACCGACCTGCCGACGCACACCGGTTGTTCCAATTAGGAGCCTTGGGCACAGGGTTGGGGTTCCAACGCTGGTATCCAGAAGCACCCAGAGAAACGAGAAGTCTGGGCCACCAAGATCAGCGATTCTGAAGCGGTCCAGCCATCCATTTCCACGTGAGGTCCTCATCATCGACGGCCGAGCGGCCAAAGCTTCCCGTTGTTTGACTGATAGACACCCGCAAGGCGCAGGGGGCAAGGATCAGACGCCGAACGGCACACTGGCGGCAGCCAGGGAGGTGAGGAAAAGGAAGAGCGAAAATGGTGCATTTTCCTGAAATTCCATTGGCTCATGGGCCGGTTCCAAATTGGTTGTTCCCATCGGCTTTTCTCAACGCCTCGGGAGCGGGTGATAGGAACGCCCCCCGGCCGTGCCTACGAAGAGCGGTGAGATGTGCGCTAAGCTCTTTTGGTACTTTGATATCACCTCACCAAGAGGCGCCGCAGCAGAGACCACGGTGCGGCCACCATGGAGAAGCCAACCCTGTCGGTACGGTGGGGCGGGCGGGTGAGAGGGTACATTGTACATGAACCAGTACGACCTCACTTGTCAGATTGAATAGGCGGCTTGACATGTGAGGCGGGCGCGAGGCTCGAGATCTCATGCTGAGGATCCTCTCTCATGATATGGACACGCTTCTGCCATGCAAGATTGGCCTTCCATGTGAGCCACCCACTGGCATCTCCTCGGCGTGCCATTGTGCCCTGTCGTCCGTTCGGACTGCACCCAACCGTCTATGCAGTGGCTGCTGCACAGTAGCGTTCGTGCAGAGGCAGTTCGCGATGCAAGGAGAGATCCGAAGCTTCTTTTACATGAGACGGGTAGTCTGAGTAGCTGCAGAAGGTTGGCAGACCCGGAAGACTAAACAGCCCGTATATCACGGCAAATGCAAGCCGCCCGGGAGTTTGAACGTCACGTCCAGCGGCACGCCCGCAGCAGATCAGGGTGTTAACGATCGCTCATCCTCAGGTCTCCGCCAAGCCATCCAGTCGCCAGCTTCTCGTGCTGTTCCGCGAATCTCAAGGCCTTGACGGCCTAGAGTCTGGATCACGTCACCGCCAGGAGGGACAGGAAAAGAAGCTGCTCCGTGAGAGCTAGGACCGAAGCCACATTCTCTAGCTTCAGAGTGCCACCCTCCAGCCCACCGGCAGGTAGATCAGACAGCGATTCTGACTCCAAATAGCGTCGAGGCGGAAGGCGGACCGTCTTGCAGCCTTCTCAGTAGCAAATTGGGTATCGTCCACTTGTCTCTCCAACCGTATGTTTTGCATGGGATGGTCTGACTCTCCAGCCGTGGCACATACTCGGGGCCGAGTGACACACGCATTGACAGTCTTGCTGACATGGAAAAAAAAAGTAAAGATAGAAGTGACCTGGCCGGCTCGACACAAATGTCGTTCGATGCAGCCGTTGCCGTCATCTTCCTGTCACCCGCTTTGGGACGACGTAACCAGAAGTACTTCGTACTTCCCAACCTCTTGGATTCCCCTCATCGATACTTCCCCAACTTGATGCCGTACGGGAGGCGCCAACGTACCAATGAGGAAAAACTTATGGTGTGGGCTTGTAGACGTGGTTCTCGTTGATTGGATTACTTCTGGCCGTTACTCGTGACCACAATCAACATCATCAGGAGGCTGGCGCGAGCTCCAAGGCCCCCAATGAATCGAGACCCGGCCGGGTTCCTGAGATGGAGGGTCTTCGTCAGCCTGTCAAGCTGTCAACACCAGGTCTCTGAGTGGCGACATTGATCGGCTACCCGAGAATCGATGCAGTAGGACATCATCCCATCTCTTTGCAATGCTGGGCGAGTTATTTGGACGATTTGCACCGTGCCTGTGAATCGAATTCCGTGAATTGTCCCGCTCTCACCAGAGCTCGGGCTGATAACTCAGGTGAAGGACGTGCCGCGGGATCGACACAACCGACTCAGAGAAGCCACCCGCCTGACTTCTCGTAGAGAAGCGTCCTCATTCCTGCAAGACACGGCAAGTAGTCGGCCATCCTCGCAGCTTCCAGGGTCTGGCAAGGTCAGCAATGATCCACACGTAATGTCATATTTGCTTGTGCAATACGGAGCTCTACCGCCATGTACTGTGCAGCACACGCCTTGCTGATAAGATGAAGCGCCCTAGCCCTGATGTTTCCGCCCCAGTCGACCCGGGTATGCATGGTTCAGTGTGCCGTAGCGATAGTGATGTCAATTGCACAGGCTGCTTGACCGCTGACTGAAGAAGCCTGCCCATGGACAGTGGCATGTTCCTAGAGAGTGCGAGCAGTGTAGCGGGAGGATCGAGAGAGACCCAGGCCGTGAGTGTAACCGCTGCGACGACCGCTGGGTCTAACTTGAAAGGGCTAACAGGAAAGTCTAGGAGGGGGAGCAGCTGAAACGTTTGAGCTTGGCAAAATGGAGCCCACACCCCATCAAGGTTTATTGATTGGATAAGTTCCAGACGTACATAGCCGCTGTGCATTTGCATGCAAGTGTTGAAGACCACCCACGGTCTACCCCTGCCCACAGCATCTCACGATGAGAACTCTGAGGGCTGCAGGGTTCACCGAGCGTCCGCCGGGAGGGGCCACTCAAAGAAAGGTGCCGTCGCATCCCGTACCTGCGCAGGCCCGCAACTGGACGCAGGCACAAGCAGCGATGATGCACATCGTTCAAGTATCGTCGTCTTTGCATCTCCAAAGCTTTTAGAAGAAATGAAGTCGATCTTTGAGAAGGCTGTGCTTGTCTAAGCTGATCAGAGCAAGAAGGGGCCCCTGCTCCGGCCACGGGGTGACAGGTCTGCTGCTTCGCTCCTCTCTT